TAAAGAAAAGTCAAAGTATCGAAAAAAAAAAAATCCCCGGCTTCAATCAACCGCTGGTTATTAGTCTTCTTCCTCTCCATCCAGCTCGGCATGGATCTTTTCAAGTCTCTCCTTGAGGCGTCTGCAGTTTTGAGATTGTGCAGAAAAGCCTCCGAAGCGCCTTGGATCCTCCATTCAGCCGTGTAAATGTTTTTATCATTAAGACTCTGGTCAATCACAGTAATGAAGTCGGCGAGCCAAAGTCTTTTTCATTAACGCGTTGTAATTGTTTCTGAAGAAATATTCTGGAATGTCATTCACACAATCGTGTTGCCTCTGGCCGGGGTGACTGACTCGGCATCCATTGCAGATTTTTTCTCTGTACCGATGCAGCACCCCTGCCAGAATATCAACCAACTCCGATTTCACTATGTTCAAAACAGAGACGTCTTGGCCCCAGGAGTAACATCAGCAGCTGTAGTATTGCAAGATTTGGGTGTCCACAATGGTGGTGACGATAGTAGTCCAGGAGTTTGTTCCTGGTTGCAACTTGCAGGGGGAGACTTGGTTTTTCTCAGATCCCTGGCTAGTTTTCAACGGGCGTCTTAGTGGGGTCCTTCGTTTTAGATGATTTGCTGAATGGGGGGTGGACTTATTGCGTTGAGTGGGGGGATTCATCTGTAGAATTGAGAGTTTTTTAGAAAAGTTCTTTAAGCTTTGTAGCTTTTTCATCTATCATTTCCAACCAAGCAGCAAGAGGTCAAATGTAAGAATAAGTAATAGTTTGTCACGATTTTACAGAAAAAGTCAAAAGTATAGTTTGTCTGAAAAAAATATATATATATATATATATGGAAAAGTCATTGTGTACAATAGTATGTTGAAAAACAAAAACAAAAAAGAAAAAACTCAATTCATTACAAAATAATGAATATTTTACCAAGTTATAAAGTTTTGCATCCATTAAAGTGTAACTATAAGTATCTTTGTAGGAGAAAAAACAAAAAAATAATTTAAGTTACTTCCATAAAACTGGATTGTCTTACCTTTAAGAGTCACAGTCTTAAAGAAAATCGTTCAGAAAAAGTACTTAACTTTCTACCAGTTGTAAAGTTGTCATACATAAAACTGTATCCAAAAAGTAAGTGAAAGAGAACGGGAGAAAAAAAAAAAAAACTTCCCCTTTTAGAGTCACAGTCTTTAAGAAAATACATTTTATTACAAAAATAATTGACATTCTACCAGTGCCAAAATGTTCCTACATTAAAGTGTATCAAAAAAGTATCTTGGTAGCTGAAAATAACTAAAATATCAGAGAAAACCTACATTATTTAACTGTACAAGTGTTTTAAAAGTTTTGCATACCTCAAAGTGTGTCAAAAAGTATCTTGACATGAGAAAAAAGCCAAAATCTGCCTTGTGTCAGTGAATAAGTGTTAAAATCACAAACTTATAGATAGCTAGAGGCTATTTTAGATTTGTCTATTAGAGTTAAAGGGTTAAATAACATTTTCAACTGCTGTTCATAGTTACTGGATACATAACGAACCTCATTATCTCGATTTTCTACTTCCATTTTTATTTAACAGTGAAACGTCTTATTTTAGTACAGTCTAGTCAGAGGAGTTAATACTATTACTATATATGAAAGCAAAAATAAAACACATTTCATTTGTTATGGTTGCTTAATTGAAAAAACACACCATTCGCCACATTTTCAGAAAGACATATTACATTTGACCAAGTTAATGTCGTAGTGCATACAAGGTAATAGACTTAACGATTTGCACTGCTGCTTCTCTCCGCGTTTCATTTACAGTGATCGGTTTATCGTTCAATTCACATTGCCCAAGTAGATGTTTAGGGGTCTCTTGGAAGTAAATGAATGCATTTTTTTATATCAGATAAGTGCATTAACATCACTTGCAAATTCTCTATCCTTTCACCCGCAACGATTATAATCTGCTTTGCTTCTTCTTCGGTTTCACCATTATTAGCTCTGAATGTAATCCTTTCTGGGGCTTCTTGTGCTTCTTGTGGTCTGTTGAATACCTGGCATAGGATTGTTTAGCTGTAAGGACGGGTACCATATAATTGTCTTCAAAAGCTGGAAATTCTTACAAGTTCCCCCTCCTCAAAGTTCATTCCCGTAGCACCTTTCCCCCACTGATGCTAGTGACCCCCCTTTGTATGCTAATTACCCCTTTGTTCGAGGCGTTATCACATGTAGTGTGTTCAGTTAAACACTGAGATTTTCAACATACTACTCTACAAAATGATTTTTCATATTCTTTTGACAAACTATACTTGACTTTTTTACGGAAAATCATGACACACTTTAATGTGACTTATTCTTAATTTACCATACTAAAGTAAGACTTGAAAATACTATATCGTTTCTAGTTTTTTTATATTATACATCCTTATTATGTTTGTGTGCTGAGAAAACACAATAAGCAATAGCGTTTTAACAAGCAGTTTAAACTGTCTGTGTCAGTTTTACTTATCTCCATATTAAGTGATTATATAATATGACAGTGATCATTTCTATGTTTATTCATTGCAAATACTTAGTTACTTACCACTTGAACTGTTTAGCTCTTCAAGGTTAACTGACCTAATATATACACTTTTTTTGTAGTATTGTCACCACGTTCTTAAGAATTATATGGACGAGTTGGCAGCTGCCATGGCTGGACTGTCAATCAAAAGTTACCAGTTATCAAGCGATGGTATGGACAACTTAACAGCTGACTTGGCTAGACTTACTATGAGGAGTCAGCAGGTAACAGATGAGTGTGTGAATGAAATAACAGCTGTCTTCAGAGGACTCTCCACTAATGCACAGCAGCTTCCTGTTAGTGCCTGCACTGAGAATCCTCAAATACAGAGACAAGTCACTTTGTCCACGCTCCTGAGACCCTCAAGCCCACTAATGCCCAGGTGAATAATATTGACTTGTGTTAGTTTTACTTAAACTTACTTACAATAAGTGATCATAATATGACAGTGATATCTTCTATGTTCATGCATTGCAAATACTTAATTATTTTTTGTTAGTTCTTTAAGGTTATATAACCATATGTTTCACCAGGTAACAAGTGATCATTTGGAAAAATGTATCCCAGCCTTTGAAAAAACTCAAAGGGAGAGGACAGTGAAGGCCATGAAGCCAAAGCCAAGACGTGGTGGAGTGCTGCGCAGGTATGTTCTCTAACAGCAACACTCTATTAAACATGTCTTTATTGACTACAGTTTAAGTTCATCCTATCATAAGGCTAAAAAGTATCTTAGTAACAAAAACAAAAGCAAAAAGCATTAATGTTAACAACGCCTCAAAGGGCGGACTCCTGAGTTCCATGGCACTTGGACTATTTACATCATCCAGGCTCAACACCAGTAAATACACCTCTCTTTATCCGCTCTCCAAGCCTCCAAGGGCGGACTCCTGAGGTCCGTAATGCCCCCTAACATGACACTTAGACTATTTACATCATCTAGGGAAGCACACCAGTAAATGTAGCCTCATGTAACTTCATATAGGGATTCTTTAATAGTTGTGTGAAGTAATTAAACAATAAGGGGGTATTAAGATCTTTAAATTATAATTTTCCTCTCAAAGAGACTTCGTTGCACACACACACACACAAACAAAACAACATTAAATAATGACATGATATTATAGTGATAACACATATTGTGTAGAAAAGAGATCTCCTGTATGGGTTGATTGCGCGTTGATCTGTTGGTAAATGCTCATCTATCATTTTCAACCAAGCAGCATGAGGTCAAATTTAATAAGTAATAGTTTGTCACGATTTTACGGGAAAAAGTCAGAGCGCAATGTCACATCTTAAAGACAGCTTGAACTGGATAGATGGTTAGTCTTTTTTCAAACATACCATATGTTCTGCATGTTAGTATATTTGGCCAAATCGGGTTAGGCCCCACTGCCCCACTCCCTCAATAGGGAAGTCACGCTTTGGGAAGAGGTGTTTAATTTCACAGATCTGACTGATTGTTGTTGTGATGGCTGAAGTAAGAGGGACGGGGGAGGAAAATTCAGAGGGTGAAGAAGCAGAAAGATAACTTGTTTGTAAAACGAACAGCACGTCAGTTTCAGGAAAGACGACACCGGTTTTATGCATGACATGCCCAATATCCTGAAGCCCTACAAAAAAAAAGTATATTGTGTTGAAAATATCGCAAAAAGCCATATATTGTATAATGTAATAGTTGCATGTTGTATTTTGATACAAATCACTGTATATTCAAAAATATAATGGAGAGAAAAAAATATATATATATCACAGTATGTTGAAAAATATGAAAAAAGTAATGTTGTGTTAAAATAATATGAAAGAAATCAAAAGTAAAGCATCTAAAAACATATATTTAAAAAAAGTAATGTTAGTCAAGTCAAGTTATCAAAACTGCATTGTTTCATCGAAACAGTGTTAAAATCCACAAACTCTCCATTTAGAGTTTGATTCTTGAAGAAAACTCAATTCATTACAAAATGAATGAATATTTTACCAAGCTATATAGTTTTCCATAACATAAACGTGTATCTTACAGTTCCTTTGTGAGAGAATTACGCACAAATTGCAGTATTTTATCTGTTTTATGTGCACTGTTGGAGGAGCCTGTGACCTACAGTTCCTTTGTGAGAGAATTACGCACAAATTGCAGTTATTTTATCTGTTTATGTGCACTGTTGGAGGAGCCTGTGACCTATGTTTTTCATTGACATATCTACACTGTAGCTAATGGCATATTGCCATAAAGCCTTGAAACTTGAAACTTAAATGATCAGAAACTGCATTGTCTCACTGAAAACAGCTCTAAAGAAAACCAATTCCATACAAAGTACCTTAACTTTCTACCAGTTGTAGAGTGGTGCTTACTTCAAAGTGTATCTAAAGTTGCATCACTATGTGACATACAAGAATAGTTGTGTGACAGACAAAGATTGTCCTGTATGGGTTGATTGCGCCACTGGACATAAACGCTAGTAAAGTCTAATCTGACGGGGGAGACCCGCTGTGTGACGAGTCGAAGGGGGAAGGGGTGATAGGGGGAAGAGGTGAGAGGAGGACGGGGTGCGAGACAGTCTCACACAACTTCAAAGAGACTACTTGACAATAGTTACAAACACTGATCAAAGGACATACATCAAAGGGCTAATTTGATTGACATCAAAGGCTTATAACACACCGGTGCACACACCACACCTACATGTTATAACACCTCCCAACTTACATCAAAGGACAGACATCAAAGGGCTAATTTGATTAGACAACAAGGGGTCAGACATCAATGGCTAATTAGATTATTCACAACAAAGGATCTACTACAATGGGGAGTTAACACCTACATGTTACAAAACACCTCACCCCTCACATCAAAGGATAGACATCAAAGGGTAATTAGATTAGACAACAAAGGGGGCAGACATCAAAGGCTAATTAGATTATACAACACAGGATCTACTACAACAGGGGATATCACCACCTACATGTCACAAACACCTCACCCCTCACATCAAAGGATAGACAACAAAGGGATCAGACATCAAAGGCTAATTAGATTACACAACAAAGGATCTACTACAATGGGGGAATATCACACCTACATGTGATAACACCTCGAACAAAGGGGCTCATTAACATAATTAGGGGGTGGGACTTAGCATAAGTAGTAGTACTGATAGGGCAGGTGTGACCTGTCACTTTTTATGCATACTAATGTGATTGAAGGGGCATTTGTAATACTACTTCCGTGAAAGGCGAGGCTGCGTATTTCCCATGTAGAAAGTTTAAGGCTCATCATCATGACGCATCGTTCACCGTAAAAGGCTTCAAAGACTGGAAGCATGCTTACAAAAGGACACGGGTCTTAGCAAACACAGCTCTTCCAAGGAACATTTTGTGTGTGAGAAATTGTGGAGAGAAAAACAAATGTGCATCGAGACTGGTCAGGAAATCACAACTCTTGTCAACAAAGATCAGCTGGCTCGTAACAGATATCACTTGGGCTCCATTATTGACATTGGAAAAAATAAATAAATGAAATCACCATAAAAAAGTCAAATCAAAGCAATATTCTTTCAGTCTCAGTTTCTTACAAATACTGAAACATGAAACCAGAACACAATCAAAAGTCACCTTCATACTGTCTAATTACGCTTTCTTTATACATTTTCTGAAACATCAAAATGTTCTTACAGCCCTTTAAATCATTCGGCAAAGAATTCCACTTCTTTACTCAAGAGACACATCTGCTTTAAAGCAGTACGTGCAAACGTGCGGTCACCACTAGATGCACTTTAACACAGGGGTATCCTCTCTTGCACTTTGTGTATCCATGCTGCTATGTTGTTTTGCCATGTCATAAATACTTGTGTATTCTGCTCTTGCTCTTTTGCACTTTTCTTGTATTTCATGTATTTGTATCTGCTATGTTTGTAAATGTCATGTTCTTAATGTTTGATGTGAGGGACTGCGGATGGAAAGTAGCTCAAAGCTAAATCCGGCATATTTACGCTTGGCACATTTATAGTTTTAAGTGTTCATTAAAGTGCAATGTCCCTACCAAATAAACCATTACAATAAATAAACTAACTGAAGCTTAGAATGTAATCTCCTCCTATGATGCTCAGCCTCTGAAATTAAAACTAATGTGTTTTGTATATTCTCTGGCAGTATTCTGTTGTTTGCTTTATGCATAACTAAAGCCGTCTGTAATTCTATTACATCTTTAAATGTTAACAGCCTTGACTCAATAAACGGTTTGTTTGTTCTCTAGGTTGAACATTATGCAACATTCTCACAGCTTTTCTCTGTAATGTAATGAAAGGTTTTAAATGACTCATCGAGGTGTATATATGAGTCTATGAGTCAGCTGCATGCTGGCTCTGCTTGCTTGATGTGTAGCGTCGCTGTTCATCCATGGTGCGGCGTTACTTTTGTGCCTCTATCCTGAACACGCTATGAAACATTTTGAGGATAGGAAATGTTATTGAGCGCGCAATTTAACATGATGTAAGTTTAGAAAACAATGTTCCTGTTAGAAATAACTCCAGGTTTAATAATCTGTTCAGAGTGAAACAGGGTTTTAATGTCAGAGATGATGCAGAAACAATCCACTGATAATCTGGAACTTTAACTTTGATCAGATGTTGAACAACTCCTTCATCTCCCTCACAGCTCATCAGTACTGACAGCATCTCCACTGACTCATGGAGCACAGAGTGAGTCTGTGGAGTCTCAAACACTCTCCCTCACACATTCACCTTCTCTCTGTTACTCTGATCAATATTCAGTCATTAGCAAAAACGGAACAAATAACAATAACATTGTATTTGTTCAAATTCAGAAAATCATAAACACAAACAGATCAATATGAACTGCAGTCAGTGAACTGACCTGAGAGCCTCCAGTCTGCAGTTTGGACTCTTTAGTCCAGAACTCAGCAGCTCCACTTCTGAATCCTGCAGAATGTAGTTACAAAGGCCCAGATCTCTCAGATGGGAGGTGTCAGACTTCAGAGCTGAGGCCAAGACTTCACAGTGAGGCCCTGAGAGTTCATAGTGTCCAGAGCCAGTAAGTCTATAATAAAACATATATTACAACATGTGTTAAAAAAGAGGAAACATTATATTAACATCAAGCATTTGATGAAAAAGATTTGACATGTTCTGAAAGACATTTGCTGTTAGTCCATTTAATATAATATATAATAATATATGATAATAGAGTGTAATGAGTTGTCAGTGTGATCTGATCACATGTCTGTGCTCCTGCTGTCACTGACTGTTACCAAAAGAAACAGAAATTAAATGAATCACTTGACAATATTAGAGATGTACATATTTAAATGTTAGTTAATATGTGGATGTGAATGATGGATGAAGGATGCTTTGGCTTCTCTGAGCATCTGAACATTTATTGTGCACACAAACACAATTAACAAACCAATAAAGTTTCAATATGTTCAACTTGATAGCATCAGATGTTCCCAGTATATCAGCATTAACACATAACTCTGTTATTGGTGGGAAATTATATAGATCTGATTTTAAACTCTAACACATTGAGATAAAAACGTGTTTAATGATAAAGAAACTACTAGAAAGTAATCATTAAAAAATGGGTTGTTGCTACACTTAAGGTTTGGAGGGAAGCCTGTCGTAATCAAAAACGATATGAAGATGTAATCTTCTTGAAAGAAATGAACTGATCAAGACTTCCCTCCTCACAAACTGAACAAAGACCACCACATGTTGAAACTATGGGCTTCTAAGGGCTTGAGGACATTTGGACAAATGTTCGGTGATAAAGACGTGAAGTCCTTTGAACAGCTTTCGTTACAATATGATTTACTCAAATACCATTTATTCACATTCTTCCAAGTGAGGAGTTATCTTTCCGGCATTTAAAAAAAAAGATCTTTTCAAGACATCAAGCCATTAATAAAATACATGCTTACAGTTTATGACCCTGGAGTGGAAACAACATTTCTAACTCAGATGGTTCAAATATTACATTAAGAAATCAAGATGAACACAGTATTATTAATGTAACAAATACATGGGGAAATGAATGATCCTGCAATATGCCAGAAGCAGATTGGGAACAAATGTGCAGAAACATTCAGAACACAACCAACTCAAACTACTGGAAAGAAAACACATGAAGCTTTTAAGTCCATCCTTTAAGACACCCCAGATTCAAAGTGAACACAAACAAACCCTCACTTCAAAATGCTGGAGAGAATGCGCTGAGCAGAAACCAGACACATATATTCTGGGCCTGTGATGTGTTGGGAGACTTCTGGGAAACAGTTTGAAGAGAAATGTCCAATATCTTGTTCTCTCAACAAAAACCCATTGTCCCTATCACTGGGGAAACACCAGAGGAGATACAGAAAGATTCCTATCTATTTCTGGTCATTAGAAAAGCCATCATCAAACTAATGATGAGGAATTGTCTAAAAGATAATAACTAAACTCACAATGGAATAACTTAGTAAATGAAATCTATGTAACGGAGAAAACAACTAGATTAGAAACCAAATGCATATCTTTGAGGAAAGGTGGGAGGAATGGGTCAGTATAGAACAATACAGTGAATATAATTAATGTATACCTGAGTATTCATAATGTATTCATAATGTATCCATTCTTTTATTTGTAATATTATTAATACTATTATCTTATGTCTTTTCTGATTTCTCATCTGTTATGTAGTTCATCTTGTACTTAGATGTGTTTATTTGGTTATGTATGCTTTGTGAATATTTTCTTAAAAAGCAAAGAAAAAAGCAAAGAAAGTAATAATAACATGTTTCTGTGATAACTGTAAGTCCTGCTGTGTGGTGTGATCACATGCTGAGAAAGCTCTCAAGTCCTTCATGTGTTTGACATGTCGCCTCCATCACTCAATATGAAGAGAGGAACGCTTCAGTTTAACTATTATTATAAATAAATAGAAGAACAGTGTTGGCTTTATTTTGCTCTCAGTATTGAAACAGCAGAAATGTTATCGTGTTTATTTGAATAATTAAACTCCTGATCCACATTAGTTTATAAAGTTAATCACATCTGGACTTACTTGAACTTCCTGCAGTTCCTCACAGATGGAATCAGTCTGCCTCGTCCCTCATCTGATGTGTTGTACTGATTCAGGTCCAACTCATCCAGAACCTCCTCTGACATCTGCAGCATGTAGGCCAGAGCAGAGCAGTGGATCACAGAGAGTCTCTCCTCTGATCTGTTCCCTGACTTCAGGAACTCTGTGATCTCCTGATGTACTGAGAGGTCCTTCATCTCTGTCAGACAGTGGAAGATGTTGATCATCCTGTCAGGAGAGAATTGATAACTGCTCATCTTCTTCAGGTTGCTGATGGCTCTCTGGATGGTTTCTGGTCTGTTGTCTGTGCGACCCAGCAGGCCTCCTAACAGTCTCTGGTTGGACTCCAGAGAGAGGCCGTGGAGAAAGCGGACAAACAGGTCCAGGTGGCCATTTTCACTTTGGAGGGATTTCTCCATGACTCCCTGCAGGAAGACATCCAGGGATGGGTAATCCTGATCTCTCTTCAGGAAGTCCTTCAATACCTCTCTGTCTCTGTTGGTGTAACAGTGCAACACGTAGACTGCAGCCAGAAACTCCTGAATGCTCAGATGAACAAAGCAGAAGACTGTTTTCTGGAAGATCACACTCTCTCTTTTGAAGATCTGTGTACAAACTCCTGAGTGCACCAAGGCCTCGGTGACATCAAGACCACAGCGCTGCAGGTCTTCTTGGTAGAACATGATGTCTCCTTTCTCCAGATGTTCAAACGCCAGCCTCCCCAGCTTCAGAAGAAGCTCCCTGTCAGCCTCCGTCAGCTGCTGTGGACTCGTCTCATGTCCCTCTTCATACTTCTGCTTCTTCTCCTTCTTCTTCTTCTCCGTCAGCTGCTGTGGACTCGTCTCATGTCCCTCTTCATACTTCTGCTTCTTCCTCTTGGTCTGGACCAGCAGGAAGTGTGAGTACATGTCAGTGAGGGTCTGGGGCAGCTCTCCTCTCTGGTCTGTAGTCAACATGTGGTCCAGAACTGCAGCAGTGATCCAGCAGAAGACTGGGATCAGACACATGATGTGGAGGCTCCTGGAGCTCTTGATGTGAGAGATGATTCTGCTGGACAGGTCTTCATCACTCCATCTCCTCCTGAAGTACTCCTCCTTCTGGGCGTCAGTGAAGCCTCGTACTTCTGTTACCCTGTCCACACACTCAGGAGGGATCTGATTGGCCGCTGCAGGTCTGGAAGTTATCCAGACGAGAGCCGAGGGAAGCAGCTTCCCCCTGATGAGGTTTGTCAGCAGCACGTTGACTGAGGACTGCTGAGAGACATCAGACACAACCTCATTGTTTCTGAAGTCCAGAGAAAGTCTGCTTTCATCCAGGCCGTCAAAGATGAGCAGCACTTTGCAGACAGCCAGCTGCTCTGCTGTGACCTTCTGTAAGGTTGGATGGAAAACATGGAGCAGCCTGAGAAGACTGTACTGCTCACCTTTGATCAGGTTCAGCTCCCTGAAGGAGAGCGGGATCACCAGACTGACATCTTGGTTTCCCAAACCCTCGGCCCAGTCCAGAGTGAACTTCTGCACTGAGAAGGTTTTTCCAACTCCAGCGACTCCGTTGGTCAGGACCGCTCTGATGAGAGTCTGTTGGTCAGGTAAGGCTTTAAAGATGTCCTGGCACTTGATTGGAGTGTCATGGAGGGGCTTCTTCTCGGAAGCTGTCTCCAGCTGCCTCACCTCATGTTGGGTATTAACCTCTTCACTCTGGCCTTGTGTGATGTAGAGCTCAGTGAAGATCCTGTTGAGGAGGGTTTCACTTTGATCAGTTCCTTCAGTCACACGTTCACATCTCCTCCTCAGACTGAGCCTATGTTCATCTAAAACCTCCTGCAGACCACTATCTGCTGGAAGAGAAGGAAACAGGAGAGAATGAGGGAAATGCTCTGAGAATCTAATTATAACAATAAAACAACAACAAACAGACTGAGTTTAAATGTTTTATAAACAGCTTACTGTCTGTGCTCTACAACAGTATACCTGTTCAAACACACATGAACCAGGAAGAGGAATAAGACGCTGCATGTGTTCGGCCTCTTACCTCGTACAGAGCTGGTCTGACTGGCTGTCTGCAGTCCAGCTCTGGTTCTGGATCTTTCTCCACACTGGGGACAGGAGGGGTCTCCTGATGGAGGTCTCTGCTCCCAGTATGAGGTGATGCACTGTCTGCAGAACCAGTGTCCACAGCTGGTAGAGACTGGATCCTTCAGGACGTCCTGACACAGAGCACAGCTGGACAGCTGCTCCTCCACAGGAACACCACTCTTCCTCTTCCCTCTGTGGAGATGAACACATCCTTTACAGCACGTCACATTAGAGGAGCTGATTCTCACCAATGGGCAGAGCGTCACAAACGTCTCTCTCAAGACTCTTCTCCTCCAGTAGGACTCAGGTGAGGGTGTTGCACTTTTCCTTGTTCATGTGATGTTTTGGTGTTGTTGTTGTTGTTGTTTTGTTTTGTTTCTTTCCGTTAACTGTCGAGTGGGAACTCAGTATTTTTGTTAGTAAGTGTTTGTGTTTCTCTTGTTATCCTACGATGCTGTGATGTGTGGCTGTGAATAAGAACATATGAAGGACAGACCATCTGTTTCTATTTCTTTAGAAAGGGGCAGGTCATATCAGATTATTTTCTTCTCCCAGCTCCTTTTCGGTCGATGGTGTGTTCATAGAGACATGTTTTGTAAATATTTGTTATACATTAAGTTGTGCATACCATGAACGGAACAAATACAAATGAAATGAAATGAAAGATGAAATGTGTCACGCTGCACGAATACGCAGGTGACATGAATTTCACCTCTTCACTTTCTTGGTGTCTCCAGGCACGGATCTGGGTCTTTGCATTGACTCTACATGTAATCACACAAAGCTCTGTTATATCTGCTAATGCTAAACACAACCAGCTCACCAGGTTATCACTATCATTAATAAACATCTTTAAAATAAACATCATAAACATGCCCAAGTAGTAAATAATGTGTTGGACGATATATTTAGTTTCTAGTGAGTATTTATCAATATCTTTGCCATTTAAAACCTTTTGATGCCACTGATACAATGATGCTATAAATGCATATTGAAATATCCTCAAATAATGTTAGCTTGCTGAACTCTGCTGCCTTTGTTCTGTACTATACTGCACACATGATATTATTAAAGAACAGTTTAATATATTAGATTATATAAGAACTGGATCCTCTTCAGGTCAGGTTACAGCAGAAACTCTTACTCTGTGTCTGAGGGTCCAGGTTCATTACTGAAGGTTATAGAACTAAGGAATTAAGGACACTTATGTGAATGTTAAGTGATGTACTTATTATGTGGGCCATAATAATATGTGAGAAATCTTCGTTTTCTTGGACCTTGATGTGAAGTTAAGATTTTTGATAAGCTTTAGGTATTGCAATTTCACACGTGTACAAAAGTATAGCTTAATTCAACTGATGAGGGCTAAGTGAATAAATGTAAGCGATGTGATGCAAGTAGCTCTTGGCCACTTTCATTTTTTGAAAGTAGCTCTCAGATGAAGAAAGGTTGGAGACCCCTGGTTTAAGGTGTTAGAGAAGGCGGGGCTTGGGAGGAGGCTAGTGGGATGGATTAGGAGAGTTTATGGTGGAGCAGTTAGTTGTGTAAAGGTGAATGGGATTTTAACTAATGTGTTTAGGATAGGGAGGTCAGTCCGGCAAGGACGCCCTCTCTCTGCGATGCTGTATGCGTTGCCAGCGGAGCCACTGGCGGGCCTGCTGCAGCAGAATGAGGATGTGAAGGGAGTGGAGGTACCGGGGGAACGTGTGGTGTATCAGTATGAGGATGTGAAGGGAGTGGAGGTACCGGGGGAACGTGTGGTGTATCAGTATGAGGATGTGAAGGGAGTGGAGGTACCGAGGGAACGTGTGGTGTATCAGTATGAGGATGTGAAGGGAGTGGAGGTACCGGGGGAACGTGTGGTGTATCAGAATGAGGATGTGAAGGGAGTGGAGGTACCGGGGGAACGTGTGGTGTATCAGTATGAGGATGTAAGGGGAGTGGAGGTACCGGGGGAACGTGTGGTGTATCAGTATGAGGATGTGAAGGGAGTGGAGGTACCGGAGGGGGGAACGGTGGTGTAAATCAGTATGAGGATGTGAATGGAGTGGGAGGTACCGGGGGAACGTGTGGTGTATCAGAATGAGGATGGTGAAGGGAGTGGAGGTACCGGTGGGAACGTGTGGTGTATCAGAATGAGATGTGAGGGAGTGGAGGTAACCGGGGGGAACGGTGGTGTAGCAGTATGAGGATGTGAAGGGAGTGGAGGTACCGGGGGGAACGTGTGGTGTATCAGAATGAGGATGTGAAGGGAGTGGAGGTACCGGTGGGAACAGGTGTGGGTGTATCAGAATGAGGATGTGAAGGGAGTGGAGGTACCCGGGGGGAACGTGGTGGTGTATCAGTATGAGGATGTGAAGGGAGTGGAGGTACCGGGGGGAACGTGTGGTGTATCAGTATGAGGATGTGAAGGGAGTGGAGGTACCGGGGGAACGTGTGGTGTATCAGTATGAGGATGTGAAGGGAGTGGAGGTACCGGGGGAACGTGTGGTGTATCAGTATGAGGATGTGAAGGGAGTGGAGGTACCGGGGGAACGTGTGGTGTATCAGTATGCTGATGACACGACAGTTCAGGATATGGGGAGCATCAAAGGAGTGTTTGATAGTGTGGATCTATATAGTAGGGCTTCAGGTGCGAGGGTAAACATAGAGGAATCAGAATGTATGGTCTTAGGGAAGGGAAGTGTGGGGAGAGTAGAAATAGGTCTGAAGAAAAACAAAGAGTACTTTAGAGTGCTAGGGGTTCATGTAGGAACAGCAGATAGAGAGGGTAGGGATGTTCAGTTTGAAAGTAAATGCTGTTAAAAAGACATTGAGAGTTTGGAAAAGAAGGAAACTGAATTTAAGGGGAAAGGTCATTGTTATTAATGGGTTAATTAAGAGTACGTTAGTTTATGTAATGAATGTTTTGGATGTTCCAGAAAGGATAATAAAATAAATTAATAAATTGGTGAGTGACTTTATTTGGGACGGGGGAGGGGTTAGGAGGCTAGGGAGGTTTTGGAGAATGAATACAAGGATGGAGGATTAAAGTTAATACATTTAGAAAGGAAACTAAAAACAATGAGAGTTCAAATGATGATAAAGTATTTAAATAAAAAGGATGACCATATATGGAAGGTGTTTTTGAGGGATGTGTTAATAGTGGTATTTTGATGAGCTTTAAGAAAGGGGGGATGAGTGAGTTTCAGAGGGAAGTGGTGAGTGCATGGGGGGGGGGGGGGGGGGGTTGTTGAATGTGAGACATGAATGTGTGAGCGCAAAACAAGTGTGGAAGCAACCCATCTTCCTGAATCAAAGGAATGTGAAGGAGCAGAAGGTCGTCTTCACTTTGCCGATGTGGAGGGCGGGGTTCAGAGTTGTGAGGGATTTAAGAGAATGTGAGAAGACCGGCAGCAGAGAAAGTATGGGGGAAAGTGGTGAATGGGAAAGATGTGAAAAATATATGGATGAATTTGAGAGTGAAAGGTAATAGTGTGGAGTGCGAGCTATTTGATTTCCTGTTAAGGCACAACAGGATCTTCAATCATTTAGTGATAAGTATGTTTGATAGTGAGGTGAAGAAAGAATGTGATGTATGTAGGGTGGGAGTGGGGAATTGTATGCATGCATTTGTTGAATGCAGTAAATTAAGGGTGGTCTTTGTCAGAATAAAAGAAATGATAGGCAGATGTTGGAATGAAAGGTTGATAAAGTGTTTGGACTGGAAGGAGCTATGGCTGTTTGGTGTGAATGGGAGATGAGTGAGTGCAATGTTGGTCTCCTGAATGTTTGTTTGAGTCATGCAAGACATGCAGTTAAATTAAAAAGACATATTGCACATTATGAGGGGAGGATGGAAGAAGTATGGGACATAATGAAAAGGACGATAAAAAGAGACATTGGACTGTTATTTATAAGGAACGGAGGTTTTTGTGCAGGATTATGTGGAAGGTTGCTCATTGATTGAAGTTAATGATGGAAAGCTAAGATTTCATTTTGAAATATGTTGATTGTGTTTTGTAATGTTTTTCCCTTTTAGGAGTTAGGATTACTGGGATGTGAATCCATTTATTTTCTTCTTTTTGTTTGTTTGATCTGTTTTGTTTTGGCTTGAATGAAAGGCCATGGAGTCCCTTTCTTTGAGGGCTCTTTTATATGAATTATGTTATAAAAATGTAAATTATGTATTTTTATAATAAAAGATCATTTAAAAAAATCACGCCCGATCACGCCCGATCTCGGAAGCTGAGCAGGGTCGGGCCGGGTCAGTACTTGGATGGGAGACCGCCTGGGAATACCCGGTGCTGTAAGCTTTTTTTAAAGTGTTTTATTATATTTATTGGTGTATAAAAATGTATTAAATAAAAAGACTGGAGAGAAACATGAAAGCTTGACTCTGTGCTTAAATCCACCTCTGTTTGTCCGCTCCAAGACCCTCAAAGGACGGACTCTGGACCTCTAGCATGTCTCCCTGACATGTGCACTTAGGTTATTTCCATCATCCATGAAAACACCCCAGTAAATCCACAATTCAAAATCTGTATCAGCTCCGTTGTATGGAGGAAAAAAGAGAGGGTTGTGTTTTCTGACACTTGGTGAGTTCCCTGGAACACCGGGGACACATATTGATGTATAAAAGACGTACAAATGTGCATTTTGCATGATAGGTCCCCTTTAAATGTTTTTATTTTTCAACCTAAGAGATGTCTTCCTTCATTTTCATCAACAAATGATGTCACAGGAGTTTAGGCTTTGGGAGTTATGGCAGGTTTAAAAAAAAATGTTTAGGCTCCAAGATGGCAGCACGTTGATTTGTTTCTGTCTCTGTTAGTCTCATTCTCGTTGTTTTTTTGGCATTAACTACCTCTTGTGCATACTGACATTTTAAAAAAATTATTTAGCTTTTTAGACCCGTTTTTAAATTGGTCTGCTGCGCTTTTAAAAACGTTTTAAAAGCTTTTAAAAGTTTTTGGGCTGTTTTGCGTCGTTTTGTGCCGGTGCCTCGCTGTGACTGGATTGTTTGCTCTCTGCCTGAGCTGTCGCTCTTTCGGACTGTGGATTGCTGTCTGTCCTACCGTGCTGTCGGGGGCTGGTCGACCTGAGCTGCTGATCGACCTGAGCTGCTAGGACCTGAGCTGCGGATCCTGAATTGGGTGTGTTGCAGCTCAATGTTGCCTAAAGCTACCCTTGTGTTCGCTTTTTTCCTGGGATTAATTGTCAGCCCGCATGTCTGCAAAACTGACGGATTGCCTCCCAGCGATGCCTCTGTTCACTTCGTACATTCGGATGGTGGAACCTCTGGAGCGCTGACTCCATCGGATAGTTTTTACCAAAAGCTGACGTTTCATGGCACGAAATGCGCTCTCCCGTATGCCCTTTTGACTCTGGACTCGCTAATATCGAAGGATCGGAGCAGCCCCGCCCCTCTGAGGAGTGACGCGTCCAGAGCACATGTGAAAAAATCATCTTCCAGACTGTTAATATTGTTACTGCTATTACTCTCTGGTAACGTTAACATTAACCCTGGTCCTGAGTGTTTCTCTGCTTCCTTGCATCATTTGCCATCTCCGAATGAGTTTAGCTGTAGGCAAGGATTGGGTTTTCTGCATGTTAATGCTAGAAGCCTAGTGCCCAAATTAGATGTTTTCAAGACCTGGTTTTTAGTTGCTAAGCCTGATATTGTTGTAGTTTCTGAAACCTGGTTAAAACCGTCTGTCACTGACACTGTTATTCACATTGATGGATATAATGTATTCAGAGCGGATCGTAAGGGCAGAGCTGGTGGTGTTGCAATATACACTGCTGAGAAACTACAGTGCTCTGTCCTTCACTCAATTTCAATTCCAAGGCAATTTGAGTTGCTAGCAGTCCAAATAACTATAGCAAATGCTCCTCTCACTGTTATTGGCTGTTATAGGCCTCCATCGGCCATCATGGATGCAACTACTAGCCTTACTGAATTGTTGTCTAAGTTTTCTTCTGAAATCATTTTATTGGGTGATTTAAATTGGGACTGGTTAAGTGATAAATCTTCACAGTTTAAGCAGGTTTGTGATTCTTTGAACTTAACTCAGTTTATTGATAGTCCCACTAGAATAAACACTGCCAAACCCAATAACGATACCCTTATAGATGTCATTCTAACATATGCAGCTCATAAGTATGTGTCTGTTGGTGTTTTTCCTAATGATATCAGTGACCATTGCACTATCGCTTGCGTTAGGTGCACTAAGTTGCCCAAAGCCAAGGGCCTTATTGTGCTCAGGCGCTGCTTCAAACACTTCTCTGAGCAGGCTTTCCTACACGATCTGGCGGAGGTTAAATGGCACTTCACAGCGTTAATTCCATCTGTTGATGTTGCCGTCCAATTTTTTATTGATCATTTTTTATCGATTATTAATAGACATGCCCCCCTTAGAAAATTCAGAGTTAAGAATAGGAACACTCCATGGTTTACTAGAGAACTATCTGATCTCATTCATGATCGAAATAAGCAATAGTCCTTAGCTAGAAAGTCTAACACTAGTGATGACTGGCTTCTTTTTCGTGTCCTCAGAAATAAATGTTCTGCCCTTATTAAAAAAGCTAAAGCTGATTTCTATCTAAGGTTAACCACTGATTGTTTTAATGACCATTCCAAATTCTGGAAAACAATTAAATCACTTCAGAACAAGAAGGTTTCTAGTTTCCCACAAAAACTGAAGGTCAGTGATTCTTTTATTTCAGATTCAGATGGTATGTCTAATGCCTTTAATGCTCACTTCAAAAAGGCTGGTCACATTTTTGATGAGCAAAGTCATGACTCTCTAAATGGTCGTACTCACAGCCATAGTCAAGAGTTGAACTCCCCTGTTTTTGATTTCGCTTATTTCTCGGTCTCTGAAGTCTTACAGGGTTTGCACTCGATTGATCCTAAAAAGTCTGCCGGGCCTGACGGCCTCGACCCGTTCTTTTTAAAAATTGCAGCTCAGATTATAGCACAACCAGTAACTGATATTTGTAATCTCTCCCTGTCCACTCACACACTGCCAGCTGTGTGGAAGCAAGCTCTGGTATCGCCCCTCTTGAAAGCAGGTGATCCCACGGAGTTGATTAACTATCGTCCTATCTCAAATCTTTCTGTGTTATCAAAGATTCTTGAGTCCCTAGTTTCTACTCAGCTAAAACTTTTTTTAAATTCACACAACATCCTTAACCCTATGCAATCTGGATTCAGATCAAAGCACAGTACTGTGACTGCCAGTCTGAAAGTCTTAGACGATATTAAGGCTGCTTTGGATAAGAAATCAGTTTGTGTTGCATTGTTTATTGACCTAGCCAAAGCATTTGACACTGTAGATCACCACATTATGTCTAATGTTATGTTGGTGTCTCGTTTCGGTCACAATGCCATTTGCTGGTTTCAGAGTTATCTAACCGACCGTACTCAATGCATCAGGTTGGGTAGTACTGTCTCTGACCCTGTCACCTTGGAGAAGGGAGTTCCACAGGGCTCTATCTTGGGGCCCTTGCTCTTTTATTATATGTAAACAATATTTGTAATCAGATGCAATTTTCTACCTATCATATGTATGCTGATGACACTATTGTATATTCATGTGCTCCTTCTCTGGATATGGCCGTTTCCAATTTAAAATCAGATTTTATCACGCTGCAGCGTGCACTTCTTGATTCTAAACTGCTATTGAACAGTAAGAAAACCAAAGCAATGGTTTTTGCTCCCAAGTCAGCGTCCTCCTCTTGCCTCTCCATTGACACCCTTGATGGCGTTTCTGTTGAGTTTGTTGATACCTACAAATATCTGGGCTTTTGGTTGGACAGTAATCTGAACTTTAAACACCATATTGAAGTTTTAACAAAGAAATTGAAATTCACTCTTGGCTTCCTTTTCAGATTTAAATGTTGTTTTTCAATTTCATCCCGTAAAAGGTTGGTCTCAGGCTTATTCCTGTCCCAGCTGGACTACGGTGATACCATTTATAGATTTGCCTGTCCCACTGTTTTGGCCAAACTTGACCCACTTTACCATGCTGCACTGCGTTATATATCAAATGCACCCTATAGGACTCATCATTGCACACTGTATAGCCTAACTGGATGGTCCTCACTTACTATGCGTAGGATGCAGCACTGGTTTTTATTAATGTATAAAGCCATTTTAGGTAAGCTTCCACTCTACATATGTGTCAGATTTGCCCCAGTTTGTGACTCTCACAACCTCAGATCCAGTGCCTGGATACGGGTCCAGGTTCCTACTGTACGGACTGAGGCTGGAAAAAGGAGTCTTTCTTATTATGGTCCTTGGTCTTGGAATGACCTTCAATCAAGCCTCACACTGAGGGCACTTGTCTCTATATCATGTTTTAAATTGAAGTTGTCTGAAGTCCTCACCACCAGCTGCTCTTGCAGTAACAAGTAGTGTACCTTTCTTATTGTCCTAATGTGCACAATGTCGTGACTGCTTTTTCGTCTTTTGTTTTCTTTGTTATGTTCTCTGTATTTTATATGTTTGTGTTATGTGTAACGTTGCTGCCTTCTTGGCCAGGTCAGCATTGAAAATGAGATTTTATCTCAATGTTTTTATCTGGTTAAATAAAGGTTAAATAAAAAAAAAAGGCGGATTTCAAGCTCTCCACTCTGTTTTGAGATCAAAGCTCTCTAGACTTAACGAGCGGCGCACACTAATGTTAAAATCTGAAGAAGGCCTCTTTACCAAGCTCCAAACTAAGTTAAATATTTCAAAAAGTGTAAAAGATATCAAAAAGCTGAATGCAGGTTTAATAGCTGAATGTCTTGTGAGCGTTTTAAAGTTGGAAAGAAGTCTCTAGCTGAAGGTATGTGGAAGGAGTAGCATTTAGCACACGGTGTAGCTAAAAGAGGATTTGAAGGCTCCTCCCATTGGGTTACATTGTAAAAATAAAAGTTTAAAAAGCTGAATATTATAAAAAGCGTAAATAAGAAAATAAGAAAAGTCATAGCAGTCATGTCCTGAAGGAGTTGAACATTTTAATATTTGAATGCTTTCTGTAGCTATAAGTATGCTGAAGCAGTTAAACAGCAAACATTGGTTGAAATAAATTGAAGAATAAAGATTTGAAGAACAATAGTCTGTTGCTCAGCATTCACACTAATTATCAGATAACATAAAAACTGGATCCTCTCCAGGTCAGGTTACAGCAGAAACTCTTACTTTGTGTCTGAGGGTCCAGGTTCATTACTGGAGTTTAGAGGTTGACCTATAGACCAGTCACTCTTCAGAGACAGACAGCTGGGGACTGGAGACTCTGCTCTCTGTCTGTGGAAACAACACATGTTTTAAACATCATTAGTTCATTCAGAGAGCACATTTTGACTTCTGTCTGTATGTAGATTATTTACTATCGCTGATGACGCCAGGGATCAAGAGTTTAAACCAACCTGGTCTCACCAGAATGCGTGACTCCACCACGACTCCTTAACACCGCATTGCGTGGTGGAGTCACGAACTCCGCTACATTTACGTGTCTGCACCACGCAAACAACCCCAATGTAAAGTGAATGAGGCTCCTTTGTCGTGGTGCACACACGCATTTCTACAACATCCAGCAGTGAGCTTTTATTCTATAAAACGTTTTTAAAATCTACTTTATAGCTTGTAGTAACTCACGAGAGGCTTCTTTTATTAGGGTCTGAGACCATAGGTCGGCGAAGACCCTATTGAAATCGGTCGCGCAGCGACCGATAAACCTGCGAAAAACACATAAAAACAGGGAAAACGACCGGCAAAAGCACAGAAAAGGTTCGGAAATAGTAACGGCAGATAGTCCGCGCGAGCCCAGTCACGTGGGCGAAAACAGGGAAAAAGACGGGTAAAAGCCCATTAAAAGTGGCCTAAATCAGACAGTAGGTAGCCCACGCGAACCTAGTCACATGGGCGCCCCCACAACATATGTGAAAACTCACCAAATTGTGCACGCGCGTCAGAATTGGTGCAACTTCAGATGTGTAATTGGTTCCGGAACTTTGAGTCAAAAATTGCGTAGGCCACGCTCACTTCCGTTTTTAACGTAAACTCCCCCACTTTAACTTTCACGTAAACTAACGAAACTCGCTACGCATATCTAGGGTGCGGAGACAAACCAAAAAGCCTCTTGGAGGGGTATAAAATAACGTACAGGAAGCCGGCCATTTTGAATTTGGCGTCGGAAAAATGCGATCTATCGCGTTTTTCGTCCTCCGCACGAAATCTATCTTCTCCCAGGGACTTTATCCGTACGACTCAAAATTCGTCGGGTAGCGTCTCGAGACATGGGCAATTCAAAGTTATCACGGAAGTTTCTTTCTTTCGCACGGCGTAGCCGTGATTTGGCGCCAAAGTTCGCGTTCGCTTGATGCTAGGCGATCCCTCGCCATGGAACACGATGATGTCATAACACCAACTGACATACTCAGAACGCCACCAAACTTCACATGATGGTTAAGACTGCGGCCCTGAACAGCTCTACGTCAAATTTGATGTTACTTAATATGGCGTTACCATGGCAACGCATCCCTCGCCATAAAACACAATGTTGTCTTAAGTCAATGGAAAATGGTCCAAACTGCACCACAAATCAGATGATGGCTAATGGTCCGGCCCTCAACAGCTCTATGCCAATTCTGGGATGTCATCATATGCCGTTTCCATGGCAACGCATCCCTCGCCATAAAACACGGTGTCGCTGTAACTCCAATGGACACGGTCCCATCGTCCCCCAATCTTCACTTTTATATCACCGGCACCAGACTTCAGATGATGGCTAATGGTCCGGCCCTGAACAGCTCTACGCCAATTATGGGATGTCATCATATGCCGTTGCCATGGTGACAGATCCCTCGCCATGAAACACAGTGTTGTCATAACTCGATGGAAAATGGTCCAAACTGCACCAGACTTCAGATGACAGTTAATGGTCCGGCCCTCAACACCTCAATATGACAATAGTGACTTTTCCTCAAAAGCTGTTGCCATGGCAATGCATCCCTCACCGTTAAGCACGATATTGCTATAACTCCTGTGTAAATGGTAAAAAACTGTTCAAATTTCACATGTGTGCTAACCGTCAAGCCCTCGAGACATATATGTGTCAGTTTTGAGATTTCGTCAAATGTCGTTGCTATGGTAGCAAAATGGTCGCCGTGAAACACAGTTTTCTCATAATTCCAGTTAACATGCTCCAAACGACACACAACTTTACAGGTTTGATAACGATGCAGCCATCAACACATCTAAGCGTATTATGGGGTGTCATCAAATTCCGTTGCCATGGCGACAGATCACTCGCCATCAAACACAATGTTTATGATACTGCTGTAAATCCCATGTACGTTGTCCGATCGGCCTGAAACTTCCCACGTTTGCCAACGGCCGAGTCCTCGAGACACCTACACACACACCTCGACGTGCGGACAACAGCCTGCGGAGCGTCGAAGACCCGCTCAATGCTGCTTGCAGCTTTAATTTTATTTGTATTCATAATAATTTTTATTTTTCGTCAGAATGTATTATGGTGCATTATTTACCAATGTTTGTTCTCAAAAAACAGTGCATTGTGTGCAATACAACTGTGATTTTTATTAAATGAGTTAGTTTTTAAGGAAGGCCAGAGCTTCAGCTGTGTCAAATAGATTGTTCCCTTTAGTTAACGTTATTTAAAAGATAATTATATTCCTATTTGATCATGTCCCCTTTATTGTATTACGGACCCAAAGAGCTGAGCGTCCATTCCCATTGGATAACGGAGGATTTTACACCCGGAAGTAAGTATTCTCCTTACTGTCGATTGATTTTACAGTGATATCTGCACTACTCATCAACTCAAAAACACCAGATTATCCTTGTTAATTACACAACATTGATTGGTTTAAATTGTGTATAATGCTTTTGTAATTTTCCCCTTCGATTCGGAAAAACAAATATTTGTTCAGAGTTTAGGATGGCCGAAGACACTACACTACCCAGAATCCTCAGCTATTGTTCCGCTTTGCCTCAAGTTCTGTGATTGGTTGACCTCCAACTGCATTCCATATGAAAAAACGTTTCGTAAAAGATCAAATCATACTTTATTCAGCAGTGCTTGCTTTACTCTTTGAAAGTTATCACATGAATGCATTGTAATGAATGGTTTGGCTGCATTAAACATTACACATCTGTCGTAGTTCTTTATTTATCTACAGAGATCGGGGTTGCGGTCGAATAGTCCATTTAGCTTAGGAACCTTCCTAACGGAGTGAAATGACCTGGAAGTCCCTCAGTGGCAGCCATGATAAGTGCTGTTCGAATTCTCTAAATTAAAAGGAAAGGAGGTTTCAAACTTCCTTTATAACCTCATTTAGCTTAGGAACCACTGGACCTCCCTAACCGAAAGGAGAGGAGAAAATGCTGCCCCACAATGCCTTGCGGCCGCAGCATTTGCCGTCACACAACAGTCGGCCGTTCACGGAAACAACCGATTATGAACGAGAAATGATATCATGAAAGTTACGGTGCTTATTAAGCATTTTAAAACGTATGTGGTAAGTTGCCAAAGTGCTTTGTTTTGAACGTTCATCAGTATTATAATCAAAAAGAGAAATATGAACGTTAGTTTTTACTGAAATGATCAAATAAAGTCAACATTTCACAGTCTTTACTGAGCTGTGTGGGGTTTGTTCAACCGTTCTATTTTAATTTCACAATAAAGTTAGTAGTAATAATTTGTTTTGACATTATTGTTTTTTATTAACTACTAGACCGCTGGGTCATGTTAAGACCATCTTTTCTGTGTTGCTGTGGGTTTTTTACATCGCTTTTGTGTTACAAATATCAAAACAATAACAGAATATATCCGTCGTAAACTAAACCAGAAACAGCAGTATATTTTATTTTGTTAACACTGTAAACTTGACAGCTTTTTAACCCGCACCTCCTACTGGTTAAAGCACGTTATTACACGTTTAGAGTAATTGCAATGCAGGTAGATTGGGTTGCTTTTTAATGACTGTTTTAAAATGCCTTTTTCTTAATGTCTTTCATTTTTGTAAAGCACTTTTGAATGTGTTATATTTGATGAAAACATTTAAATATTAAGAGTACATACTCTTAATATAGTGGGAAAGTGGAAGGTCAATGATATAAATAATATAGAATAGAAAATATCAAGAAGATACTGTAAGTGATCTCTACAATAAAACAGTTTAGTGCCTGATAGGAGGATGTGCAAAACAGACAAACTAATAAGGCTTTATTTAAACATTAAAGAATACTTTAGGTTAAGGTCTTCTTTTAAATAAGAAAAAAGCTTTGGGGGTATCTACCAAGCGGCAAACTCTGGGGAAGAGCCGGGACGCCAATACGGAAGTGCCACAAACTGCAGTTCATATATTGGCCGATAGGCGCTGACTGCAGAAAGGAGCAATTTCCATAGACCCCCATGTTAAAATGCCCAATTTTACAGCCTAAAAAAACATGTTTCTACCCATGGATCCAATAAATATTATTATAGATATAGTTAGATTCCACCTTCATGATTATGAATCTGAGTGAATTGTTTTCTAACATGACCCTTTTATTTATATTAGGTCTTAAAGTGTTTGCATAAATTAGGGCATGGTCACATTGAGTGACAGCTCTGTCAAGTCACTGCTGCTGTTAGCTTCTTGTCTCTCTGCTAGCTGCTCCGTCTCCGTGAAGCTACAGGGACTCTGCCTGCCCAGTTCATCCAGGGAACACAACTTGACCCCGGTCGTGTTTGTTTGTTCTTCATGCTTATATATCGGACTATTGTGACTCGCTCTGCGGTTAAAACAGACGGTGCATGAATGCGGTTTTGCGGTAAGTGAAATTCGAGGACTTTATTTATGTGTTTATGATTTTAATCAGCTACGTAATGAATGTGTTAGCGTGTAAGCGAGTGGTAGCTACATCGGTGCTAACAATGCTATTCGTAGCCTCCAACTTAAAACCATAGACCGTATATATAAAGGTTAAAATAGACAAGTGTTAAGCGTTAAGTGGGATAATACTGTAGAACAAACGGCTTCTGTTTGAGGTTGATAAAATAAGGTCATCCTTGTAACTTAGAGAGATATTTTATTATGTAGGTAGGAACTTTATGCATCGCTAAGGTTAATTTAAATTGGCTATGCTCGAGTATGTAGACAAGCTAATGTCGAAGTAGTGTATGTGAAATCAACCTCACAATAAGATGTGTGTATATTACAATTATTAATGTCATATTTCAAGATGATTACTTCGATATTACAATATGGTTGGTTGAGCTGGAGTTCATTATTGAGCTTACACGTTAACGTCACAGTCATCTGAAGAACGAACCCAAACCTTGTTGTTTTTATTAATTGCATTACCAAATTGGTATCAAATAAACAGTAAGCATTGGTAACACAACTTCCAAAGTTACAGTAAAATAAAAAGGACCCTAACTCGGACAATACACAATCCAACATGTTCAACAGAAGAGAATAAGTTATATTGTTTGTACACATGGTGCTTTACATATATATCTGTTTGTTTAAAGTTTCCAGGTGATGCAGACAGGCTGGACCAGAGAGTGAGAGACAGAACTGGACTCCTCACAGCAGTGAACTTCAGCACAGGTACAAAGACTCTTTTTTCATACTGTACAAAGAATCAAGAAAGATATTGGTTTAAATAAATTAAGTATTGACTTTAATACACTGATATACATTCCATTAAACAATACTAAATACTAGATCACCTACACATCAGTGAAGTTGAGGGTTTTTTCCATGCAAAGGGTTACATTTAGATGTTAACAAGCAATATGACTGTCAGCTTTCTAATTTAAGGTATTGAAGGCAAAGCTATTTAACGCATAGTGACAACTGCTATTTATCTCTCAATATTGTCTGTAAAAAACGTGGTAAAAGTTATTCTTTCAGTGAGAGAACAGAGCAAGCTTCTACAGTTGCACTACGTTTTGATAACAGTTCAATATTATTTTGATAATAAAATATATTTCAATGTTGATGAATGTCATACTGTTCATTCATAATCTGATTGTCTTTATAGCTCAATGTTGAAAAAAAAAAAAAACATATAAAATAATTATATCTACAGCCCCTAAACACACAAACACACCGCTTTCATAAATAACACAATAATAATATGTTTTATGTTTCCTGTAATTTTTGTTAGGAAAGGACATGCCTGAAAGACACGACTCAGCTTCTCCTCCTTCTCTGAGGGTCAAGAAGAACATCCAAGAGGAAAATTAAAAGCTGATGTTATGAGATGTTAAGACCAGTACAGGACATTCACTAAGAAACTATTTTTATTGTGAAAACAAATTCAGCTGATCGAATGCACCTATTTCCACATCTACACTCCATCAGCTGATTAATTCTATTTGCCTCACTTCATGAGCTTCACAACATGTACCTTGTACCGCAGAGTTTGCAACGCAAATAAATGGGGCCAATCTTCAGTCGGATGTGAATGTGTAATCTAACATTTTCAGTAAGAATAATGGACAAAAGGAGTGCAAATACAAATTCAATTTATTGAAATGTGAACCAAAGGTTAATCAAACATGTTTTAAATAAAAAAGCACATATGGACAGAAGGTGTAAACCTATTAAATGTATAAGTAAACACATTTAGTCAAATAAAGTGACAGACAAGGCCTGTGCATGGGCTCCTCCATCAGGCCTGGTCCTCCTCGCAGAGGAAAGACCCTCAGTCCTCTCCGGCCAAACCAACAGACAGGACGTCCATCACACGGAGGTTTCTCCCTGAAGTCTCTGCAGCTCTCTGGACACCACGCTGTCTCAATCCGTCCACACTGAATATGAGAGGGGAAAAATGAAAATAATAAATGCTTTAGACAATAAGAAATATAAAGTTGACTGTTGAGTTGCTCAGCTTTTTTAGATTGTCAATACTATTACTGTATAACTAATATCTCAGGTTAAGAGGCACATTCAAATAAAGATTGGTCTTTAAATACATTTTGTCTTTTGAATTGTTTGTCTAAAGTCAAGGATCTAGAACTGGTACTTCTAGTTTTAATGATACAGTCTGGTTATAATGCTGTTTGGAGGAGGCCTCACAGGTAAGAGCACTAACTAGCTATCATCACATGCACCTTAGCTTAACTTAAATGTATTAAACGTATAATTAAGTGATGGCAAAATATAAATAACTAATGTCATGCAAACATATTAATATTTGCTTGATTCCAGTGTTGCATTTAGCACATTGCATACAAACGTTAAGGGATTTTAAGATTCTGAAGTATTATGCTAAAAACTCAACTTAGATTATTATTTATAGTTTTGCTGAATAGTCTCATGTCCGCTTACCTTAGAAACGTAAAATGTGACGGCAGTGTGCAGATGGGGAGCATGTTAGCTTAGCTTGGTAGCTTGAGCTAGCTCTGTTACTTCCCAGCTGGAGGCAGAAGGTCCCGCCTCGGCTCCGCCTCTTTGCCCTTATTTGGAGCAGGCGGGAGTGGAACTCTGACGTCACTGTCGAGCCGTTAGTGGCCGACTCCGCCTACTAAGGGCTTCTCGGCAACTCTGCAGAATCCTATGGGTGACGTCACGGACCCTACGTCCATTTATATATACAGTCTATGGTATCTACAGATATTAAGCCTGACAAAGTACTTAACGTCTAATATATTGCATGGTTTATTTTGGAACTTGACAATCAACTTTCCTGCAATGTTAACTATGTTGAAGCACTTATTTTAACTGATATTATACATATTAATTATACTCTTATAAGATGTATGTAGATAGTATAAGAAATGTGCAGAATATGTTTAATGGTGGAGGTACACAGATATTGATAGATGTCTTGTAATGCCCTGTTGAGGAACCTGTGACCCAAGTTTTTCATTCATTGCATAACTACACCGTAGTTGTGTATATGATATGTCAATGAACCTTAGAAAATCTTGAAATCTTGAAAGGGATGTGCAATATAGCCCTTATATACAGTTTTTAATTAACTATTAGTAGAGAATAACGAGTAATGAATATGCTTTAGGGATCTGCAGATAAATATTTAGTCTTCTCAAGCACCCACTACCAAATATCTCGCCTGATTGTTGGCTGAATTCACTGAATTTTACTCAGGTGTAACTAAAGTCTGATTTAAGGGTTGTTTATATTTCACATCATTAATCCAAATCTGTAAAGTAACTAAAATAAATGTACATGTTCTAAGCACATGGTGTAGTCCCATAGCTGAGGATTCTGGGTAGTGTAGTGTCTTCTGCCATCCACACACTCCGAAAAAATATTTGTTTCTCCAAATCGAAAGGGGAAAATACAAAAGCATTGTACACAATTTAAACCAATCAATGTTGTGTAATTAACAAGGATAATCTGGTGTTTTTGAGTTGATGAGTAGTGCAGATATCACTGTAAGTAAAATCAATGGACAGTAAGGAGAATACTTACTTCCGGGTGTAAAATGCTCTGTTATCCAATGGGAATGGACGCTCAGCTCTTTGGGTCCGTAATACAATAAAGGGGACTTGATCAAATAGGAATATAATTATCTTTTAAATAACGTTAACTAAAGGGAACAATCTATTTGACACAGCTGAAGCTCTGGCCTTCCTTAAAAACGAACTAATTTAATAAAAATCACAGTTGTATTGCACACAATGCACTGTTTTTTGAGAACAAACATTGGTAAATAATGCACCATAATACATTCTGACGGAAAAAAAAAAATTATTGGTGCAGACACGTAAATGTAGCAAAGTTCGTGACTCCACCACGCAATGCGATGTTAAGGAGTCGTGGTGGAGTCACGCATCCTGGTGAGACCAGGTTGGTTTAAACTTTGTTACTGTACTGTTACTTATGGCGCATCTCCACCATGGAACGCGGTTTAAGCGTGCCGCGTCGTGCCGGGCCCGTTTTTGGTTGCGTTTCCACTATGCCTAGTGCCGGCCCGGGGCTACTTTTTCACCTTTTTTCTGGCCCGACAAAATCGTGGTTCTATCGGGGACAACAAGCGGGCCAACAACCGGGCTGAATATGCTAAACTAGTGACGGCAAGGGGGCTACAACTACAATAAGATGAACATATTTGACCGTGATTTAATTGTAATACACGTTTCAAAATGATGCCGAAGTAACAACATACTGATACCGGTTAGTAAAAACCATGAATTAATGCTTTGACAAGTTTGAAGACAGACGGCAGGCGAAACACCTTTTAAAATGCGTGTTTTCTAAATGGAGATCGGCTAAGCTAACGCAGTATATGCTCCGACCGTCCACACTCACAACAACGGCCTACAGACATAAATAAAGCAGCGACTGTATTCTCCATGACACAGACAGTCTGTGGTTTGTACTTGTTTAACTTTTGTCTAGTTTCTGAACATATATGAGGAGCTGTGAGCTCTGAGTGCTAACAGCTAACGGCTGTGTTGTTTTTCTGGGGTTCTCATTGAAGATGACGTCACGGCTCCGCCTACACTGCGTTACTATAGATACTACCCCAGTTCCTAAACTGTAATGGAAACGCAGCATGAAGTGAGCCGGGCCTAACAAGGCCTAACAAAACCGTACTAAGCCTGCGGTGGAAATGCGCCATAAGTTTCTTTACTGCGATCATTAAAGAACAGGTTAGATTATCAGATAACATAAAAACTGGATCCTCTTCAGGTCAGGTTACAGCAGAAACTCTTACTTTGTGTCTGAGGGTCCAGGTTCATTCCTGAAGTCTGGAGGTTCCTGTTTAGACCAGTCACTCTTCAGAGACAGACAGCTGGAGACTGAAGATGTGTCCTCTTCCTCATCTTTAAAACCACTCATCTTCTCCAGTCTGAGAGATAAACCAGTAACACTGGACACACACACACACACACACACACACACACACACACACACACACACACACACACACACACACACACACACACACACACACACACACACACACACACACACACACACACACACACACACACACACACACCATAATAATAAACTTGTGTTATGATATTAGGGTCATGCAGAGTCAGACAGCTACCCCTTAAGAGAGAGAGAGAGAGAGAGAGAGAGAGAGAGAGAGAGAGAGAGAGAGAGAGAGAGAGAGAGAGAGAGAGAGAGGGTGGTGGCGCGTGCATGTGTGTGTGCGCATGAGAGAGTGAGCGAGCGGTGGTGTGTGTTTTTGAAGTGAACGAAACAGCAGCAAAGGTCTGTCGAGTGTCTTCAAAGTTAGACCTGTAACAAAGACCTTAATAAATGCAACGGCCTCCCAAAGAAGAGCTCGCCTGTCTGCCTTATTGAAAAGTGGGTTATTGAACCCGAAGTTTGTTGCTTCGGCCCTGGAAGACTGCAGAGAGTCCCCCCTGTTTCCTCCACTACGGTCTGGGAGCCGACAGGAAAGTTTAACACTTGGTTCAAATACATCAAATCAGTCAGACTTCAGACAGGCCGCTCCCCATTTTGACTGCGCTGGGCTGTCGCATGTTATGTTGCTTTGATGAATCAGAAAACAGGAAATAATAAAGTTTACACCACTTGTAGAAGTCTCTTTGGACTCTAGGACGCTGATGTTCTGACTTCCAGTAAAACAGAGTAAATAATGTGTTAGAAAGCAGATCCTGGTGTTAACACTCACCCTGTTGTCCTCCTGCTCCGTCAAGCTGTAAAATGGCATCTTTTAACTTCCCTTCCTGTCTGCAGCCCCTCCTCTTGATTCATAACCAGCCTCATCAGCTGAACCAGTTCACACACAGGGACTATGTTCAGTGAGATGGAAATAGAGCTCAAAACAAGCTCAACAAAGTTATTTAAATAAACATATTAATACCACAGTGTGAAAATCACCCAGTAAACATCCTGCATTCAAAACCTCACTTAAAGGTCCCCTATTATACTGTTTTTCATCAATATATCACAGGTCCAGATATATACAGAACATGTCTCTGAAGTGTTTGGGTGTGTATCATGGGAGAGTTAAGACTTAGAGTGACATCAGCGGGCAGAGCGGCAGAGGGAGTCCGCTGTTAGAGCCATGAAGACGGATTAAAAGAACGAGCAAACCAGCCTCTCGTGTTCTTGTTTATTTTCTTATTATCAGATATCTCTGCACCCCATCCTCCTGTCAGCTGCCCCGTGCTCAGGCTGGATCAACGTGATGACGTATCAGTGGCGGAATGTCACTCAGTATTTTTACTCAAATACCTGAGTACATTATGAGGTAAGTGTACTTTTGTTTGTTGGTATTCATACTCCACTAAATCCATTTCCAATACAACAATAAACTAAAGTAATACAATCTAAAAGTCTATTTGATATTTGTGATTCAGTTTTCTGCTTTGGTGTAATGTTGTGGATTGTATCTATAGTTTGTTGACTTCTTGTATCAGTGAAAGTGCATCGATGTGGTTTCCCTTAGTATCGTGCGTCTGACGTCATCACGTAACGTCTTTTCCCGATTCTTCCACCTGCAGCTGATCCGCCATGTTTGCTTGTTCAGGTGATTTTCACAACAGGTAAATGAAATGAATACAGGTTATATTTGGTATATACAGAATAATGAACAATGTCAGGGATGAAATGGTCCAGCTGGATTGTTTAAATGTTGCTGTGTAAGTCTTAAGCATTAAGTCATATTTTCATGATGTTTGATTGATATCAGGAATACTGTTTTGGCTTTATATTTAAACCACTGGTGTTTAATTGCCCTGTGATAATGTAGCTGTTAGCATTGCTATAGTGCCCTGCTGCTCTTCCAGTTAGCATTTTGCTATCAAGTCTACTTTGTTTTATTATGAATTAAGTATTAAAATAAGCTCCACGTGGAATACCCATTTCCGCCACAAGAGGGGGCACAGTGCAAGGGGAAATGCCATGGGGTGAGATTCAAGGTTCAAGGCTTTTATTGTCATTTGAACATAGCTACAGTTTAGAGATATCAATGAGAATCTGAGGTCTCAGGCTCCTCCATCAGAGCAACACAATAACACAGATACAATAGTTAAAATAGTGCGAGGAGAGAGGGTCTGCAGAATCAGAACATCACCAAACCCATTGAATATATTTTATTTGTATTTCTTTAAAAAAAAAAATTAAAAAAGCTATACCTAAGAGGACAACATTATTATGAATAAACAATAAATAAAGTATTTTTTATGTGTAAAATTGGCACCAACATTGACTTTGATGCATTTTTTACATGTATTCTTCATAGTGTGTAATTCATCAATGATTAGCAAGAATACTTTGAGTTTTTGAGCATTTCTATTTTTTGTGAAAAACACCAAGAAACTCGAGTCTCAATCTGGTGGAAAACAGACAACAAATAGGAACATTTCCCTTCAGGCACGAAGGAGAATAGAGAATATAACTTCAAAGCAGGTTTGACTGGATCCAAAGTTCTGTTATATGGATATAGTGAGTCCTCAGCTCGCTCTACGCCAAAACCTGCATGGCATTGTTTAGGGAAAAGTCACTCATCACTCATTGGCTGCGCCGGATGCTGTCAGGCCTCCCATTGGACGAGATATCCTATATATTAACAGCTAGACAGCCTGTGTTTGAGACCCTATGGAGGCCCTTCATTGATCATGTGAAGGATCTGAATTGATCTGATGGTCAAGACGATGAATAGGTGCAGTTCCTGAGACGTTGTAACTGTGTATTTTCTTTCTATGCATAATGTTTCCATCTGATTGCCTCGTGTTACACGGATACAGACGGAGCAGAGAGTAAATCACTTTCCACCACTTCAGAAATCTCCTCTGCAGCCACTTAAATAACAGCTTCATGGCTTCAAAGGAGACATGCGTGATGACCCAAAGCCTCGTGGACTTTCCTTATCTTTCATTACCTCACAATGATGCTAATGGAAACACGTCAGAGCTCCATTCATATTTTTTGATTCAAAATACTTTGGGGACACTTCCTGTGTTTTATGTCCATTAAATTGAAAACAGTGAAACACAAACAAAAGTCAGACACACTGAACGTAAAAACCTCTCCTGAGATAAAGACAACACAAACAGCGTCATGCATTTATTTAAGAAACTGAGATTATTTCATCTCAATGTTTTGAGAAATCTGGGAAATAAATACTGTTTGTTTTTCTGAATGAACGGGAAACATGGGCCGGGCTGCACTAAACACCGCTGTAGTAATAATGCGTGATAAATACTTAAAGAAAGACTCTTATATATTTATAATCTGGGACTTTCAGAGTTGAAAAAGAGACTGTATTTATTGGTTTTAGGGTCAAATGTTCAATAAAACAAATAAAGCAGAATTGCAAAACTGATGGGGGATTATTGATCGCAAATCTTCTTATTTATAAATGAACGAAGGCACATATTTAGCCTCAGTTGAAGGGTACGTTTCATGCAAAGAAGCTTTACATTCAACCCCTTGTAGATATTGGGAGACACTTGAGTCTCAATCCAATACAGACATGCTCTGATCTGTGTGTGACCACTAAATCCTGATGATACAGAGACTTACAAAGATGCATCTGCAACGATCAGGGCTGAACACCTGGGAAATCAGGAAAAGCTTCTTTTGGGATTTTTCAGTAATTCAGAAAAACAGAGCAGAATTTATTTCCATTGAGATAAAAGATAAATCAGTTTAATCAGAAAAAACCCCACTTTTTATTTCCTCAAGTGTTTGCATTCTCTGGCCCGTACACGCTGCCATCACACAGTAAAACATTAGCTTTGACCTCCAAAAGAAAGCGCTCCTGATCACCGTTAATCAGATTCTCCCTAAAACAAAAAAGAGTTTGTTCACATCCTTTGAAGCTACCTCACTTCGTCTTTAGACCTCACCACTTCCTGTCATTTCTCTGGAGACCACGCTCCGTGTCCTCCTCTCTCTGGACGTTAGCTCGCGCAGAGCGGCTCTCCTCTCATCGTTTTTCCTGAAAGGCAATACTCAAATCGTCTCTTAATTCTCCACAAAGCGTCGTCTCACTCCGGTATCTTCAGAGGTTTCATGACATCGTCTTCCTCGTCGTCCGTGTCGAAGAACTCCTCCTCGAAGAAGGACCCTCCGAAGCCGTACTCCTGCGCGTGCACCGACACCTCGTTGGACACCAGGTGAGGACAGCCCTCCACGAAGTCTGCAAACCTGAGGAGGAAAAACACAACATCAGCAACGATGAGGCACAATATTATATTACATTCATATAAAGTTTGCAGCCCGAGCTAAGGCAAGGCACGTTTATTTATAGAGCCCCTTTCAACACAAGGCAATTCAAAGTGCTTTACAAACATGAGAGACATTAAAGGTCCCGTGTCATGGCCATTTCTACTGATCATAATTCCATTGTTGAGGTCTACTAGAATAGATTTACATTGTTCAATGTTCCAAACTCACATTGGTTTCTCATACAGCATCTCTGTATAGTATGTGTATTCACTCTCTGTCCTACACGGCTTGTTGGAGCTCCTGCCCCCCCCTCCCCTGTGAGCCCAGTGGCCGTCTGCGAGACATAGCGAAACCCAGCCCGAACACACACACACACACACACACACACACAAACTCCCAGCCTCGCCGCCTCGGAGGAGAAATCGGCGGAGCTGCAGCTGAGAAAAGATTGAGTGTGTGTGTGTGAGGAACGGCTCCGCGGACGTAACGTAACGGCTCCAGGGATTGGTCTATTTGGACCAATGGGTCCATTTGGGTATGGGCACGTCACTGTACCCAGGAAGAAAAAGATAAATGTCCAACGAGGCGTTCTGGGGCAGCATAGACAGGTCCTTTCTTTAGAGTTTTACTCCCTACAGGGTGTACTTTGAGGGTTTGTGACTCTGCAGACCGTTCACATGCAGAAGCTACAGAACACAAGGGGACGGGTAATAACCAGAAAAGCATGACATGGGACCTTTAAGAGCATTAAGAAACATATTATAAAATGGCATTTAAAAACACTCATTTAAAAGCAAAGATAATAAAACATGAACAACAAAGGAACATGAAGTCACAGCAGTGTGAGACACACACGTCTGAAAGGTTGAGCTCTGACTCTCAATCAGCGCTCACTTTTTAGCAGAGATACTTTTCTTTGACCTCCCTTTCTTTCTACTTTCCTTTTTAACTTGTCCTTTAGTTATTTCAAGTGTTTCACGCTAAACGAACCCCCCTTTGGAACGTGCTGTAATAACAAACCACGGAGATACAAACCACACATATAATAATATTACATTTAATTGTGATAGCGCTTTTCCTGGTGCTCAAAGACGCTTTACATCAAATCAGAAACAGTACAAAGAAATATAAACACTGATCTCTGCAACCAGTGTTACGGACGGATCAATATGAATATACCTCCAATCAAACTGTGCAGACGGCTTGAAAGCGATAGTTAATCAATTACCTTTAAAAACAAAAACAACCTTTTTATTAATCATGCAAGTCAGGTTAATCAATAAAGCATGCATGATTTAATTATCAAGCAATTTGTAAACAGTGCATCGTTTTCATTGACATATTAACCTTTAACCTTAATAATAATAATAATAATAATAATAAATAAATAAATAAAGTAATATTTTCACAAAACGTAAACTGCGACTACGTGAGAACCGTACTCGCTATCAAAAAATATCCAATCAGTCTAATAAAGTCCATCGTCTCGAGAACCGTTTAAACTTGTAATTTTTGTTCTACGTTAAAATATGCGGAATCTGTATGGGGTCAAAGCGGGGTGTTTTTGAGCTCTGTTCAAGTGGATTTCCCATTCATTCCTATCGGGCAAATGATCGCAGTTTTCTGCGATTTGATTGAAAACGACTAGCGAATCTCTAATAAAAGTCATAGCAACCCGATTCCGGTCACTCCGTACGTTTTGATGTGTTTTGTGTGTTTCGTGTCAACGCTGGTGGCCTGACAACATTTGTGGCGGAAGAAGGAAAATAAAATGAGATAAGTATGTTGAATACTAGACTGCGTGTGGCTCCGCCAGTCACACAGAATCAATAAAAGTATCACATCACCCCAGTAAAAACTGGATTATCACTTGTGGGTAAATAAAGTATATGGTTTTTCTTGTTTTCTTAATAAATACAAGAGGACCCGGGTTTTAGGCACGACGCTCTGTTGATTTAACAGGATTAGCAGAGGCGCTTTTAAATAATCTGCACTGAGTAACAGAGGGAGAGGACGGCACCTTTTGGGGGACTGCAGGCGGGCCACGGTCCTCCAGGATCTGAACTCGGGGCTGCTGCAGTTCTTCCTCAGATCCTCCAGAGCTTTACGAGTCTCTTCCTCCGCCTCCCGCTGGAACTCCTCCTCCGTCAGCAGGCGGCGAGGCTCCGTCTTCCAGCGAACTGCAGCTCTGAGCCGCCTGCAGGACAGAAATAAAATTGTATTTATATAACCCAATATCACAAATAACACTTGCTCAGGGGCTTCACAAAGCAGAACAACTCATCAAAATCCTTACCGTGGTGGAGAGGTTTGTGTGCCCTGATGAACCTGGGGGCTGTGTTGTCTGGAACCTTGTGTTCCTGGTAGGGTCTCCCATGGCAAATTGGTCTCAGGCAAGGGGCCAGACTAAGATTGGTTCAAAGACCTCATGAAAGAAGACAAGAAGTGAGGATACCCGGCCCGGAGGAAGCACGGGGTCCCCTTCTGGAGCCAGGCCCAGAAGGAGGACTCGTCAGCGAGCGTCTGGTGGCCGGGCTTGCCACGGAGCCCGAAAAGGCAACACGGGCAACACCTCCGCTTCTCCGTCCCGCGGGCCCACCACCTACGGGAAACAGCGATGGGGTCGGGTGCACTGTCAGAAGGGTGGCAGTGAAAGCAGAGGGTCTCGACGGACCAGACCCGGGCGACAGAAGCTGGCTTTGGGGACGTGGAACGTCACCTCTCTGGGGGGGAAGGAGCCGGAGCTTGTGCGGGAGGTGGAGCGTTACCAGTTGGATCTGGTTGGGCTCACCTCTACGCACAGCGTCGGCTCTGGAACCTTACTTCTGGATAGGGGTTGACTCTATTCTTCTCCGGAGTTGCCCAAGGTGTGAGGCCCCGGGCGGGTGTGGGGATACTCACAAGCCCCCGGTTGGGTGCTTCTTTGTTGGAGTTTACCCCAGTGGACAAGATGGTCGCCTCCCTACGCCTGCGGGTTATGGTTGGGAAAACTCTGACTGTTGTGTGTGCGCTTATGCACCAAACAGCAGTTCAGAGTGTTCGGCCTTCTTGGAGACCCTGGAAAGAGTCCTGTATGGGGCTCCTGAAGGGGACTCTTTAATCTTGCTGGGAGACTTCAACGCACATGTGGGCAATGATGGAGACACTTGGAGGGGCGTGATTGCGAGAAACGGCCCCCCTGATCTGAACCGGAGTGGTGGTTTGTTACTGGACTTCTGTGCTAGTCATGGATTGGCCATAACAAACACCATGTTCGAACATAAGGATGCTCATAAGTGTACCAGAGTGTACGTTATCGTATCATCTGACCTGAGGCCGTATGTTTTGGACACTCGGGTAAAGAGAGGGGCGGAGTTGTCAACTGATCACCATCTGGTGGTGAGTTGGGTCGAGTGGCGGGGTAATTCTCTGGACAGACCTGGTAAGCTCAAACGTGTAGTGCGGGTGAACTGGGAACGCCTGGAGGAGGCCCAAGTTCAGGAGGCCTTCAACTCACACCTCCGGCGGAGCTTGTCGGGCATCCCTGTGGAAGCTGGGGACATTGAACCAGAGTGGGCGTTGTTCAAAGCCTCTAGTGCCGAAGCCACGGCGGGGAGCTGTGGTCTCAAGGTCTTAGGTGCCTCAAGGGGCGGTAACCCTCGAAGCCGTCCGACTGAAGAAGGAGGCCTTCAGGGATATGTTATCCCGGGTGACTCCCGAGGCAGTTGCAAGATACCGACAGGCCCGAAGGGCAGCAGCCTCAGCCGTGACCGAGGCAAAGCAGCGGGTGTGGGAGAAGTTCGGAGAAGCCATGGAAAAGGACTTTCGGGCAGCACCAAAGTTGTTCTGAAAAACTGTCCAACACCTCAGGAGGGGGAAGCAGGGAACCATCCAAACTGTGTACAGTAAGGACGGGACGTTGTTGACCTCAACTGATGGAGTGTTAGGGCGTTGGAAGGAACACTTTGAGGAACTCCTGAACCCGACAACTCCGCCTTCTATGGTAGAGGCAGAGCTGGAGTATGACGGGGGATCAACACCAATCTCCCGGGGGGAGGTCACTGAGGTAGTCAAACAACTCCACAGTGGCAAAGCCCCGGGGGTGGACGAGATCCGCCCAGAAATGCTGAAAGCTCTGGGTGTTGAGGGACTGTCATGGTCGACACGTCTCATCAACGTTGCGTGGAAGTCGGAAACAGTACCGAAGGAGTGGCAGACCGGGGTGGTGGTTCCCCTTTTCAAAAAGGGGGATCAGAGGGTGTGTGCCAATTATAGAGGCATCACACTACTCAGCCTCCCCGGGAAAGTTTACTCTAAGGTACTCGAAAGGAGGGTCAGGCCGATTGTCGAACCTCAGATTGAGGAGGAACAATGCGGATTCCGTCCTGGTCGTGGAACGACGGATCAGCTTTTTACTCTCGCAAGGATCCTGGAGGGGGCCTGGGAGTACTCTTATCCGGTCTACATGTGTTTTGTAGATTTGGAGAAGGCGTATGACCGGGTTCCCAGGGAGTTACTGTGGGAGGTGCTGCAGGAGTATGGGTTGAGGGGGTCTCTACTCAGGGCCATCCAATCTCTGTACTCCCAAAGCGAGAGCTGTGTCCGGGTCCTCGGCAGTAAGTCGGACCCATTTCCGGTGAGGGTTGGCCTCCGCCAGGGCTGCGCTTTGTCACCAATCCTGTTTGTAATATTCATGGAAGGATTTTGAGGCGTAGTCGTGGGGGAGGGGGTCTGCAGTTCGGTGGGCTAAGGATTGCACCACTGCTTTTTGCAGATGATGTGGTTCCAATGGCTTCATCGGTCTGCGACCTTCAGCACTCACTGGATCGGTTCGCAACCGAGTGTGAAGCGGCTGGGATGAGGATCAGCACCTCCAAATCTGAGGCCATGGTTCTCAGCAGGAAACCGATGGACTGTCCACTCCAAGTAGGGAATGAGGCCTTACCCCAAGTGAAGGAGTTCAAGTATCTCGGGGTCTTGTTCTCGAGTGAGGGAACAATGGAGCGTGAGATGGGCCGGAGAGTCGGAGCAGCGGGAGCAGTACTGCAGTCGCTTTACCGTTGTGACGAAAAGAGAGCTGAGCCAGAAGGCAAAGCTCTCTGTCTACCGGGCCATCTCCGTTCCTACCCTCACCTCTGGTCATGAAGGATGGGTCATGACCGAAAGAACGAGATTGCAGATACAAGCGGCCGAGATGGGTTTTCTCCGCAGGGTGGCTGGCGTCTCCCTTAGGGATAAGGTGAGAAGTTCAGTCATCCGGGAGGGACTCGGAGTTGAACCGCTCCTCCTTCACGTAGAAAGGAGCCAGTTGAGGTGGTTCGGGCACCTAGTAAGGATGCCACCTGGGCGCCTCTCTAGGGAGGTGTTCCAGGCACGTCCAGCTGGGAGGAGACCGAGGGGTAGACCTAGGACCAGGTGGAGGGGTTATATCTCTTCGCTGGCCTGGGAGCACCTTGGGACCCCCCAGTCAGAGCTGGTTGATGAGGGGAGAGGAACGTTTGGGGCTCTCTGCTGGAACTGATACCTCCGGGACCCGACCACGGATAAGAGGGAGAAGATGGATGGAAATAAAAAATCCTCTGTATAATTGGATAAATGACATACCAACTTACAGCGAGAAGATATTCGAGTTAATAAGTGGAAGAAATGGATGATTTATGACGGAGGAAAAGTGATGTAAGATTTTATTTTTTATACTTGAATTAATATGTAAAATACTACTTGATGTACAAACTCAATAAATATTAGAGATTAGACCGTTTTATTAATACATTTTGCTCTGGGTAATAAAAACACATCACACAGCATGAGGACCACCATTGAAGCTCTTTCAGATTGAAATGCCCCCCCCCCCTGCTCAAAAGACTAAACTACTGTGAGGAAATGTTTAATCTATTTGGAGAATTGTAAGCTGTACTCTGCTCCGTTTGTGGATGAGCTTTTATTGTATTTTTGTTGAATTTGTTAATTTGCAAATGTAATTATATTCTTGGTCTGTACTTTAAACTGATTTCTAGTAACTGCACACTTTTTATTTTATTTATTTTTTAGCATTATTTTGTAATCTGCCATATATCTAATGTTGGGGAATGTTCGGTTGTTTTTGTGTAATGTGATAAATGTAAAAAATCTATAAATAAAAAGTCCCCCCCCCTCACCTGCAGGCGGTCACAGAGAGTCTGAGCGGGTGCTCCAGGTGTTTGGAGATCAGCGCGGCCACGATGACGGCGAAGGCCACCTGCTGGATCTGGATCCCCAGGTAGACCAGCAGCAGGCCGAACAGCTGCAGCGTCCACGACAGGATGTTCATGCTCTTCTCGTCCACCAGGGGGCCGTACCGGTAACACACGGCGAAGGTGACGAAGCCCACCACCGTCACGTAGCCTGAGGAAACACGGGAACATATATAGTTACTTACAGGGTTTTATTATTCTTTTTAATAACAACTTTAGGGCACACATGATCAGAAGCTTTTAAGTTTGAAGGACCTGTAGTAATAGAGCGGTGCAGTGACGAGCCCGAAAACCAGGAAGTGAGTTAGCATTTACCACTTCCGGTTCCCTTGTCTCAGAGGCAACGGGATTTCGGAAAATATCTGGAAATAAGGTCTGTGGTCGACACAAATTGAAGAGACGGATCACGTTTCAGGGCTCAACGCTAACTTTTAAAAGTGGTTGCCAGGCAACCAGGCATCAGCTTTTGGTTGCCAAAACTGAAAATACGGTTGCCATTTTTAGTCACCTTATATTTTAAATAATTAAGATACTATACAGTTATACATCAACTTAATAATGAACATGCGACACAAAAGAATGTTCAAATGCTTTACAATAAGTAATTAACACAATTATTTGAAACTAAAGTGGTAGTAAACGTGTCCACCCTCAATTGCTGGTATACTAAACACCAGCAGTGCAGCGGTTGTCATGTTCTTCACAGATCCCTCACAAATGAATTGAGCAAGTCACTAGTTTCTTGGTCATCTGTTGTCTCCCTTTCAAACGTGGGTTTTCTTGACCTCTGTGCTGACCCCCACCGCAGATCCACTGGCCCTTCAGCATCGAAGTCTTGGATTGGCCAGACTAATACATTTCTAATGTTAAATAAATGAAAACCATTCACAGTTAAGAATTAGATATTAATTATTAATGCTGTAAATTACCTTTAATATGTCTAACTATATTTAAAATGTGTTACCTTTTTATAGAAGTGATTATATTTGTATGCCAATATTTTCCTATGGTAAAGTTTCGTTTTGCACTTTTATTTTGATAGTATTAAAGGGCCCATGTCATGCTTTTCCGGTTATTACCCGTCCCCTTGTGTGTTATGAAGGTTTTTATGCATGTAAACGGTCTGCAGAGTCAAAACCCTCAAAGTACACCCTGTAGCGAGTAAAACTCTAACACAGAAAGGACCTCCCCAAAACGCCTCGTTGGAGATACGTCATTGTCCATTTGATTCTTCCATTTCGTTCCGGGTACGGCATGACGTCATGCCGTACCCGGAACGAAATGGACCAATCCGTGGAGCCGTTACGTTACGTCCGCGGAGCCGTTACGTTAAGCCCCCGCTGATTGGTCCAAATTGACCAATCCACGGACTTCCTCACACACACATCTGTGTGCAGGGAGCAGGCAGCTCTGCTGATTTCTCCTCCCTGGCTGCAGGCTGATAACAGACAGTTGGGATCGCGGCGAAATTCTCTCTGCAGACCCATTCTCTCTGCAGACCCATTCTCTCTGCAGACCCATTCTCTCTGCAGACCCATTCTCTCTGCAGACCCATTCTCTCTGCAGACCCATTCTCACAGCGTTTATCAACCTTTTTCTTACTCAATATCAAGACACACTTATTGTTTTTACTTCGGCTGTGACTTTGTGTGTGCTCAGGATGAATTTGGCTGTGTTTCGCTATGTATCCTAAACAAGGAAACAACACCTCCACGGAGCTCAGCGCCATTCACAACGTCCCGACCAATCACAGCACACTGTGCTCACAGGGAGGGTGGGGGCTGGAGCTATTGGAGCTACAACGAGCCGTTAAATGCAGAGAGTGAAATTCAGTGAATACAAGTAGTTTACAGAGATGCTGTTTGAGAAACCAATGTGAGTTTGGAGAGATGCTGTTTGAGAAACCAATGTGAGTTTGGAGAGATGCTGTATGAGAAACCAATGTGAGTTTGGAGAGATGCTGTATGAGAAACCAATGTGAGTTTGGAGAAATGCACAATATAAATCTATTCTAGTAGACCTCAACAATGGAATTATGATCAGTGGAAATGGCCATGACATGGGCCCTTTAAGATCGGAACTCTTATTTTGAAGGAACTTTTACTGGAAGTGAATGGATAACGGTGCAGAATGTTTCGCCTCCCAAGACTTTACCCATTTCCTCTTTGCTTTCCGTTCGGGTTCACCTTGCGCTTTATCAGTTGAATCATTTTGAACATTTGTTTGAGATGTTGGCCGAACTTTTTACCCCACAGTCAAACAACTTAATTTGCTTCGCCATCTTTTGTAAAACAAACACACGGCGCACCGCGCACGCGAGTAAACGTGCATCGCTTTCTGGCTCCGTAATCACACCAATGCACGTGCAACTTAAGTATCAGGTTCCGACTGGTCACAACAATAATTAACATGTATCTATGTTGGGGTGCACATTATGCTGTTTGCTGTCCTTATTTCTTTATGTTAACTGGTTGCCACTGATGGCAACCAAAGGCCAAGAAGTGGTTGACATTTTTTCTGAATGGTTGCCAATGGCAACCTGGCAACCATTACTGTCGAGCCCTGCGTTTTGTTCTCCAACATTAAATCCATCAGCAGTGACCCCACTGGTGATTTCTGAAGAGTTGACGTGTCTGAAAAACGATGGTTGTTACCAAGTGGCTGAATAGGACTACAGAAGTCGTGGAGGTCGTTGTACGTCATCACGCCGAACACGTAAACACTCCTCTAAGTTTGTTGGCCCTGTTCTGCTTGAAAGCAAGTACCTGCCTCCTGCAAACTGTTCAAACAAACGCTTAAACTCGTTCCATTTAGAATCTGTATGTTTGAATATGGATCTGAAGTTGGCGTGACGTTGAAGTCGTGCTGCTGGGCTCGGCTGTAGGTCCTTTATAGCATAACGTTAGCATTTTGCTTCTGGAGATTAGATTTATGATTAGAACATTATAAAAGTAGGGTAGACATGTGGAGATTATCCGGCTGAACAAAACATGCATTTATCAAACAGGTTAGTCTTATCTTATTTTGAGCTATTTTCCAAAATCCTATGGAGAGATCCCGTTGCTTTCTGTCGAGGGAACGAGCAGCTTCCTTCAGGGTAAATTCGCCACTCTATAAACTGACCACTAAATAACGTGGGATAATCTGGGACTATGAGTGAATGAGGCATATTCAAATAATCCTTTACTGCCATCTAGTGTCTGATAAAATAAAGTGTTGCAGCAGCATAAAACAAAACGAGGCATTGCACATAATAACTCATTAAAAGACTAGAAATAAACCATTCTAAAATATAAACATCTCAGAATAGAAATAGAAATAAACCAGCACTAGACAGTTCTAAGGAATATGTACAGATGACCGGGAAGATAAAATGTCTCACAAATAAAATAAACACTATTGAAGGGCCAAACACTATATAAGCAGGATATTATTTACATAAAGTGAGCAAGGAATGGAATATTCAATGAGATGTAAATATAAAAAGTACAGTGTGAATGTTATAAGTCCAGTTAACCAAGGAGAAGCTATGGAGAGGTGAGTTCTCTTCCAACATGGTGTTAGTAGTGAATACATGATGCCTGTAAACTTTGTGTTATCAAGTTCTTTAACCAATATGAATAAGATATTATAAATACATGATGACAGATAATAAAACCTGTTTTTGGTGAACATGATGTCACTAAATAGTTATGATGAGTCCCTGTATCTGCAGCCATTTGAGAAGAGATGAGTTTCTAGATAACTGGATCCATTCCCCAGCTGTGCTAACTCTGCCCTTTATTTACCAAATCCAATCTGTAAATGAATACGCTCTGATGAAGGCTGCGTGCCAACACACCTGAGCGTCTTTCTGTTGTGAGGCAAATAAACAAAAGGGTTTGATTATCTATCAAATGTGTGTGTTATGAAGGCTCTTCTTCACCTAACGCCACGTTCCAGTGTTCCCGCAGAATGGTCTGAAGGTTCCTTCCTACCAGCTGGATGGCGTACAGAGAGAACGACCAGCCGCCGACAATCAGGACATAAAACGGGCTTTTCTGCAGAGAAGAGAAGAAGAAAGCAGGTGTCAGGCAGAGGTTGCGATAGACTTTTTCGCTGCCCGTCATTTTTTTTTAACTGTTAGCGCAAAGTTAGGTTTGGAAACGGTATAATTTCCGAAACTTTGGCGCTGTTCCGAGTTTGTTCTAATCCGTCAAAGTGAAAGACTGCTTTCAGATTTTTCCGTAATTGTAAAAAATAAAATATTCGGTTAACGCGACCTCTGGTGTGAGGCCAGTGAAGTACAAATACTTCCTTACTGTACTTAAGTACATGTTTCTGGTATCTGTACTTTACTCCACTACTTATTTTTCTGACCACTTTTTACCTTTACATTTTCAGGCATTTTGCATTTCTCTCAGTAAAACGATCTTTCTGAGAGTCTGTCGGCTCGGACATAAACTCTGTAATAAATGTAGTCTACTTTTCATACGAGGTGTAAAACCTGTGAGCATTTCAAATCTCATATGAAGGAAATGCTTGTAGAATCTGTAGTTGTATTTGTATTGTTGATTTAATGTGTGAACGAGGCGATACAGAGAAGTGAAGCTGTCATCAGGCTGTAGTTTGTTATAAACTGTTGGAGTGGTGAGCAGGCCTTTTGGTTCTGGATGTCTGGGGAGTCAGGTGGTCTGTGAGTGTTTGCTTATCGGTTAAACGTGGCAGTAAAATGAGTCCTTACCTTCGGCAGGAAGCGAGCCAGAATGAAGAAGACGATGATGAGAGAGGCGATCATGCCGGTGCTCATGCCAGCAGAGTAGAAGAACACTTGACTCCTTTATTGAGGGGAGGAAGACGAGGGGTTCCATATGTTATTATCCTTTTTAATTTAAATGCATCTTAGTGTTGTTAACCTGTTAAGCACCAAGCCTGTTTTTCATGTTTCAGGCTCGAAAATGACATGCCCAAAACAAATGACTACAACTTAACTTCTAAAAGGGTTATATGAATAATTTCTTTTATCAAAGCAAGGTTACATCTGTGAGTTGGATGTAGAAGTGTCAGAATCAATATAGATGTTTTTTATTTTAAAGAAAATTCAGATTTTACATAGTAAAAAACTGTAAATTATAGTGTCCGTCCAAAAATTATTTTTTACAGATAGTGAAAACTACCCTTGGATGATGGGTTAGTAGACTAAAAGCTTTAGGAATCCAAAGTGCAACATATAATAAGTACCCTGTATCAAGATTGATGCAAAACAAGTGACATTTGACCTTTTTAGAGAGATTTAGCCAAAACCACCCCACCTCTGAGGTGATTTGGGTGAAAATGTTTTTTTTTCATATCTCTGGCCCCCCTTGGTCGATTTTGATGGTTGACACCTCTTTCTGACCGTTAGAGCCAATAGAATCGAAGGGGGAGGCCCCCACACACACAAGTTGTGAAGAGAAAAGGTGGGGGCTGCGCGCATTCTACATTCTAGCTCTGGCATTTGGAAACGAAAAAGCAGTTTTATTGCTTATGGATTATCAGAAATCATTTCAAAGAGGACACAGACACATTGGATGAACCTATGGATTAACTGCAGCATCGTTTTTTATCGTTTTAATGCCATTGAAGACCAGCTTTGACCAAGGTAAGCCATGTTAGCGTTTCTAGCTACCTAGCTCCACATGTTATGATGTACGCTTTCGTTTATAGCGTCGCAAATGTTTATCACTGAGTGTTGAGGAGGGCACCACTAGATTCAGTGTCTCCAGGACACCAAAAACGAGTGGTTGGCTGTGCATCTAGGATAAGTAATAAGGGAGTTATTGTGAGTTTAAGTGCCGTTTTAGGTTACATTTTTTCGCTTGTGGCTAATTCAGAGGCTGAGTGTTAGCATTGTGGGGTTTTTTTGGATTTTTTTTTTAAAAAGATCAGTTAGCTGAGTTTCTTCCCGTTACATGGATATAAAACATTCATAGTTTATTAAATATTAACATTCCTTAGACGTTGTTTCCTGCAAATGACGCGTTTATCCGCCCAGTACCGGGGGGGGCGGTGCGTAACAGGTTAAATAGTCTTCATAAAAAGTTACCTGCTGAGTGAGTCTGCAAAGACGAACAGCAACGCTCCGGAGAGAAAAACCAGAAACAGATAAATATCAAACTCTGCAATGAAAAGGAAAAAAAGGATTATTCAAAGTTTATTAACCTCTTGCTGTTCCAGAGATGTGAAAAAGGATCACTGTAATGAGTCCTTAACGAGCTGATCTCTAACGAGTGTCTATGTGTGTTTCCCACTCACTCCTGATAGCCTTGACGGTGAAGCTGGTCTTGTCGGCCGGGTCGATCTTGAAGCAGGTCTTCTTGCTGAACAGACCGATGTTGATGGTGGTCTCGTTTTGCCGCTCTCGTAACAGACCCTGCATCCAGGACCAGACGCTGAAGCGCTCGAGCTCCTGCAGCTCCTCCTCGCCCTCCGCCATCTGCACCTTGAACACGTTGGAGCTCCACACCTTCACCTGGAGGACACACGCAGGAGGTATTACGGACAGAGCTTCACTGGAAGGACTTTAGTCTGTGAGGTTAGGAAAGGCTGTGAAACACTGATGAGACAGATCCTAAAGAAGGTGTTATGGAGCTGATCATCATTTTAATTTCAATTCATGTGTTTCTAATATCCTGCGTTATATAATGTGTTACTGTAAATGTGTATTTCCACATGTCTATTTTCAACATTTATCTTCATAGTTCCATTGTTGAGGTCTACTAGAATAGATTTATATTGTTCAATTTTCCAAACTCACATTGGTTTCTCATACAGCATCTCTGTATAGTATGTGTATTCACTCTCTGTCCTACACGGCTCGTTGGAAAATAGAGGAGTTTTTGTTAATTTTACCCAAATCTATTATTATCTTTTTTCTCTCGTAATTATTATAATTGTTCTAAAGGGGACCTATCATGCAAAATGCACTTTTTTATGTCTTCTCTACATAACTATGTGTCCCCGGTGTGTCGGGGAACTCACGCAGCGTCAGAAAATAAACCCCTCTCTTTTCCTCCGTACCCAAATCTCTAAAAACGGGGAACAACGGAGCTGATCCAGATTTGCGTCCGATATGACGTAATATCTGAAATGTGGACCCACGGCCCAATCAGAAAGTTGCTATCAGAAACAATGCCCGACTGTTTTGGACGTAATATGGTCGGTGTTTACATTAGCATCGCTAACACTCAGAGCTAACCTGTACTGGAGAGCATGTGTGTGAAGAAGCAGGAAATAAAAAGGAACTCACCTTGTGGTATAACCGGCAAGAGAGAAAGCCTTTGAGCTCCATACTGTTTCAGAAATAATCCTTGATAATCCATGATATGGCGTTTCATCACGGCAGCATTTAGTTTAGACAGTAGCTGCCGGGTCCCGCATGAGCTCAGCCCCCTACTTTTTAAAGCTTTATACCCCAAATCAGCACTTTTGAAACAGGAAGTGAAATAGAGGGATATGAGGCATGGCTAGAATGGGTGATCTGTTTGGTATTTTGAGCAAAACACTTCGTAGATATGTTTTTTATATATTTGTATGTATCTGAGACCTATGCTATGGCCTAAAAATAGCATGATAGGTGACCTTTAAAATCTTTTTTGTTTGTCTATTTGTAAGGCATCATTTTTGGCAGGGGTGTGATTTTTTTTAGGAGGTGTAACATCAGCTTGGCATTAAGTTCAAATAAATAAATAAATACAATATTTGCATTTGTTTCACACGAACACCACGTTGTTTTATCAAACGGGTATTTCAAGGCATACAAATTATGAAAATAAATACATATTTGTTCATTTTGATCACGGACTCTGGTTGATAGAAATAAGTTTGAAATTGGGAAAATAATATAAATATATAATAGTCTGTCTTAGTAAAAAAAAACGTTTCTCAAAAAAAATGTTTTGTTTGTCAATTAATGAATTAGTGAATAATATGAATATATAATAGTCTGTCTTTGTAAAATAATCTCTATTTTTAAAAATATATATGTTGTGAATAATATGAATATATAATAGTCTGTCTTTGTAAAATAATCTCTCTTTTTAAAAATATATATATGTTGTGAATAATATGAATATATCATTTATGGTAGTTTTTCCAAGCCGACCCATCTGTCCGACTTCTTTCTACATGAGGGTTACATTTAAGAATAGATGTATCTTTATTGTCATCATACAAAGTACAACGAAATGTAATTTGGCAACTCTCACTGCAGCAAAAGATAGACACAAATACATAAATAAGAGTTAAAAATAGTTCTGGATTTGACGGAGCAGCGTTTATGAACCCTACCTGGATCCTGGTCCATGTTTGCCTCCAGCTCGGCACCACAGAGTTCTTGTAACAGAACCGGTTGGACCCGGACACGAGGAACTCTTCTCCGTCCTGGAGGTCCGTGACGGGAAGTCTGTGGTTCCCTGAGACTGACAAACACAGACATGCAGGTTAAACAAAAACTGCATCGCCCACTGCCTGTGTTTCAACATGCTGCTTTATTTGTTTGTATTTTATTGTTCTGTTTAATTAAGATTTCCAGTAATTGCATGTTTTTATTTACTTGTATAAAATGAAATGTGTCTTTAGGTTGACTTACAAAATCTGTGCAGGGACTACAGATCAGTTGCAATTTGGTGCTCATATATATATATATATATATATATATATACAATGTTTCACAGGAGTTATCCTCTTTTTTTTAAAGTTTCATTTCTGTTTGAAAATAAAATGCCCCAAACCCCTTAACACATACAGTATATATATTTATAGCTATTAACATATATCGCTGGGAATTCCGACTGAAAATCGTCCCATGACGAAGAAGGTGACTGAACCTCTAAACTATATATATATATATATATATATATATATATATATATATATATATATATATATATATATATATATATATATATATATATATATATATATATATATAGATAGAGCACCAAATTGCAACTGAAGTAATCTATCTACGGTCACTTTTCACATTGAACATGTGCTCTTTTATTAAATAAACTAAATGCCTATGTTATTTATCCAATGTATGTGCATGTTTCAGTGTCCACTGCTTCTCTCGAATTATTAATATTTTTGGACGCCCTCGGCTCGAGTTCAGGGCTTTAAAATATAGAGCGATATTTACATGAAATATAGATATACCAAAAGTAATTCTGTATTTGACAAATATTTTATCTGAAATGTTTTTTTTATTAACACCGCTTTAAATCAAACTAACATTAATTATCCTAACTGTTACCCTGTAAACAACTTTATAACTTCGGCTTAAACTTCATTAAAAAGTGGTTAAAAGCAGTTTTCAGAGGCACATCCGGGATGGAAACGTGTTTATTTAACACTAACTTAGTTATCACACTGTAATATATTAAATAAGTGGAGTTGGCTGTGGTTAATGGAGTGATTAGGCCGGGTCAAAGCCGTTATTGTGGGGAACTTCTTCGGTGATTAACGGTCCGAGAACAGTCCTCTCAACGGAGGGGAAGTGTTGTGGGGCGAAACGCGGTTACACCTGTCGGCCACCGTACTTATCAGACACTCATATTTACCATGATCAGAGGGGGAGAAGTACTCTGACCTAGTACTACAGTAAAAGTAGAAGTACTCAGATCTTGTACTTGAGTAAAAGTATAAAAGTAATTATGTATTGACGAATATTAAATCTGAAATATGATTTTGGTTTTATCAATTTATTTACTTTGGGTAATTTTGTATTACTTTATATGTCTACCCATGATGTGAGCTTTTATTAATACAAAATATATAATGTTCATATATGTTCTTGAATAAATAAAAGCCAAAAGGAAACCAAAAATCTAACAATAAATCATGTTAAAATGAAGAACGTCCCACAGCAGGTTGTGTAATTAGCATTAGCTCAGAGGGCGGGGCGCCGGCTGTTGGCAAACTTTACAGATTCCCTCTGAGCAAATCTACAACAGCTTAATCAATAAAGACTATAAACTAACTGAAATACCTCCCTTACATGGAGAAATACCCAGAAACCAGTCAGCAGTGAATCCCGCTTCAAGAGAAACTTCTGTAACTTTTATGTAACGGTTATTTAGTAGCCAACATGAGTTAGCATCACATCAGCACAGCTACTTTACTCTTTAAAACACGTTGTTATCAATATAATACCACAGTAAAACCTCTGTCAATAATGCCGAACACTGCTTCTTACCTGCCTCCCGTTGTCCTGAGGTTTTGGGTGAATAGATAAGCAGCAAACACATAGAAATCATGAATAAAGACGTGAAACCGTTTTTCATTTTCATGCATCCCGCCATGATGGAAGAACCATCTCATGTTCGGTCCCGCCTCTTCCGGCTCCGGTAGCTTCTTTGAGTTACAGGCCGTTCAGCCAATCACAAGCGATGTTACGTACTGCGCCGAGGCTTGTGGTTCGAGTAATACACACATAAATGCATACATAAATGTATGAATAAAAACATGAATAAATAAATACGGCAATAAATAACTAAATGAATAAATACATTAATACATTTATATTTATGTTGTCATACCTCCATACCTGTGTGTTGTGTGCATAAAGGTACAAATTCAATCCAAATCACAACAAGATCTATAGTTGGGTGATCATTATTTGTAATAAACACACTGGTATTCCATAGGTTTACTCATTGGTTCTTCATGCAGGTGCTCGAGATGCAGGTGCTTTAGGTTCAACACTCAGGGGCGGGACATCTTTTGTCTTCTGCTATGCTGATGTCAATACATATGGAGAAATTGTCCCCACCAGTGAATGTAACAAAGTGATGCCCATGGTAATGATAATGAAAACCTTCACAGATCAGTAGAAAGCATCGATTGATTAATAATGGGGATTTAATGCGTTGCTCAGAGGTTACAGTTACATGCAAAACCCCACAGTGCTGCGGTCATTTCATATACTTCAAGTGCTTTTATGAGTATCTTATTACTAATTTGAGTACTGCAAATACTAATTGGTTGTAAGAGGGAGAAAACCTAACAGTGTCATAAGTATAAAATAAATAAATGCATAAATACAGGAAAGAAAAACAGGAATAAATAGACACTAGAAAAAATAAATACACATATCTTTAATGTATTTCTACATTTATTTGTACTAATATTAATTTATTAATGTCTGTGCGTGTTTCACACAGCTCTGCTTGGTCGCCTTGTATTCTGTGGATACAACAACATTTATAACAAATTAACTTTCAATTGCTTTGATGCTACATGTCAAATATTCCGATCATTTACGCACTTGTAACATACTTTTACAAAAGAGATAACTGGTTATGTGTGGCCTCAGTCTGAAGCAGGGTTGTGGTCCTTTCTGTCTAATGCCTGGCTACCCGCACTGATTCCAATGAAGGAGCATTCCTGTGTAGCCCAAGCAGCAAACTGACAACTCAACACAATTTGTTTAAGTTATTAATCCTTGAAGTTATGCATAAATTAGGGCGCTGCATGTCCCCTTGAGTGACAGATCAGTGCAGTGACTATTTACTTTTATTATTATTATTTATTTAATTGTATTATTCTTTTTGTATTCTTTTATTTGTATTTTATTATGATTTTTTATTTATTATTATATTTATTTTTGTATTATTTTGTATTTAATTAAATTATTATTTTTGTTTTCTTTTATTTGTATTTTATTATTCTTTTTAATGTATTATTATTATGTATTTTTTATTATTTTTTATTTAATTTTATTATTCTTTTTGTATTGATGTTAAGCTAATTTTAAAAGATCTGAGTAGTTCTCCTTTTCCAGATCTGAGTACTTCTACTTTTACTCAAGTACAGGGAGTCGTGTGGTGCAGTGTGTTGTGTGTTGGGTGTTGGTGTTCGGTTCAGGGGGTCACAGGTTCAAACCCCACTGCAGTCAGCATGTCGTCGTGAGGGGATAGTGGTGGTCTAATGGATAGTGAGGTGGGCTGAAGATCGGAAGGTTGTGAGTTCAAATCCTGCCAGGAACACCACCACTAGTGTGCCCTTGAGTAAGGCACTTAGCCCTTAGTAACTCCAGGGAGAATGTCCCTGTAAGTCGCTTTGGATAAAAGCGTCAGCTAAATGAAATGTAATGTTGTGTCCCTGAGACACTTCACCCCAAATTGCTCCTGGGGGGATTACCCACAGTATTGAGTATGTAAGTCGCTTTGGATAAAAGCATCTAACAAGTGACATGTAATGTAATGTACAAGATGTGAGTACTTCTACTTTTACTCAAGTACAAGATCAGAGTACTTCTACTTTTACTGAAGTACTAGATCTGAGTACTTTGTACTACTGTGTTACTAACAGCTGGTGTAACATCAGCTGCTGTGACACCAGCTGTTAACATCAGCTGGTGTCACAGCAGCTGATGGTAACCCGAGCAGCTGAAGTGTGTTTTTGGTGGAGTGAGTAAATAAGACAGAGATATGGAGGCGGCTCCAGGATAAGCTTCACTTATAAATAAAGTTGACTCTTGGATCAGTCCTATAACAACTCAGCTGGGCGTAGAGACAGTAATAAATCATTAGGTTCCTGAAACTTAAATGACAACTGTTTGATATGTGGCTGTGAAAAACATCTCTTAGTTTCCCAGCGCTGTTTGTTTTGTGTTAAATAAAAACAGATATCAAACTGAGTATTATTGTTTTCTCTTGGGAGTGAAACATACAATTGGAAGACACATTTTTTTGGAAAATGTGCAGACATATGGACGGATAAAATAAATAAAACAGATTAAGGTTTACACGTAAGGCACGTTTTTATTTATATAGCACATTTCAACACAAGTAAAGTAAAGTGCTTTACAACAAATGTGTGAGGACAAAGTGCATTTAATCCAGGCTTGTTTGTGATATAATTAAAGTAATGCTCTGTTGATTCAAAGTCAATAAAGGTTTGTTGGATCCTGGAGAGTTTGCAGACTGCTGTGTGTGAACATCGTGACGCTTTTATTGCACATTCAAGGTGGTTAGAGCTTACAGGAAGTCCTCTGGTCATAAATACGTGACAAAGTAACACCACACAACCCATGCCCATTAACCATTCAGGGGAACGTTTATTTAAATTGAAAGAATTATGAGATTAAAGTCAGAATTCTGGAGGAAAAGTAAAAATTCTGAAAAAGTCAGAATTCTGAAAAATAGTCTTAATTTTAAGAAAATAGTAATATGTCTGGGAACAAAACCATAGTTCTAAAAGAAGTCATAATTTTTTTTAAAACGTCATAATTCTGAAAAAACGTCATTATTATGGAAAAAAAAGTCATGTTATGAAAAAAAAGTCTTACAAAAATATAAAGAGTCAGATATGTTTTGTCTTGCTCTATTTCCCCCACTGAAAATTGGTATGGTCACATTTTAGAATGTATTTCTCATGTCATGTTTCTCAGCTAATAATCCTCTTCCGTTGAAGTCGTGGGAGTATATTTTGGCAAGGTGTGTATTTACCGAGCAGTCCCTGAACGCAGCACAGAGTCTATAAAAAGAGCGGTTTCGCCGGAGGAGGAACAAACGGCTGAAGTTACTCCGAAATTAAACATTTCTCCGTCTCTCATCAGAGGATTTTAACAACTTCTCCTGAAAGGTAAACCTCAACAACACCGCTTTAAATCAAACTAACATTAATTATCCTAACTGTTAAACAACTTTATAACTTCGGTTTAAACTTCATTAAAAAGTGGTTAAAAGCAGTTTTCAGAGGCACATCCGGGATGGAAAGGTGTTTATTTAACACTAACTTAGTTATCACACTGTAATATATGAAATAAGTGGAGTTGGCTCTGGTTAATGGAGTGATTAGCCCGGGACAAAGCCGTTATTGTGGGGAAGTTCTCGGTGATTAACGGTCCGAGAACAGTCCTCTCAACGGAGGGGAAGTGTTGTGGGGCGAACCGCGGTTACACCTGTCGGCCACCGTACTTATCAGGCACTCATTTACCATGATCAGAGGGGGAGAAGTACTCTGACCTGGTACTACAGTACAAGTAGAAGTACTCAGATCTTGTACTTGAGTAAAAGTAGAAGTATTCAGATCTTGTACTTGAGTAAAAGTAGAAGTACCAGAGTGTAGGAATACTCTGTTACAGTAAAAGTCCTGCATTCAAAATGTTCTTCAAGTAAAAATAGAAAAGTATTATCATCAAAATATAGTAGCGACAGTAAAAGTAGTGATTGTGCAGATTGGTCCATTTCAGAATAATATATATGATATGTTTTATAATGATTGATCATGAAAGTGTTCTCAAAGCTGGTAAAGGTGCAGCTAGTTTGAATGACTTTGTATACTGCAGGGTAGCTTGTGGATTTACTCCAGGTGGAACTAAAGTCTGATTTAACACTTGATTAGATTTCACATCATTCATCCACATCTGTAAAGTAACTAAAGGTATTAAATACATGTAGTGGAGGAGAAGTACACCATTTACCTCTGAACTGTAGTGGAGTAGAAGTACAAAGTAGCAAAACAATGGAAATAACTTTATTAATTTACCAATTCAAGATCAATAATGTCCATCTTCTATCTATATTACTTTATGCTTCCCTACTTACTCCACTACGTGTACCAGCTGTACCTTTAGGGATTCAGGGTTGCATTGTTAAGTAAATAAAGACATACAAACAATAGTTAAACCAACATTTAGAAAGCTGCTTGTTCATGAAAGTACCAGGACTACAAATAGTTTGGTTTGAATATATGTATTTACATTTTTTACTTAATTTTTTCACATATTTCTGTATTTTTAATGTATTTTTTTACTTAATTTGTTCGCCCTCACGTGGGCTGTTCTGCCTTAAAATAGATCTATACATTTTTTTCATGGTTTGATTTGAATATATTTATTTTTATGTATTTAATTTATTTTTTATGTATTTTGTCACATATTTATTTATTTTAATTTATTTTTAACTTCATTTTTTCACATATTTATTTATTTGTGTTTATTATTTTTCCACATATTATTTGTATTTTTAAAAGATTTCTTAAAGATTTGTTTAATATTTGAAGTTAAAGCCAAACAATGGGGGACATGTGGTCAGAGTGACGTACGCTCACCATCCGATGACTCATCTCTTCCACGCTGCTGCTGCTGCTGCTGCTGCTGACGTAATGACTGCACTTTTATAATCACAGTTATATATATTTACGTTTTATTCCAGAAGCAGATCCTGAGCAGCCATGGGAGTCGAGGGAGGAATGAAATGCGTCAAGTTCCTGCTTTTCTTCTTCAACTTCATCTTCTGGGTGAGTGAGCGTAACGCGGCCAAAAGGTGGACGCGGACGTCTCCTGAAACATCACGGCAAACTGCTGCTAGTTACTCAATTCTATTTCAATATTCTTTAGATAAAACAAGACATTTGAACGCATTTCTCTGTCCTTTTTACTGTTTTAAAACATTACATAGAATCATTTAATTTAAAGAAATATATCAACAGGTTAATATTTCTCCCCTCACATTTAGTTTTTAAAATAAATTGTGCATCTTAAAACATATTTGGGGACAAAACAAGACATTTATTGGGCCTTTTTAGTGTCTGTGTGTGTGTGTGTGGCCTTGTATTACTATCCTTGTGGGGACCTAAATCTGTTTACACAGTCACGTGTGGGGACTTGGTTAGGGTTAGGGTTAGGGTTAGGGTTAGGGTTAGGGTTAGGATAAGTCTCCAGGAAATGCATGTAAGTCAATGTAATGTCCCCCTGAAGGTGTGTGTGTGTGTTGCAATTAACTGATGGTCTTTCGAAACTTTTTGGGGACAAAGAAAGACATTTGAAGACTTTTCACTTTTTTGTTATTATTTAATTGAGAAATTAACCCTAAAAAGGTCACATTTGTGACTGTTTTTCAGCCTATTTTGAGAATCTTTTTAGGCATTTTACTGTATGGAAATGTTTAGCTACGCAGGGAGAAGCCTTGCAAAGTGACCGAGTAATGACAATAAACATAATTCAGCTTTTTTTATGATAAGATGTCAGAAAATGCTGTTTTTAGCTCCTGAAATGTAAAGATTTGTGTGTTTTCTCAGCTTCATATCATATTTTTGGATTGTTGTTCGGAATAAAGAACATATTTTTAGGTTGTTAGGAAACTTTCTCACAATTTCAGAGACCCATAGTCGATAACAGAACATACTTGTTGGCTGTTGAGCTGCAACGATTAGACGAAGTGAAGAAAATATCAAGTATTGTGATAATCGATATATCATTTAAGTCGTTTTTCCATACAGAAAATGCAGTTTTTAGCGTCTCGAATCTGTAGTTTTGCTGCTTCTCTCTGCTTTATATCACATTTAAAGTGAATATCTTTGGATATTTAAAGACTACACCTTGGACTGTGAGGACATTTTATAGAGCAAATGATTAATGAAGGCGGTTGGAGTTGTGCGAACTCCCTGACAGTAGCAGACAAATTCAGTTTGAATGTGGATGTCCTGATTTGAGTATAATAATGAATGCGTTAATGCACTTCCCAGCCTCTCAAATCTGTCGTTTTGCTGCTTCTCTCTGTTTTATATCACGTTAAAGTGAACTTCTTTAGACCTTTGAGGAACCCAGCTGGACATTTTGTAGAAAAAATGTAATAACCCTTAGTTAGACTGTGCAGAAATCCTTTAAAGTATCACAGAAGTTCAGTTTTAATGTGGATTTTAGTAATAAATCATGCATTAATGTCTCAATGCTGCTTCCAGCCGCCCAAATATGGACATATCCTGCTTTTCTCTGAGTTATATCACATTCAAGTGAATATCTCTGGACATTCAAACACATCATCCTGGGATGGAAAACAAATTCTATATTATCTGACATTTCTCATTAAATAATCAGCCCTGAAACTGAAAGGCAGCTTGTGTTGGCATCAAACAGGAAGTGAAGCGTTGTTATTTTTGTCGGCTGTTATCTCTTCTGGCAGCCGAGTGTCTCTCTGCGGTGTTTCTCATTCTTTATCCACCCCGTGACTTTGGGCTCGCTGCTGGTCCTCCACTTCAAGCGTGACATCATGAAATCATGTGTGAAATCAGCTGACGGTGAACACACACACACACACACACACCCACCCACACACCCACTGACTCGTATATCCTCCGCACACTGACTCACCCCCCCCCCCGATCACATGGTGCACCACAAAGTTTGTTTAATGTTGCTGCTCGAGGAGGACATTGGTCTCAGATATCCTGGATTATTTCCTGGTTTAACCTGTTTTTGTGTGTGTGTGTGTGTGTGTGTGTGTGTGTGTGTGTGTGTGTGTGTGTGTGTGTGTGTGTGTGTGTGTGTGTGTGTGTGTGTGTGTGTGTGTGTGTGTGTGTGTGTGTGTGTGTGTGTGTGTGTGTGTGTGTGTGTGTGTGTGTGTGTGTGTGTGTGTGTGTGTGTGTGTGTGTGTGTGTGTGTGTGTGTGTGTGTGTGTGTGTGTGTGTGTGTGTGTGTGTGTGTGTGTGTGTGTGTGTGTGTGTGTGTGTGTGTGTGTAATGTGTATCTTATGACCAGATTTCAGTGTGTAACGGCGTCATGTGACCTCTCCTGCTCCCTGACACACAGAGAGAGAGAGAGAGTGAACTGAGAGTGAGACACAGCAGGAAGTCTCCGACATAGCAACACTTATCTTAATCTGCAGAACATTCATTTTCATTATCGATACGGCTTGGTAGCTTGGACCAAACAAGACTTAACAAAACGTACTTAATACGTAAATAAGGTGACATTTCTCCCGTAACATTCAGTCAGTTAGTTTAGTTAATAAACTGAGAATCTGAAGCATTTCTTTCGGACAAAACACGACATTTGTAGAACTATCTTTGGCATTTCTTCCACTTTGTATAGATGAATTTAATTGGAATATATCAATCAGGCATCATTTAGACCCAACAAACCACCCCTTTTTAGTTCTACTGTTACTAACTGAGGATTTGTCGACACTTGCTTCGACAAAACAAGACATTTTTACTGTTTTAAAACATGTTACAGAATAATACAAGGTGACTTTTCTCCCCAACATTCAGTCTTTTAGTTTAGTTAATAAACTGAGAATCTGAAGTATTTCTTTGGGGACAAAACACGACACTTTAAGACGTAACTCTGGCCTTTCAGATATTATATATTATATTATATTTCATACATCAACTCGGTTCCTTCCCTCACGTTTATTGCTGTAGTTTGCATGTTTTTTTGGGACACTTTAAAACATTCAAGGACGTTTTTTTTAATGTGTTTTACTGACATCTTTTACACATGTGAAACGTCTGCGTGCGTCCTGTGTTATCAGACTGTCAGGAGAGACTCAGTTCATTGTATTAATAATATATAAGGTTACAACTACATTATAGTGTCGTATTATACATGTTTTTAGACATGTTATACTACATAGTAACATCTAGAAGTGAACATCCGGGTTATTGTTATCCCTTTTATTCACCTGTCATTATTCCTCTGTTTGCTCTGAGTTCACTCGTTCTGTTTTCCTACAGACGCCATTAGCACCTCTTTGACTCAGATCCAATATTTACTCTGGTGTTTCCACATAACACACACACGCACACACACACACACACACACACACTGTTTCACTCTGAAGGAGCAGCAGGACCTGTGTACCTGCAGCTGCAGTAAGGCTGTGCGATTATGGCAAAAATCCTAATCACGATTATTTTGGTCAATAATTGATATCACGATTATTAAAATCCATTTACTTTGAAAACATCCATTTATTGAAACAAAAATGTGAACAGTATGTTTTTAACAGTTGATTACCCTGAACTTTAAGTATAATTCAACTGAAAAACCAAACAAAAAAAATTATAATAATTACATTTTTTTTTTACAAAAATAATTATCGTTTTATTTCGATTACATTGTTTTCGTAATCGTTGCAAGCCAAAATCGTAATCGAGATTAAAATACGATTAATTGCACAGCCCTAAGCTGTAGTGTATTAACAGAGTCTCCAGCACACAGAGTATTGATCCCTGCTATAGATCACAGATTAAACTCATAAACACAGAGTGAAATCTTCCATGACAGCAATAAGATGACTAAACATCTGTATCCTGTTCCTCTTCCTGCACAGAGCTGTTTGTTTTAGCACGCTGTATATATAATACGAGTCAATAAATGATCATAAAAGATTACACAAGCGTTATTATGGCTTTATATGTATCTGTGGCGCTGCACTGATTATCTGGAGGCAAATATTTGTTTGTAGCCTCAGATCCGCCGTCCACTAAACTGTGTGCTCTCAGCCTCCCTGCCGTGCACCAAACTGTGTGCTCTCAGCCTCCCTGCCGTCCACCAAACTGTGTGCTCTCAGCCTCCCTGCCGTCCACCAAACTGTGTGCTCTCAGCCTCCCTGCCGTCCACCAAACTGTGTGCTCTCAGCCTCCCTGCCGTCCACCAAACTGTGTGCTCTGAGCCTCCCTGCCGTGCACCAAACTGTGTGCTCTCAGCCTCCCTGCCGTCCACCAAACTGTGTGCTCTCAGCCTCCCTGCCGTCCACCAAACTGTGTGCTCTCAGCCTCCCTGCCGTCCACCAAACTGTGTGCTCTGAGCCTCCCTGCCGTCCACCAAACTGTGTGCTCTCTGCCTCCCTGCCGTCCACCAAACTGTGTGCTGTCAGCCTCCCTGCCGTCCACCAAACTGTGTGCTCTCAGCCTCCCTGCCGTCCACCAAACTGTGTGCTCTCAGCCTCCCTGCCGTCCACCAAACTGTGTGCTGTCAGCCTCCCTGCCGTCCACCAAACTGTGTGCTCTGAGCCTCCCTGCCGTCCACCAAACTGTGTGCTGTCAGCCTCCCTGCCGTCCACCAAACTGTGTGCTCTCAGCCTCCCTGCCGTCCACCAAACTGTGTGCTCTCAGCCTCCCTGCCGTCCACCAAACTGTGTGCTGTCAGCCTCCCTGCCGTCCACCAAACTGTGTGCTCTGAGCCTCCCTGCCGTCCACCAAACTGTGTGCTGTCAGCCTCCCTGCCGTCCACCAAACTGTGTGCTCTGAGCCTCCCTGCCGTCCACCAAACTGTGTGCTGTCAGCCTCCCTGCCGTCCACCAAACTGTGTGCTCTCAGCCTCCCTGCCGTCCACCAAACTGTGTGCTCTCAGCCTCCCTGCCGTCCACCAAACTGTGTGCTGTCAGCCTCCCTGCCGTCCACCAAACTGTGTGCTCTGAGCCTCCCTGCCGTCCACCAAACTGTGTGCTCTCAGCCTCCCTGCCGTCCACCAAACTGTGTGCTGTCAGCCTCCCTGCCGTCCACCAAACTGTGTGCTCTCAGCCTCCCTGCCGTCCACCAAACTGTGTGCTCTCAGCCTCCCTGCCGTCCACCAAACTGTGTGCTCTCAGCCTCCCTGCCGTCCACCAAACTGTGTGCTCTCAGCCTCCCTGCCGTCCACCAAACTGTGTGCTCTCAGCCTCCCTGCCGTCCACCAAACTGTGTGCTCTCAGCCTCCCTGATCACACAGACGGCACACCACCTGGTTAACCCACAGCATCATTACAAGTGTTGCTTTACAGATGCAGCCCTGGCCCTCTCCTCACTTCCTGCTCGAGCTGCAGTGTTATGATTACTGATCATACTCAGATACAGGCGACCAATCAGCATCCTCTGTCAGTGATGCAGGAGGTCACGTGACAGTAACAGCTGATATGAGGACATGTTTAGAGTGTTGTGGTGAAGAAGCTCTGACATGAGGAGCTACGAGGAGAACCAGAACATATGAGCCTGCAGACTGAAGCTCATGAGGACACTTCAGAGTAACTCTGAGACAGGAGACAGGAGTACAAGTACACAGATACTGTACTCGAGTCAAAGTAGAAGTACTCAGATCTTGAGTAAAAGTAGAAGTACTCAGACCTTGTACTTGAGTGAAAGTAGAAGTACTCAGATCCTGTACTTGAGTGAAAGTAGAAGTACTCAGATCTTGTACTTGAGTAAAAGTAGAAGTACTCAGATCTTGAGTAAAAGTAGAAGTACTCAGATCTTGAGTAAAAGTAGAAGTACTCAGACCTGGTACTTGAGTAAAAGTAGAAGTACCAGAGTGTAGGAATACTCTGTTACAGTAAAAGTCCTGCATTCAAAATGTTCCTCAAGTAGAAAAAGTTATTATATCTATTGACACATTATTGATAACTTCTGCAGTTTTCAAAAGGCAGAACTCATTTGCAAATTGTCCGTGTCCGCCATTGTTGTTTGCGACCGCTTTACGTTTCCTTCTGTGTCGTGTGAGTAGGGATGGGTACCGAGCCCCGGTATTAAACGGGCCCCGGGGCGGAATTATTAAAGACCGTGGTACCGCTAAGCTCCGACGTTATCGGTCTATTTATTGGTACTGGAGACATTTAAAAAATATATGTCATATGTGTTATTGCTACACAAACATTATATTGCAGTTTCAGTGTCACCAACTCAGTTTCTAATACGCAAACAGAATGCAAAATGCGTCTATGATTATTTTCTATCTTTCCAATCCAGACGAGAGATCTCTCTCTCCCTCTCTCTGTGTGCGAGGGGGCGGGGCAGTTTACACACACACACACACACACACACACACACACACACAAACACACACACACACACACACACACACACACACACACACACACACACACACACACACACACACACACACACACACACACACACACACACACACACACAGGAGATGGCAGAGAGAGCTAAGGTGTGGTTAAACTCTACCCGTCTCGATGTGGACAATGCTCGTTGCCAAAAGTGCAATACGAGTTTAGCATGTGAGGGCGGTAACACGAGCAATTTGTTTAAACAACAACACATTATGTCCCGTAATGTTCCGGTTCCACCACAACCTCAATCTTCCTCCAGACGAACCGTTTGGCCTTTTGCAGTAACTCATATTCTTGTATGCTTTATGTTGATATTTAATAATATTTAAAATAGGTGCAGCATGCACAAAGTATAGCTGTGGACAAGTGAAACATGTATTCGGACAAGTACATTGCCAACTGACTTTACTCTCTAAAGACTGTTTCTTAGTATACTGCAGGGGAGCTTGTACTCAGGTCTTGTTCTTGAGTAAAAGTAGAAGTACTCAGGTCTTGTTCTTGAGTAAAAGTAGAAGTACTCAGGTCTTGTTCTTGAGTAAAAGTAGAAGTACTCAGATCTTGTACTTGAGTAAAAGTAGAAGTACTCAGATCTTGTACTTGAGTAAAAGTAGAAGTACTCAGATCTTGTACTTGAGTAAAAGTAGAAGTACTCAGATCTTGTGCTTGAGTAAAAGGAGAAGTACTCAGATCTTGTACTTGAGTAAAAGTAGAAGTACTCAGATCTTGTACTTGAGTAAAAGTAGAAGTACTCAGATCTTGTACTTGAGTAAAAGTAGAAGTACTCAGATCTTGTGCTTGAGTAAAAGTAGAAGTACTCAGATCTTGTACTTGAGTAAAAGTAGAAGTACTCAGATCTTGTACTTGAGTAAAAGTAGAAGTACTCAGATCTTGTTCTTGAGTAAAAGTAGAAGTACTCAGATCTTGTACTTGAGTAAAAGTAGACGTACTCAGGTCTTGTACTTGAGTAAAAGTAGAAGTACACAGATCTTGTACTTGAGTAAAAGGAGAAGTACTCAGATCTTGTACTTGAGTAAAAGTAGAAGTACACAGATCTTGTACTTGAGTAAAAGGAGAAGTACTCAGATCTTGTACTTGAGTAAAAGTAGACGTACTCAGATCTTGTACTTGAGTAAAAGTAGAAGTACTCAGGTCTTGTACTTGAGTAAAAGTAGACGTACACAGATCTTGTACTTGAGTAAAAGGAGAAGTACTCAGATCTTGTACTTGAGTAAAAGTAGACGTACTCAGATCTTGTACTTGAGTAAAAGTAGACGTACTCAGATCTTGTACTTGAGTAAAAGTAGAAGTACTCAGATCTTGTACTTGAGTAAAAGTAGAAGTACTCAGATCTTGTACTTGAGTAAAAGGAGAAGTACTCAGATCTTGAGTAAAAGTAGACGTACTCAGATCTTGAGTAAAAGTAGAAGTACTCAGATCTTGTACTTGAGTAAAAGTAGAAGTACTCAGATCTTGTACTTGAGTAAAAGTAGAAGTACTCAGGTCTTGTACTTGAGTAAAAGTAGAAGTACTCAGGTCTTGTACTTGAGTAAAAGTAGAAGTACTCAGATCTTGTACTTGTGTAAAAGTAGAAGTACTCAGATCTTGTACTTGAGTAAAAGTATAAGTACTCAGGTCGTGTACTTGAGTAAAAGTAGAAGTACTCAGATCTTGTACTTGAGTAAAAGTAGAAGTACTCAGATCTTGTACTTGAGTAAAAGTAGAAGTACTCAGATCTTGTACTTGAGTAAAAGTAGAAGTACCAGAGTGTAGGAATACTCTGTTACAGTAAAAGTCCGGTATTCAAAATGTTCCTCAAGCTAAAGTAGAAAAGTATTCTCATCAAAATATATTTAAAGTAGCGACAGTAAAAGTAGTCATTGTGCAGATTGGTCCATTTCAGAATAATATATATGATATGTTTTATAATGATTGATCATGAAAGTGTTCTCAAAGCTGGTAAAGGTGCAGCTAGTTTGAATGACTTTGTATACTGCAGGGTAGCTTGTGGATTTACTCCAGGTGGAACTAAAGTCTGATTTAAGACGTGATTATATTTCACATCATTCATCCAGATCTGTGAAGTAACTAAAGGTATTAAATACATGTAGTGGAGTAAAAGTACACCATTTACCTCTGAACTGTAGAGGAGTAGAAGTACACAGTAGCATACGATGGAAATACACAATATTGTACTTAAGAACTTGAGTAATGTACTTCGTTACTTCCCACCTCCGGGTCTCTGTTTTGTTGACTCTCTGTTATCTGATGGTTTCTCAGGAAGCTGTCTCAACTTCCTCCGTCTGTTTCTCGTCAGTGACTCAGTGTGAGGAGGGGGGGTTTCTGAGAATGAACTTTATATATAATGTGACATTTGCTCATAGTGTTAATGTAATCCATTTGCTCAGAGAAACACGTCTGACTGAACTGTATTACGTTCTTTGATTCAGTTGCTTATGAAAGCCTTGCTGCCAGACACTAATCCCACACATCCCAACCTACTCTTCTCTCTCATTCAAAACAGATGTAATTGTATTTAAATGTCCCGTGGTGGTCCTTCTGCCTCGATGCTTTAATATGTTTTATTTAAATGTGATATTCTAAGTGTGCCTGTGTATGCCCCCCAGCTGTGCGGCCTGGCCCTGGTGGTGGTGGGGGTCCTGATGCAGGTGAACCTCCACAACACTCTGAATATCAAAGACCCTTCGGCCTCCGGAGCTCCCATCGTCGTCATCATCGTCGGCGTCATCATCTTCTTCATCGCCTTCTTCGGCTGCTGCGGCGCCTGGAAGGAGAACTACTGCATGGTCACCACGGTAACACATCCTTTACTCAAGTAGAAGTACACATCCTTTACTCAAGTAGAAGTACACATCCTTTACTCAAGTAGAAGTACACATCCTTTACTCAGGTAGAAGTACAGATACTCGTGTTTAAAAATACTCTGGTAAACTTCTTTACTCAAGTAAAAGTAAAGAGGCTTTGAAATGTACTTCAGTAAAAAGTACCCATAACTAGCAGCTGTTTTAAAGAGTACCTGACCTCCCTTTATATTAATAGAACAATAATGTCATTGTTAGCTAATGAATGTTTCCATGCTGAACAACGGCAACATGACAACGTTTTCATTGGTCCCTCTTCTTTAGAGAAGACCAGGAAATGATGGATACACGGATCGTGTTCAAATCAATAGGCACGCAATGACTCTAAATACTAATGATCACGCCACCAAACACACATTCAAACTAAAGGAACCAGCCTGTTTGGGAAATGTGAGAAGTAGAAAGTACAGGTATTTGGGTTCAACATGTGAGAAGTAGAAAGTACAGGTATTTGTGTTCAACATGTAAGAAGTAGAAAGTACAGGTATTTGAGTTCAACATGTAAGAAGTAGAAAGTACAGGTATTTGGGTTCAACATGTAAGAAGTAGAAAGTACAGGTATTTGGGTTCAACATGTAAGAAGTAGAAAGTACAGGTATTTGGGTTCAACATGTAAGAAGTAGAAAGTACAGGTATTTGGGTTCAACATGTAAGAAGTAGAAAGTACAGGTATTTGTGTTCAACATGTGAGAAGTAGAAAGTACAGGTATTTGTGTTCAACATGTAAGAAGTAGAAAGTACAGGTATTTGAGTTCAAAGTGTAAGAAGTAGAAAGTACAGGTATTTGTGTTCAACATGTAAGAAGTAGAAAGTACAGGTATTTGTGTTCAACATGTGAGAAGTAGAAAGTACAGGTATTTGTGTTCAACATGTGAGAAGTAGAAAGTACAGGTATTTGTGCTCAAAATGTAAGAAGTAGAAAGTACGCAAAAATGTCCCAATTTGGGATCAATAAAGTACCTCATATCTCTATCTGCTACACCAGGTGCTTTTGTTCCTCGGTTCCCAGGAGGACGCCTATGTTCTCTGTTCTTGTTCTCAGTGTGTGTTCTGTGGCGCTGCCAGGGCTCTCTTAATGTCACTGAGAGATAAAGCTCATCACACAGAGATATCAGTCTAAATATTCAGATTCATAAATCCGTTAAACTCTAAACGTCTCTCGTCTCTCTCCAGTTTGCCGTCCTGGTCTTCATGATCATCATCATCGAGGTCGCAGCCGCCATCGCTGGATACGTGTACAGGAAAAAAGTGAGTGTCTGCTTCCTGTTGTGGGATAAAAGCAGGTATTTCAAAGAAGGAACATATGGAAATAGTGTTAGCTGTAATGAGTACCAGAATGACTGAATTCTGTGCCTTAAAATGTGTCCGATCCGATGGATTTCTACCTGCTGCCCCAGACATAAGTGACTTGTAATGGCTCTCTCCTGAGGATCAGGGCTGCACCACGCATCTACATTGTTAGCTATATCTCAATATGAGTTAGAGCAATATCTAAATCACAATATTTCCAAAGCTAAATACATGAATGAAGTATATTGGAGCTGTGGTGATATCCAGGCCTACTGTCATTAATGTTTGTTTGGTAAAGATCCTCTTAACAGAAGAATCATATTTTGATATATTATGTATCAAAACTCAACAATGCCCAAAAACCAGGTCCTCACTTCGATACCAAACTGGCTTGAAAAGTTGTATTTTTCCTTTGTTTTTAAAAATAAGCTGAGGTGGTAACTTAATTCAGGGGGCCACCTAGTGCTGAAATGCAGAATTAACTTCTCTCTAAGTATAGCAGAAAAGGTGGTCCTCACTCCCCATGTTAATTGACCCGGTCCTCACTTCAGGTGTCATGCAGGAATGTGTGTGTGTGTGTGTGTGTGTGTGTGTGTGTGTGTGTGTGTGTGTGTGTGTGTGTGTGTGTGTGTGTGTGTGTGTGTGTGTGTGTGTGTGTGTGTGTGTGTGTGTGTGTGTGTGTGTGTGTGTGTGTGTGTGTGTGTGTGTGTGTGTGTGTGTGTGTGTGTGTGTGTGGAAGGATAAACAAAAGAAGCGCTGGACAGAACTGATCAACTGGGTCAAAGTTATGGGCCTTGGAAAATATTTCCCCAGCACTAATCATGTGACCCTGTGGCTTTTGATCGAATGGACACAGTTCATATTCTCTGTTCAGCATCCGTTGGGTCAGATACGACGATGTTGGACAGTGGTCTTGAGGAAGAAGTGCCAGTATTAAACAACGTACAAATAAGGAAGTAATTGTAAGGATGAGTGCTGACGTGCTGTTTGTCCCTCAGCTCTCCGTGGTGGTGGAGGACAGCCTGGCAGACATGATCCACGAGTACAAGAACAGCACTGCTGACTTCAGGAAGACGGTGGACAAACTGCAAGAGGACGTGAGTTTACACAGTCGAATGTTTGCTGACCGCTCCCTCTCCCAACATCCTGCTGCTCTGCTGACTCACTGCACACTGACAACATGCTGCAATACAGGGAGGGACCCTGAAGGCAGCATCGCCCTGGGCCAATGGGATCTCTCCATGTGATTCTGGATTATCTTAGAATAAATTAGATCACTAAATATTAGTTTCTTTCTATTTTAAGCCAAACTTAATTATATTTTCTAATTAATATATTTTGAAAAGTCAGACGAAATACAATATATCAGTTTTGTTCTTTCTATTTGAAGCCTAATAATTAATATAAATAGAAAAACTGATAAAATATTGGTTTCTTTTAAGCCTAATTTATTTATTTAAAAAAACAAACAAAATATATAGATTTGTAAAAATATGTTCTAATTATTATTTTGGACCAATCACGCAGCTCTGATATTGTGACCGTTATTAAATGTTTTTAACCTGTATTTCTTCGCCCTGCAGTGGAAGTGCTGCGGCTCCAACAGCTCCATGGACTGGAAGGGCTTCCGCCCCGACGGTGTCTCGGTGCCGGACTCGTGTTGTGTCAAAGTCACTGTGGACTGTGGATTCGGATCCATGATGAACAGCACCATCGTGCACCGGACGGTAAACTGATGACTCTGATTACTTTAAAGGTCACCTATTAAGCAAAATCCAATTCTCATGTCTCTTCTACATCATGTGTCCCCTCTTCTTCATGTCTCTTCTTCATCAACATGTGTCCCCTCTTCTTCATGTCTCTTCTACATCATGTGTCCCCTCTTCTTCATGTCTCTTCTTCATCAACATGTGTCCCCTCTTCTTCATGTCTCTTCTACATCAACATGTGTCCCCTCTTCTTCATGTCTCTTCTTCATCAACATGTGTCCCCTCTTCTTCATGTCTCTTCTTCATCAACATGTGTCCCCTCTTCTTCATCAGCATGTGTCCCCTCTTCCTCATCAACATGTGTCCCCTCTTCTTCATGTCTCTTCTACATCAACATGTGTCCCCTCTTCCTCATCAACATGTGTCCCCTCTTCTTCATGTCTCTTCTTCATCAACATGTGTCCCCTCTTCTTCATGTCTCTTCTTCATCAACATGTGTCCCCTCTTCTTCATGTCTCTTCTACATCAACATGTGTCCCCTCTTCTTCATGTCTCTTCTACATCACCATGTGTCCCCTCTTCTTCATGTCTCTTCTTCATCAACATGTGTCCCCTCTTCTTCATGTCTCTTCTACATCACCATGTGTCCCCTCTTCTTCATGTCTCTTCTACATCAACATGTGTCCCCTCTTCTTCATGTCTCTTCTACATCAACATGTGTCCCCTCTTCTTCATGTCTCTTCTTCATCAACATGTGTCCCCTCTTCTTCATGTCTCTTCTTCATCAACATGTGTCCCCTCTTCTTCATGTCTCTTCTTCATCAACATGTGTCCCCTCTTCTTCATGTCTCTTCTTCATCAACATGTGTCCCCTCTTCCTCATCAACATGTGTCCCCTCTTCTTTATGTCTCTTCTTCATCAACATGTGTCCCCTCTTCTTCATGTCTCTTCTTCATCAACATGTGTCCCCTCTTCTTCATGTCTCTTCTACATCAACATGTGTCCCCTCTTCCTCATCAACATGTGTCCCCTCTTCTTCATGTCTCTTCTTCATCAACATGTGTCCCCTCTTCTTCATGTCTCTTCTTCATCAACATGTGTCCCCTCTTCTTCATGTCTCTTCTACATCAACATGTGTCCCCTCTTCTTCATGTCTCTTCCTCATCAACATGTGTCCCCTCTTCTTCATGTCTCTTCTACATCAACATGTGTCCCCTCTTCCTCATCAACATGTGTCCCCTCTTCTTCATGTCTCTTCTTCATCAACATGTGTCCCCTCTTCTTCATCAGCATGTGTCCCCTCTTCTTCATCAACATGTGTCCCCTCTTCCTCATCAACATGTGTCCCCTCTTCTTCATGTCTCTTCTTCATCAACATGTGTCCCCTCTTCTTCATCAGCATGTGTCCCCTCTTCTTCATCAACATGTGTCCCCTCTTCCTCATCAACATGTGTCCCCTCTTCTTCATGTCTCTTCTTCATCAACATGTGTCCCCTCTTCTTCATGTCTCTTCTTCATCAACATGTGTCCCCTCTTCTTCATGTCTCTTCTTCATCAACATGTGTCCCCTCTTCTTCATGTCTCTTCTTCATCAACATGTGTCCCCTCTTCTTCATGTCTCTTCTTCATCAACATGTGTCCCCTCTTCTTCATGTCTCTTCTTCATCAACATGTGTCCCCTCTTCTTCATCAGCATGTGTCCCCTCTTCTTCATCAACATGTGTCCCCTCTTCCTCATCAACATGTGTCCCCTCTTCTTCATGTCTCTTCTTCATCAACATGTGTCCCCTCTTCTTCATGTCTCTTCTTCATCAACATGTGTCCCCTCTTCTTCATGTCTCTTCTTCATCAACATGTGTCCCCTCTTCTTCATGTCTCTTCTTCATCAACATGTGTCCCCTCTTCTTCATGTCTCTTCTTCATCAACATGTGTCCCCTCTTCTTCATGTCTCTTCCTCATCAACATGTGTCCCCTCTTCTTCATGTCTCTTCTACATCAACATGTGTCCCCTCTTCCTCATCAACATGTGTCCCCTCTTCCTCATCAACATGTGTCCCCTCTTCTTCATGTCTCTTCTTCATCAACATGTGTCCCCTCTTCTTCATGTCTCTTCTTCATCAACATGTGTCCCCTCTTCTTCATGTCTCTTCTTCATCAACATGTGTCCCCTCTTCTTCATGTCTCTTCATCAGCATGTGTCCCCTCTTCTTCATGTCTCTTCTTCATCAACATGTGTCCCCTCTTCTTCATGTCTCTTCTTCATCAACATGTGTCCCCTCTTCTTCATGTCTCTTCTTCATCAACATGTGTCCCCTCTTCTTCATGTCTCTTCTTCATCAACATGTGTCCCCTCTTCTTCATGTCTCTTCTTCATCAACATGTGTCCCCTCTTCTTCATGTCTCTTCTACATCAACATGTGTCCCCTCTTCTTCATGTCTCTTCTTCATCAACATGTGTCCCCTCTTCTTCATGTCTCTTCTACATCAACATGTGTCCCCTCTTCTTCATGTCTCTTCTTCATCAACATGTGTCCCCCTCTTCTTCATGTCTCTTCTACATCAACATGTGTCCCCTCTTCCTCATCAACATGTGTCCCTCTTCTTCATGTCTCTCTCTTCATCAACATGTGTTCCCTCTTCTTCATGTCTCTTCTTCATCAACATGTGTCCCCTCTTCTTCATGTCTCTTCTTCATCAACATGTGTCCCCTCTTCTTCATGTCTCTTCTACATCAACATGTGTCCCCTCTTCTTCATGTCTCTTCTTCATCAACATGTGTCCCCTCTTCTTCATGTCTCTTCTACATCAACATGTGTCCCCTCTTCCTCATCAACATGTGTCCCCTCTTCTTCATGTCTCTTCTTCATCAACATGTGTCCCCTCTTCTTCATGTCTCTTCTTCATCAACATGTGTCCCCTCTTCTTCATGTCTCTTCTTCATCAACATGTGTCCCTCTTCTTCATGTCTCTTCTACATCAACATGTGTCCCCTCTTCTTCATGTCTCTTCTACATCAACATGTGTCCCCTCTTCTTCATTTCTCTTCTACATCAACATGTGTCCCCTCTTCTTCATGTCTCTTCTTCATCAACATGTGTCCCCTCTTCTTCATTTCTCTTCTTACATCAACATTTGGTCCCCTCTTCTTCATGTCTCTTCTACATCAACATGTGTCCCCTCTTCTTCATGTCTCTTCTTCATCAACATGTGTCCCCTCTTCTTCATGTCTCTTCTTCATCAACATGTGTCCCCTCTTCTTCATGTCTCTTCTACATCAACATGTGTCCCCTCTTCTTCATGTCTCTTCTTCATCAACATGTGTCCCCTCTTCTTCATGTCTCTTCTTCATCAACATGTGTCCCCTCTTCTTCATGTCTCTTCTACATCAACATGTGTCCCCTCTTCTTCATGTCTCTTCTACATCAACATGTGTCCCCTTCTTCTTCATGTCTCTTCTACATCAACATGTGTCCCCTCTTCTTCATGTCTCTTCTTCATCAACATGTGTCCCCTCTTCTTCATGTCTCTTCTTCATCAACATGTGTCCCCTCTTCTTCATGTCTCTTCTTCATCAACATGTGTCCCCTCTGTGTAAAGAGACTCTGAAAGTTTCAGGAACAAAGATTCTCTCTCTTTTTGATCCATTTCTATAAAAACCTGTCTGAAAATGAGCTGATCAGATTTTGGCCACTTGATGATGTCATAACGATGTTTTGTCTTGTGTAACCATTAGCCAATCAGCAACCAAGGTAACCCCCCCCCCCCCCCCCCCCCTTATCACCTGAATCTCCTCCTAGAGCACCATTGTGTTCTTTGTAACCAAATGTCTCTCAGAGGGGCGTGGGGAGGGGCTCCTTATTTTCATCTAAAGTAACAGACAGAGAATCAGCACTTTTGAAACAGGGCTGAAACAGAGGGGATTATGGGTAATGCTGCAATGATCTGTTTGGTGTTTCAGCCAATCAGAGACAGGCTCTGTATATATCTGAGACCTGTGATATATTGATGAAAAACAGTATCATAGGTCCCCTTTAAATCAGAACATGTGGGTTAGCATGAGCAGAAACTCCATGAAGCTCTCAGACACAGTTACTCTCTGCTCTCACATCAATAGTGTGAAGTAGAGCCGAACTGATACCAATGTTTGAGAGCTTTAAAATGATTTGTTTACACGTTGTTCAGCTATCCAACAAACTAGCTAGCAAATATTAGCTATCTCCAAATTGGTGGCTCTCTTAATTTAGATATGAGTTCTTAATGAACCCCCTGTGGTTATATTGTTCTGAGAGTCATTATGAAAACAGCCAGCAGCTCCTCTCCGAACTCCGAACATCACATTCCCAAATCTGTGTTATTTGGATAAACTAATCACATAGAGGTAATCCCAATGTGCAAAGAGTTTAGGCTCTAACTGTAAGAAGCAACTCAACATAAGCCTGTGTGGACTCTGAGGCACCTGGAGAGTACGTTCTACTTTTCAGATTCACACACACACACACACACACACACACACACACACACACACACACACACACACACACACACACACACATTCCTGCATGACCCCTGAAGTGAGGACCGGGTCAATTAACATGGGGAGTGAGGACCACCCTTTCTGCTATACTTAGAGAGAATTATTTTGTGTTAAAACTAAGCTTCATGGTCTGTATTTTGTTGCTTTTAGTAAACGTGGAAGCCCAGTTTGTGTCAAAGTGAATATTGACTACTTCTCTAAATACTTAATTAACAGATAAAAGTTGGTTAATGTGCATCTATGATAATATTTCACACGCATCTCTGGGTGTGTCTGGTTTACAGAGGAAGTCGACCAGCTGTTTATGAGTTCCTGTTTCCCCCACAGCGACTCTCTGGTCATATTTCTTCTTCTGTGGTTTCAGGGCTGCCATGACGCGTTGGTGAAGCTGCTGCAGGACAATCTGCTGTGGGTGATCGTCGGAGCGCTCGTTATCGCCGCCCTGCAGGTAACACTCCTCACAGGACAGAATATATATAATCTGAGCATACACTGACACTGAGCCGTCCCACAAAGAGACACTTAAAATGACCACAATTAACATAAAACAACTGAAGATATAAACGTGTAAATGTTTGTTTTTCTGCAGATTTTGGGCATCGTGTTCGCCTGCTGTCTGATGAGAGGAATCCGCAGTGGATACGAGGTCATGTGATCACGAGGTCATGTGATCACCTCCACATTGTTCAGGAGCTTCATTTGGAAAATGTTATTAATATTCATCTTCAGACATTATGCAATTTCTCCTGATTTCATTTGGGATTATATTTTTACTGGTTAACGAACTCTCCGCTCCGCCACCGTGTAGCAAATGATTCATGTCTATTTTATCGCCACCGTACGGTTGATTATTGTTGGTTTTGAGGAATTATAACATTGTTTATTGTTCTGTTTCGACACTTTAGATCTGATTTATGTATTGCTGGTTCCCTGTCTGTTTTTATTAAAGACCCTTTAAATTAAACCTGAATTTTCCTCAAGTGTCGACTATATTTAGCTCATATTACTCATAAAGCACGGCTAAATGTTACACCTTTCCCTCTACACTGAACGTGTTTAATAACCCTTTTCATTTTAAGATTATAAAACATATTAATTATTAGTAAGTGAGTTGGTGAGTTATTAGTTAGTGAGTTAGTTAGTTAGTGAGTTAGTAAATTAGTGAGTGAGTTAGTGAGTTAGTAAATTAGTGAGTTAGGCCCAATCCCAAACCACACCCTACACACTCCCCCTCGTGAAGTCTCACTCTCAGCTCAACGAGGCTCCCTCCTGTCAGATGGAGAGAGTAAATACAGCGGCAAGCTTTGGGACAAACTCCCCTCTCTCCGGCAGAAACAGGAAATGCCGTAACTATAGGTAACAACGGTTTCAAATCAGCTTCTCTTAGACAAAAAATGTAAATTAATAACTCAAATAAAACTCCAAACATCTTTAATTGTGTTACTTTTGTGTAAAGCTCTTTTAGTTTCAAACCTGACGTTTATAAGCTTCTTAGTTTTTGCAACAGTCTGTAAATATACACAACTTTATAATAAAATGCACACATTTACCTTTTAAGTTAAACATATGAGGTTATCATGAGGTTGTTAACATCGCAGTTTATCAGTGGATGTTTGCTGGAACTGTTTGTAAACAGCGTGTTTCCTGACGGACACACACAGCGTTGAGACCGGTCCATATGTCCGGTCCGGTCCGGTCCGGTCAGGTAGAGACCGGTCTCCAGTCAGCACCGATGCAGAGTACTAGCTGTTTGAGGGCTTGATAGCCCACTCCCCCTCCACACCGCTCCACACTCGTTGGTTTGGAACAGCAATGTGGCGGACCCTCCGCGCGAACGTGGTTTGGGATTGGGCCTTAGTGAGTGAGTTAGTAAATGAGTTAGTGAGTAAGTTAGTGAGTGATTATTTCACCTTCATAAAAACACAAACAGAGGCCATGAACGCACCATTTACAGGTTTTTATTTTAGACACAGTTGCGATCCAGTGTGTGTAATATTGGCACAGAAACACAACATTCAAAAACCTGATATATTAAACGGAAAATAACTTTTGCAGCTTATATTATTATTTCAGATGTGTTGCTTCTTGTGAAAAGCACAGGAAGCAAACAGCATTTCACAATTTAAACTTCCTGTAGTTGTAGGGGAGGAAACGTCTGAGTGAGATCCTGAAGTGAGATTAAGATCAAATAAAGGGACAGTTTGATGATTTATAGGGTGTTTAAATGAGGTATTTCTCATCTGACCTGTAGTGGATATGCATTTAAGACTCCTACAAATCTAAATCCACAGGTATCAGTGTCTCTACTGTGACATGTCTCCATGCTTTAAGGTTTAAAAAGCTCTTTACTTTCACAGCTTTTCACTCGTGCAAATCCTCAAGTCATGCTCTGAACTCTTCATATTTCTACTCTAATTCTTATAACCTATCTTCATGTTCTTGACGGTTGCCTGTCTTTGTATTTCTTCTTGATACACACGTACAAATGACTGTTAACCTAGAAAAGTACTGAGCAATAAACCTTATTTCTATATCTTGACTTTGCTCTAAAACATCTCTTTCTGACGGGAACCGAGACACCAACCTCAAAGTAATTTAAGACCGCAGGAGTTTCTGATCTGCTGCTGGCTCTATAGTTGAGTTAGTTTCTGTTATTTAGTGACTTATGTGTGTTAAAAAGGGTACGTTTTGTTTCCTCAAAGTCCCACAATAACACAGACTAACCAACCAGATTGAGGGTTTTTAAATCAATGGATTAAGGGATCTTTAAAGAGAGAATATCAAACACCTGCTGGTTTATTCTCCTGCTCGTCTCAAATGTTCTGTTTCACATTATTCTGAGTGTGCGTGTCTCTCTGTGTTCGTTTGGTGTCTTTTGATAGGCATTAGAAGTCTTAATGTCATGTTGTGTTTGAGGGCAAGGTAAAGCGGTGAAAGTATTATAAATATGCGAACAATTAGAATCATTTAATGCGAAGTACCTCATACAAACACACTTCAAAACAATCCAATCATCCCTTTAATTGACCCTGTTGAAAGAACACTTCAGCACAGAGGTTCCTCACAGGGAGCAGGGCGTAGTGTTGCAGACGTGTACATGCATTTGAGAACATCAGATCCATCGCTTTAATGTCAGGTTGCGCTTCAGTCAGAAGAAAAGTAAACAATTAATTAAAGTGCCGTCACAGTAAATTCTCCCAAAACAACATCCGTCTTTGCAAAAACATAATCTTTATTTTTTTAGCATCCATCTTGTTTTGTATTTGTCTAAACTACTTCCCGTTGCATCACATCTCCTCTTTGACCAGCTTTGAGAGAGAATGCATGAGAAGCTAAACTCTGATATGTAAAAGAAAAAATTAGATATTTATCCGTGTGCAGACCTTTTGCCACAAGTCAAATGTTAACTCTCTGCGGGCTGTACTGTGTGAGCTCAGAGGTAAATGAGGAAAGCCGGATATTAAACATTGATGGAGAAACAGCGACATGTATTGAATTTGACCTGAACAGCTCGGTGCATCAAAATGAATCATAATCCCAAATATGTATTTCTCTGCTCTTGGACCACGTGGACTGAATTGATGGAAAACAATGCGATTTAAATTATTTTTGTACAACTAACTATTTATTTATAATTTGTTCTCGTTATATTCAAGGTGACAACTTTTCATTTCAATTTAAATAATCCCCCAAAAGTCAAAAATGCACCCGATGTACCTCTCCTCTGATAAACACACATTCATGCTTTCCCCCCAAAGTAAACCCTGTGATTTGGTGAACAACAACCGGCACGCCGGACGGTTCTAATTCCACAATCAACGTGATTTCTCTCGTCTGCAACCATGCATCGCTTCTCTTCTCTTCAACCTCATTATTTTGGCAAAAACTGTGTTTAAAAAAATGTGTTTTTTTTTCCCCCGGCGAGACGAAGGACACGTGGACAGCTCTTCAGGAAGCAGGTTGCACTGGACTTCCTGTCAGTGGCGGTAGTTTGCAGAGAGGAATACGATGCTGTGCAAGAGCAGAGACACCTCGGAGTCTGAGGGGGACACAGAGAGAACAGAGAGTTACCTTATAGATCTGTGATGTTCCCTCCTCGACTACGGGCACAAAGGGAAGAAACAACATGTACAAAGAACCGGGAGAGAGGACTTGGCAAACTTAGTAGATAATGTTTAGTGACTTGAAAAGGAAGAAAGGCCAAGTTACAAAGCAAACTTAAGATGAACTAAGAACAGCTTTCTCCTAAAAGAAAGTCCCTAAAGTATTCAGGGTTCATACACTTTCTCACCAATGACTTCTCCATGACCTTTACCTCATTTTCAATGACTTCTCCAGGACCTTTACCTCATTCTCCATGACCAAAACATGACTCTTTCTCAGTGGTTCCACTGAAAATGGTTTATTTTAACATGGAACAGGAAAATAAGGTCTGCATCTGAAACATGTCGTGCCTATCTAAAACAAATCCAATAGGCTTACTAGCTTCTACACGCTAAAGCAACTCAAATCTCTCACCAGCAAAACACCTCGTCAGTTAAATGCCATTTCACGTTTTATTACTATACCATACAGTATTTATTATCATTATAGTATTACTATTTCGGCGATTAGATAAAATATAAATTATATTTGATGCAACTTTAGTTAAATTTCCATGACTTTTCCAAAACTTTGAGAAAAAAGTTTTCCATAACTTTTCCAGGGCCTGGCATTAGCATTTTGAATTTCCATGACTTTTCCAGGTTTGTAATGACCGTAAGAACCCTGAGAAGTTAATACACAAGTTGAACACACAGGCCTCACAGAGACACCACACACAGGATTATATGACGGAGGAATACTTAAATAGACGAGAGGTTTGATATTTCTTCCATTTTTGTGCAGTAAAGTCACTTAGGTTCCTCATTAGATGGGTTTGATGACTACAAATGCATTGTGGGTAATGTCGGCACTTGGTATAGACAAGTTAAAAGCATGCATGGAATAAAGAACGACTCTCACAACTTCTATAATATCAACTCAAGGACTTTTCAGGTCCAGGTCACTCAAATTCAATCAAGGGAAACTACTATTGTCCTTTCTGTGAAACACTGGATGATATCTATTCATCATAATCTCAGTTTCTGTGCAGATTTAACAACTGAAAAATAGAGGGTGTTCATTTAAAGGGGACCTATCATGCAAAATGCACTTTCTACATGAATATGTGTCCCCGGTGTTCCAGGGAACTCACCAAGTGTCAGAAAACACAACCCTCTCTATTTTCCTCCATACCCAAATCTCTAAAAAAGGGGCTGCAACGGATCTGATAAAAACTGATCCAGATTTGAACACTGTCCTGACGTCAGGACGGTGGCGCTACGGCTATTGGGCCAACTCCACCAATCAGGAGGAGACAGCCACGGCCATTGCCATTGGAAAGCGCTGGAGACGCTGTAGTACATATGCCAGGCCTGTAGATGGTGCTGTTCTCACTGAATCAGCCCTTGCAGAACAGAGCTAAAAAAATTGAGCAAAATGAGGCATGGCTAAAATGCATGATCTGTTTGGTATTTTGAAAACAGAAACGTATAAATATGCCTTATATAGGTATGGTCCTACACTATATTATTTAAATATACCATGATAGGTCCACTTTAAGAAAGAAGCGCCTGATTCGCAAGACAACCAATCAGACGCTTCTTTTGTTTATCGCTCTGCCTTCAATCTCCTGAATCATCACACACACACACACACACACACACACACACACACACACACACACACACACACACACACACACACACACACACACACACACACACACACACACACACACACACACACACACCACACACACACACACACACACACACACACACACACACACACACACACACACACACACACACACACACACACACACACACACACACACACACACACACACACACACACACACACACACACACACACACACACACACACACACACACACACACACACACACAACACACACACACACACACACACCACACACACACACACACACCCACACACACACACACACACACACCTTTGATGGCTTTTTACATGTTATCCATCGGGACATCCACTCTCTGCACTTATGTACATTCAGACTGCTGGAGTACAGGCCGCGCAGGAAACACGCCTGAAGCAGGGAGAGCATCATCAAAGTCAACCTTTCAGTTTGTGTGCACAGACGGAGAGATCAAAATACCGTTTCCCACCATCCCGAATATAAAATACAAATATATATAAAAATATGTATATACCTATATATACACAATCCATAGACACATGTATACATATACACACATTAAGACACTGAGAGAAGACTGACCTGTCTGACTCGGCCTCGCTCAGGTTTCTGGACTCCCATGCGACTCAGAGCTCGGTCCAGATGCAGAAGTTGTGATCCGTGACGCTGCAGCCGGCGAGACATCAGGAAGCTGGGGAGACGAGGGGTGAGGAAGAGGAGCGGAGAGACGAGCCTCTGAGGAAGAAACGCAGGAGAGAGGAACACATGTTCAGATTTCATGCTGCCATTACTTTCAGATCTACCTGGGTTTCTACGGATCGGGTGACTTTCACACTTTTCAGTTTTTTTGTTATATATATTTTGTATACAAAACAATTACACAGTGTTTTTTCAAGACATAGTAATTGTACATCTTAAGTTTGTCTGTCCGAAATGCCTTAAAAACAGTAAAAAGTACGAACAATACGAACATTAGGGAGCGGTCAGGACTTCACAGGAAAATCATACGTTTGTAAAAAATCAAATCTGGCCGATGCGGTTTTACGAAATCAGTCCACTTTCTCCATCGTGACACAAATAGTTCCAGTTTGTGATTCACAGACTTTCCCACTTTTCACTTGTTATAAAAGTTTCCAAGAGCTTTTTCCAGAGGAGGAAGTACTGAGATCTCTCACTGAAGCAAGAGCACCAATAACACAGCGTCAAATACTCAGTTACAATTAAAAGTCCTGCAATCATTATGTTACTTAAGTAAGAGTAGTATTTTATTAAGTTATTAGTTAGTGAGTTAGTTAGTGAGTTAGTGAGTTAGTTAGTGAGTTAGTGAGTCAGTTAGTTAGTGAGTTAGTTAGTGAGTTAGTGAGTCAGTTAGTGAGTCAGTTAGTTAGTGAGTTAGTTAGTGAGTTAGTTAGTGAGTTAGTTAGTGAGTTAGTTAGTGAGTTAGTTAGTGAGTGAGTTAGTGAGTGAGTTAGTTAGTGAGTTAGTGAGTGAGTTAGTGAGTCAGTTAGTTAGTGAGTTAGTGAGTCAGTTAGTTAGTGAGTTAGTTAGTGAGTTAGTGAGTGAGTTAGTTAGTGAGTTAGTTAGTGAGTTAGTTAGTGAGTGAGTTAGTGAGTTAGTTAGTGAGTTAGTTAGTGAGTGAGTTAGTGAGTTAGTTAGTGAGTTAGTTAGTGAGTTAGTTAGTGAGTTAGTGTTAGTGAGTTAGTTAGTGAGTGAGTTAGTGAGTTAGTTAGTGAGTTAGTGAGTCAGTTAGTTAGTGAGTTAGTTAGTGAGTTAGTGAGTCAGTTAGTTAGTGAGTTTGTTAGTGAGTTAGTTAGTGAGTTAGTGAGTTAGTGAGTCAGTGAGTTAGTGAGTTAGTGAGTCAGTTAGTTAGTGAGTTAGTTAGTGAGTTAGTGAGTCAGTTAGTTAGTGAGTTAGTTAGTGAGTTAGTGAGTCAGTTAGTTAGTGAGTTAGTTAGTGAGTTAGTTAGTGAGTTAGTGAGTCAGTTAGTTAGTGAGTTAGTTAGTGAGTTAGTGAGTCAGTTAGTTAGTGAGTTAGTTAGTGAGTTAGTGAGTCAGTTAGTTAGTGAGTTAGTGAGTGAGTTAGTGAGTCAGTTAGTTAGTGAGTTAGTTAGTGAGTTAGTTAGTGAGTTAGTGAGTCAGTTAGTTAGTGAGTTAGTTAGTGAGTTAGTTAGTGAGTCAGTTAGTTAGTGAGTTAGTTAGTGAGTCAGTTAGTTAGTGAGTTAGTTAGTGAGTCAGTTAGTTAGTGAGTTAGTGAGTTAGTGAGTCAGTTAGTTAGTGAGTTAGTGAGTTAGTGAGTCAGTGAGTTAGTGAGTTAGTGAGTCAGTTAGTTAGTGAGTTAGTTAGTGAGTTAGTGAGTCAGTTAGTTAGTGAGTTAGTTAGTGAGTTAGTGAGTCAGTTAGTTAGTGAGTTAGTTAGTGAGTTAGTTAGTGAGTTAGTGAGTCAGTTAGTTAGTGAGTTAGTTAGTGAGTTAGTGAGTCAGTTAGTTAGTGAGTTAGTTAGTGAGTTAGTGAGTCAGTTAGTTAGTGAGTTAGTGAGTGAGTTAGTGAGTCAGTTAGTTAGTGAGTTAGTTAGTGAGTTAGTTAGTGAGTTAGTGAGTCAGTTAGTTAGTGAGTTAGTTAGTGAGTTAGTTAGTGAGTCAGTTAGTTAGTGAGTTAGTTAGTGAGTCAGTTAGTTAGTGAGTTAGTTAGTGAGTCAGTTAGTTAGTGAGTTAGTGAGTTAGTGAGTCAGTTAGTTAGTGAGTTAGTTAGTGAGTTAGTGAGTCAGTTAGTTAGTGAGTTAGTGAGTTAGTTAGTGAGTCACTGACCATCTGCTCGCTGCTCATCCTCTTGATGCCCAGCGGCGGTCCGGAGAATAGTTTTTTCACGGCCAGGATTTCAGAAACCTGAGGAGTCGCTCCGTTCTGCACCTGGAGAGAGACTCACTTTATCACTCCGTTTATCACTCTTTATCACTCTTTGGTTCTGTGTGCACACATGAAGCTAGAACATGAAGGTAAAACAAGTTCATGAGCAGAAGAGGAAGCAAGCTTTTGAATGATCCCTCAGACAGAGCGTGTGGGAGGAGGCAAAGGAAGTGGGAACACTCTGGATTCATTTACTTCCACCAATCATTTCCCCAAAAAGCAAAACAAAGCTTTTATAAAAGGCTCAGAATAAAAACTAATTATGATTGTGAATCAGTCATGTTCATTAGTCTAGCATCACTGACATCTAGTGGCTGGATTTAATACATGTTACTAATGAAACCTTTGAATTAAGATTAACGAAACAACTCAAGTCTATTGGATCAACCTGTTGAGCCCCGAGCCTGTTTTTCAGGTTTCAGGCTCGAAAATGACATGCCCAAAACAAATGACTACAACTTCACTTCTAAAAGGGTTATATGAATAATTTCTTTTATCAAAGCAAGGTCACATCTGTGAGATGTAACATATAATAAGTACCCTGTATCAAGATTGAGGCAAAACAAGTTAAATTTGACCTTTTTAGAGAGGTTTAGCAAAAAAAAGTTCCAGGCGGAATAAGCTTTCGGCACATTTGGGTACATCTGGTTCCATCAGTGCCATTTGACCTTTTTCAGGTACCAGACTATAAAAATGATGTATTACATTGAATTATCACCATAGGTATTCATTCCATCCAAAGAAAAAAATAAAAATAAAAAAAATTAATAAAAAATAAAAAAACTTTTTTTTATTTTATTTTTTTATTAATTTTTTTAATTTTAATTCGACGGGGGCTTTGGGGCTTAACAGGTTAAGCAGTTTGTAAAGAGGCAAGTCAAAAATAAATGGGTTCAACTTTGAATACAGTTTTAAATTAAGTTCTCACAACTTAATCGTCTTCAAGATGATCTTATTAATGGAGCATAATCATGTGTAGCTCAAATCATAATCTAAACAGGATGTGCATATGACAATAAAACCTTTGAATCTTTGATCTTTGGTGACTTCTGTGTTCTCTGGTGCTCTCTTACTTTGACGCAGAGGTCCTGCAGGCGTTTCTGCAGAACCCCCTCACAGACCTTCAGGTTCTGCAGCCCAGAGAGGACGGGCTGGTGCTGCTGGACCCGCACCGAATGGGACACACCCCGAAACTCCAGCTGCTGCCGGGGGGTCCAGAAGTGAGGGATCAGGAGCTGCCGGGGGAAGAAGTACCTGCAGGGGGAGGGGGGGGGGGGGGGGGGGGGGGGGCAAGGCAAGGTTATTTATACAGCACTTTTCAACACAACGCAGTGCTTTACCTTAAACATTAAAAAGCTAAGATAATAAAACATGAATAACAGGTACATTAATAAAAGTTACAGCGCAGAGTGAGATGTGAATAGTTCAAACAGAAAAGTCTTCAGCCTGGATCTGAAAGTAGTGAGAGTTGCAGCGGACCTGCAGCTTTCTGGGAGTTTGTTCCAGATATTTGGGAATACCCCTCACCAGACTCTCACTTTCCTCTAGCTCAGGGGTCGGCAACCTGCGGCTCTTTCAGCCCTCTGCTCTGGCTCCCTTGAGCTTAGACAAAAATAAGAAGGAAATCAAATAAAAGTATTTGTAGGACTATTTAAATGTTGTTGCACGGTTGAAAATGTTTCGTATCTTGTATTTTGAGGTGATGCTGTGACACGTACAAAAATTAACCAAACGGTTTTAGTTAGGTCAACTAAAAGATGCGTCACATCCTGCTACGGTCCCGCGCCAGGTGAATAACCTGACCCCCGGATCGATGAGCGAACTATGGATACATCAAAGTACCGGAGGAACACAGAGGGTTTAATTCTGCGTGATTAGAGTTATCTGCTTTCACAGCAAACGATGCTGGCTTACCGGGATGTTTGATATGTGGAGAGGAGTTGTCAAAGGTGCTGCAGCTTTACGTATTGAGGGAAAACACGGAAGAGGAAGACAGCTGACGATCTTCATCATAATGCAATCAGTTAAAGGTGGGGTAGGTAAGTTTGAGAAACCGGCTCGAGATACACTTGTTATATTCCATGGAATGCTCTTAACATCCCGATAGCAATGAATATCTGAAGTGCTTTGACAACAAATCCATAAAAAATTTCATCTGTGGAAGCTGTGGTACTGTGAAAAGCACGACCAATCATCTGAGCCGGCCCGGCTAAAATAACTGGATGGCCTACCTGCCTGTCAGCCTTCCATCTGTGCACAAACTTATCTCGTGCCCTCATTGGTCATGTGCGCGTTCGTGTGTGTTGGAGGAGGGGCTCTGTGAGGAAGTGGCAGATTTTCTCAGGCTGTGTATTTTCAAATTCTAGCGCACTCGAGCCGGTTTCTCAAACTTACCTACCCCACCTTTAACTCTTTTCAGGGTGCAGCTATAGGTTTTATTTATTTAAAAGTGGGTCAATTTGAATTGTATTTTTTTTCTTCAAGTGTGCAGAGGACTCCCAAGTGCTGTGTTGATTTATTTTAAATGCCTGTGTATTTTTTTAATTCTCCTTATAAGAGTTCTTTGTTTCTTATTAGAGGTTAACAGTTTTATAATGTAATAAATAATAAATGCAAAAAAACTGTAGTTTTAGTCTATGATGTAACAAATACAACTTTATAAGCGATCAAGCTATCAAATATGTTTTGCGGCTCCAGACAAAATAAATTGTTGGAAAAGGGGGCAAAATGGCTCTTTTGGTCAAAAAGGTTGCAGACCCCTGATGGACCCCTGATGGACCCCTGATGGACCCCTGATGGACCCCGAGTCTTCCCGTGAGGTTATAGTTCTTTTGACACTTTTCTAACCTTTTTACATTCCTTTCCTCCATTTTGAATCCTTCTCTTTCCTCCATTTTGAATCCCCAGACAACACATGTTCCCGTTTTACATCTTTGGCCTTTAAACCCACTTGTCTTTTCAATTTCCAGAATAAGGATATTTAAACCTGTTTTAAGACTTAACAGGGAGGAAAGTAAACATTCATGGTGATGAAGAGCATGGTGATGAAGCGCATGGTGATGAAGAGCATGGTGATGAAGAGCAGGGGGATTGACAGTGACTCACATCAGGAGGAACACCAGGTAGTTGGCAAAGGGAGGGATGGAGATCACCAGCAGAGGAAGGGCCTTCCCCAAGTCTCTGCGGAACTGAGGGACAGAAGAAGAGCTGCCGTTAGATCAAACGTTTCAAATCAGTTTCAGAGATACGTTAAAAAAAGTCTGCTATTTGTTTGTTTGTTTGTTTGTTTGTTTGTTTGTTTGTAAATGGTCTGCAGTTGGACTCCTTTGTTTACTTCTGGAACATGGTGACATCACTATAGAACACTGGCGCTCCTATTGGCTAGCGCTCCAACACATTGTACGTGATAGGCTTTGGGGCGAGACATCTCTAAGGAGGTTGACCAATCACAACAGAGCCGGCCAGCTAACCAATCAGAGCAGCTCTGGTTTCAGACAGAGGGTGAAAAGAGGTGCTGCAGCACAGGCAGTATGAGAAGAATAAAGAGCTTTTTGAACATTAAAGCATGGAGACATGTAGAGACACTACATACTGATATACACCTGAACATCAGCAGGAGAGGACTCTTTAAAGTAGAGACACTACATACTGATATACACCTGAACATCAGCAGGAGAGGACTCTTTAAAGTAGAGACACTACATACTGATATACACCTGAACATCAGCAGGAGAGGACTCTTTAAAGTAGAGACACTACATACTGATATACACCTGAACATCAGCAGGAGAGGACTCTTTAAAGTAGAGACACTACATACTGATATACACCTGAACATCAGCAGGAGAGGACTCTTTAAAGTAGAGACACTACATACTGATATACACCTGAACATCAGCAGGAGAGGACTCTTTAAAGTAGAGACACTACATACTGATATACACCTGAACATCAGCAGGAGAGGACTCTTTAAAGTAGAGACACTACATACTGATATACACCTGGACATCAGCAGGAGAGGACTCTTTAAAGTAGAGACACTACATACTGATATACACCTGGACATCAGCAGGAGAGGACTCTTTAAAGTAGAGACACTACATACTGATATACACCTGAACATCAGCAGGAGAGGACTCTTTAAAGTAGAGACACTACATACTGATATACACCTGAACATCAGCAGGAGAGGACTCTTTAAAGTAGAGACACTACATACTGATATACACCTGAACATCAGCAGGAGAGGACTCTTTAAAGTAGAGACACTACATACTGATATACACCTGAACATCAGCAGGAGAGGACTCTTTAAAGTAGAGACTGTTGAAGAAAGGTAGAAAATGGAACAACGTATTTTATTATATAAAGCTTAAATATGTTAAAAACTGTGTTAAAACTCTGTATGCCATAGTCATGTATCGTATAGTTTAACGCAATAGCAATATAGCAGGATGTGAAACCTTGAGAACTAACACCTCTGACCTAAGCATGACCCACCTGGAGTCACTGGACATACCAAATCCGGAGCAAGGTGGGAAGGGAGAGCGCCCTTTGGAAGAAGGGAACTCTAGATGAAAATCGGAAGTTGGAAAACTTCCAAGGGAGGGAGTATCATAGAATGAAAGATGGAAGTGTATTATAGGCCACCAAACACTAGGTAAAGCAATCACCCAAGCATTACGCATGGGAAACACTAGCCTTGATGAATGGGAATCAACCAAGGAATGGGAAACTAGGACTCAGAAGATGAGGAGGAATATTCTCTAGAAAAGGGCCAGACGGGAACCCGCAGTGGAGATCAATGAACAGTGATGAGGAAACACAGGCCCAACAGATGGACTGGGTGACAGCAGGCACCCAGAGAGTAGATCCTGAAAAGGAGACAATGATGAGCACCTCAATCACTATCACTAAAGTCAAAGTTCTGACTTCCCAAGGCAAAGAAGAAATTTAGATCCACCGCTCAAAGTATGAGCTAGAAGTCCTGCACCCAGATATGAAAAAGTGAATACCAGGAGAGACAAGGGCAGATGTTAATAAAGATAAAATAATAACATAGTGGAAACCTACAGGGGTTCTGATAGGACAGACATGTCAGATAAACCCCCCCCCCAGTGCTGCCTCGCTCCCTGCTAGAAAATATACAGATGGAGTAACTCCTCCACGAAGGAGAAAGGGCAGAAAAGAGGAAGGTTACGAAAAACGAACCCCCCCTTCTTGTGTTCAACAGGAACAAGGATGGAAGGGGAGGAAAGTGAGAGATCAGAAAGAAAAAGGGGAAGTTAGAAAGAGGAAGAAAGGAGAAGGAGACTCGCCAGTATAAAGGTAACAGCTGTGAGAGTTGAAGAGCACAGAAAGTCAGAGACAGCTGAGAAACCACGAACCCTCAAAGAGCAGCAGGCCAGAAAATGCAAAACCAGACGCAGTTATTGAACATCTCCGACGAAGCGGACGGCAAAGCAAACATCATTGTGAAGGAAGATCTGCAGGAAGGAGCGCTCCAGTCAGTATCGCATGTGCACAAGTTTAGCCTCCACAGTTCATCTGGGAGGAAAGGTATCTGCCCGTACTGTGATGCAGAGGGAGCGATACAAGCGTTCACTGAGGAAGGAAGCTCAGTAGAGATAATACAAATCGTACAAAGTGAGCGAACCATGTGGAAACCAGAATGGCAGGCCACTATTCAAGCAATGAAGAGATACGCAGTGGAATCCAAGACTACCAAGAACAGCGGGGACCCACTGAAAGCGATGATGGGATGGAGTACCAGGGCGAGGGAACCGGACACAACTGGACCCCAGAGCTCCTGGCAGAAGGAGGACAGGGATCCCAGGAATGTCTGTCTCCCCTCCACATCCTCGATGAAGAGGAGATCTCCTATTACGTCGAGGTCCTCAACCTCAACTGGCAAACACTCACCGAAATCAGAGCCGGACAGCTCGGGGGAATCAAGCTCGATAGACCTGGGAGCCCCAATCCGCCCAGGGTATCTACAGAAGTGCGCCACCGTGATGGAGGGACTGAACATGGGATCGGACCAGATACAAGGGACCCAGCAGAAGAAGGTATTCCAACGCAGCCCAGAGAGAATAGGCCCCTTCAGCTTCGACACCAAAAACATGACAGACCTGACCATGGTGCCAATGTCATTCTATCACCCAGACATGGACCCCCGCCTCTCCTCAGTCAGGTCATCACACTGGCTCGATCACCAAGCCAGAGACCAACTGATGAACGAGAAAAGGGCAGAGGCGGAAAAATCTCCTTTGAATATCCGCCAAAAGAAACGAGACAACACATCAAACATCAAGAGCTCTACTCAGGGTGAGCCGCCTAGTAAACGAATCCAAGTTAAATTGGAATACACCGTTCCTCAAAGAAGAGATGACCCTGGAACCAAGTCCCCACTACCTGAGACGATTCAAGAAGCCGCGGCTCAACTAGAAGATGTTGAGCAACCTCCCCACAAAGACGAAGAAAAGGTGAGAAAACAAGTCGCCTTCAAATTCACAGACGAGACAAAAAATAAATGTGAGCCAGCGGACGCAAAACCATGCGCGTCAGGGGCAGGAGAGTATGTTGCCGGGGAGCCCGTAGGAATATCACATGATGTCCCGCCAGGGTGGGTGATAGCCACATGGGGAGGCGACTACTTCATCCGCCCAAAAGAAAGGTGTCCGCCATACGGGAAATGGCTGGACAATGAAGAACCTCCCGTGAATATACAAGCAAGGGATGCCTTGAAACCTCAGATGAAAAAGGTTTCAGAGGAAAATGATTTCCAAAACCAGAACAACCCGTTAGTTCTCCCAGAAAAGGAGGATGGGGATGACTGGCACCCGAATGGTGAACAAGCCACAGGAAGAATAGTGCTGTACACCCATAGTCCCACCGGAGGATACAAAAAGTGCCCCATCAGGTACTTCACCAATCCAAAGAACTGGGACACTCTCGCGGGATTCCGCTATGGGGAAAGAGGTTTCCCCCGCTTAACTTACATCTGGAAGTACGATGCAAACCGGCACCGAGCTCTACATAATCGCTCAGCAATGATGTGGCAGAATAAAGGTGACAAAGAATTCAACACAAAGGAGGGAATCAAAAGCCTCCAAGTGACATGTTTCAAAACCAACTCCGACAGCTCATACTTTGCTATCACCGATGATGGATGTGGAAACGTGTATATGCTGACAGACCCAGAACGAGAGGGATGCTATGGAGAAGTCCGAGACAACTCGGGAAGCGCATGGGCCGGATGGAACCACAGATGGTCATGATGGAAGAAGCTACAAAGGACACCCGGGAGACAGAAGGGTACCGGGAGGACGGATACCAAGACCAAGGATGAAGTAGGAAGAATAGAAGAAAAGACATAGTTCCAAAGGAGACTGTTGAAGAAAGGTAGAAAATGGAACAATGTATTTTATTATATAAAGCTTAAATATGTTAAAAACTGTGTTAAAACTCTGTATGCCATAGTCATGTATCGTATAGTTTAACGCAATAGCAGTATAGCAGGATGTATAGAAAATCCTTATTTGGGCTTTAACAGCTATCGTGCCGGTTAAACTAAGTACGCGCTTCCTCTATAGCTGAAGCACGAACAGGATGTTGGCAACAGGGTATAAAGACGACAAGAAAACGGAGGAGAGGCAGTTCCTCTTGCTCGAAGACTGAACAACCTGGCTAACGCTAACTAGTAGTACAGCAAAACCTAGACGGATCGGATATAACATATCTGAGCAAAACGTATTCTATTATCATTATTATTGTGTGGTGTTATAACTTGTAACACTTTTAATAAAACTACCTGTTCACACTTGTGAAAGGCAAATAAAGGTCCATGTAGCCCTCTGATTATTACTGAATAAGTGACTAGTGTTAATTTTGTCAGCTATTTTTGTATTTAGTTTTAGTCTTAGTCCTGTATCAAATGTCCTTGTTAGTTTTAGTCATATTTAGTCACATTCATCCTGTTTTTATTTAGTCAAGTTTTAGTCGACTAAAAGTCTGAGCATTTTAGTCTTATTTTAGTCAAAGACAACTAACTATTTTAGTCTACTTTTTATCAATGAAAAAAACTGTTGACATGAGTCTTTTTTAGTCATCAGATTATATAGAACATTTCAGTCAAACTAGTCTAGCCAAAACCAATAATTTGTAATTTTAGTCAAATTTATTTCACAATAAGATTATATCTTGTCCTTATTTGATGAAAAACACAGTTTGAATGATTAAGAGAGCAGCTTTGCAGAGTATCTGGTTTGTGGTGTTTTTACCAGCTGTTTTATGGCCACATTGCTTCCCTTCTGATAAAACAATGCATTCGCTTTGTTTCTCAGCCTCATTGTAGCGAAAATGGGCCCAAATATCGCATCGTTTCTTTCTCCCAAGCAGTGGTGGCGTTAGACTTTTTCGTTGTCAGTCATTTTGACCGACAGGATCGTAACATTTCCGTCATAATCCATTATTACCCGTCGGGTCTGTACACAACTCGTCACTCACTCGCGCTGACGGGGGGGGGGGTATTTGGTTAACGCGACCACTGCTCCCAAGCCCTGTTGTTGCCATTTTCCTTTCTGTTAAATAAGGTGAGTTAGACCGGAGCCTTCCTGACAGTTCACAGTGTGCCGCTGCCCGGTGTAATTCAAATGTACCGCCGCGCGATATTGCATGTTGATTTCGTTACAGTTATTGTTTACTGCCGTCGGTGCCGTCTCGTCATCGTCTCGTTTTAGACATGGAAAAAAAGGTCGTTGACAAACATATTTCGTCATAGTTTTAGTCAACGAAATGAACACTACAAATCAGCAGGAAATGTAACCCGTCCCCACATAGCTTGAGTCCTGAGTCCAGATTGATTCCAGTGTCCTGTCTCCTTGGTTGAGGATCAATCCCTGACGGAACAGTCTCCAGAGATAACAGCTGGTAAGTAGCACCAGGTCCACTCTCTTGCAGAATATAGTAAGTTATATTGGAGGTCGCCATGATCGTTTGATCTGAGATACGACAGCAGTGCTTTACGGGTATTAAATCCCAAAGGTTTCAGAGGTGTGTTCATTAACGTCTGTGACAATCTAAAGGGATAAACTAAAGTAGAGACACTACATACTGATATACACCTGGACATCAGCAGGAGAGGACTCTTTAAAGTAGAGACACTACATACTGATATACACCTGGACATCAGCAGGAGAGGACTCTTTAAAGTAGAGACACTACATACTGATATACACCTGGACATCAGCAGGAGAGGACTCTTTAAAGTAGAGACACTACATACTGATATACACCTGAACATCAGCAGGAGAGGACTCTTTAAAGTAGAGACACTACATACTGATATACACCTGAACATCAGCATGAGAGGACTCTTTAAAGTAGAGACGCTACATACTGATATACACCTGAACATCAGCAGGAGAGGACTCTTTAAAGTAGAGACACTACATACTGATATACACCTGAACATCAGCAGGAGAGGACTCTTTAAAGTAGAGACACTACATACTGATATACACCTGGACATCAGCAGGAGAGGACTCTTTAAAGTAGAGACACTACATACTGATATACACCTGAACATCAGCAGGAGAGGACTCTTTAAAGTAGAGACACTACATACTGATATACACCTGGACATCAGCAAGAGAGGACTCTTTAAAGTAGAGACACTACATACTGATATACACCTGAACATCAGCAGGAGAGGACTCTTTAAAGTAGAGACACTACATACTGATATACACCTGAACATCAGCAGGAGAGGACTCTTTAAAGTAGAGACACTACATACTGATATACACCTGAACATCAGCAGGAGAGGACTCTTTAAAGTAGAGACACTACGTACTGATATACACCTGAACATCAGCAGGAGAGGACTCTTTAAAGTAGAGACACTACATACTGATATACACCTGGACATCAGCAGGAGAGGACTCTTTAAAGTAGAGACACTACATACTGATATACACCTGAACATCAGCAGGAGAGGACTCTTTAAAGTAGAGACACTACATACTGATATACACCTGAACATCAGCAGGAGAGGACTCTTTAAAGTAGAGACACTACATACTGATATACACCTGAACATCAGCAGGAGAGGACTCTTTAAAGTAGAGACACTACATACTGATATACACCTGAACATCAGCAGGAGAGGACTCTTTAAAGTAGAGACACTACATACTGATATACACCTGAACATCAGCAGGAGAGGACTCTTTAAAGTAGAGACACTACATACTGATATACACCTGCCTCAGTATCTGGTGATTGTGTGATCATATTTGATAAAGGACTGACCTGTCGGAGCTTCTCCATGTCCCTGTAGGGCAGATCCTTGAACTGCAGTTTGTCAGAGTGCATGTTCACTTTTATCCTCCTCACTTCTTTACCGTCTCTGAACAGCAGCTTGATCCCTGGAACCATTCAATTAAAACATCAATTAAGGTAATGTGAAAGCTGATGATAAGAAATATGTGGAGAGAACAAACTGATGGCGGTCAATGTTAACCTCTGTAATATTTGTAACATTGACCGCCATCAGTTAACCTCTCTTGTTGGAAAAGAGTATGATAGGGGACCTTTAAATGATGTAGGAGTTCAAAGATGATCGTACCTTCCACAAAAGTGTGATAGAGCAGGAAGAAGCGAGGAAATCTTGTTTTGAGGAAACTTTCATATTTGGAGTTGACTATCTGGACGTATCGCCCCAAACCTCGTCTGACTTGAGACGTGGAGTAGAGTCTGCAGAGAGGGGGAATAAGTGTATTTATTATAAAACATCAGGAAGGAAAGTGGATTAAAATGCAGGAAATTGTCTCTTTTTTTAAATTTAAAAACACAGAATGTTACATTTTTTATTTTGCTTTTAATATATAATTAATGTTGTGTTTTATAAATGTTAAGTGTTGTTTTAACTATATATATATATATCCTTTATTCAACCAGGTAAAAGACTCATTGAGATTAAAATCTATTTTCCAAGAGCGACCTGGCCTAGAGGGGCAGCATGAACGAAGTTACAACAGATAAAACACAGACAATGCAGGCAGACGAATACAGCTGTAAAACGCAAATGAAATGGCACATTAGCCAGTCAATATGCGAAATAAAACAAACTATTAAAAATCATTAAAAACTGGCAAAATGTAAAACAATTTTAGGATATACGAGCGCTCACATCTACCAATGGTGTCGTGTTCACTGTCCTTTAAAGTGGACCTATCATGCTATATTTGAATAATATAGTGTAGGACCATACCTATATAAGGCATATTTATACTTTTTTATTTTCAAAATACCAAACAGATCATGCATTTTAGCCATGCCTCATTTTGCTCAATTTGACATTTTTGAGCTCTGTTTTAGCAAGGGTTGATTCAGTGAGAACAGCACCATCTACAGGCCTGGCATATGTACTACAGCGTCTCCAGCGCTTTCGAACGGCAATGGCCGTGGCTGTCTCCTCCTGATTGGTGGAGTTGGCCCAATAGCCGTAGCGCCACCGTCCTGACGTCAGGACAGTGTTCAAATCTGGATCAGTTTTTATCAGATCCGTTGCAGCCCCTTTTTTAGAGATTTGGGTATGGAGGAAAATAGAGAGGGTTGTGTTTTCTGACACTTGGTGAGTTCCCTGGAACACCGGGGACACATATTCATGTAGAAAAGACGTACAGAAGTGCATTTTGCATGATAGGTCCCATTTAAAATTGACCTGAATTCCCCCACAGTGATTACATCTGAGAGTTTCAGCTCCTTCTGTACTTTATTCCGAGCTGTGGGGGCAGCATATTTAAAAGCTGTTTTACCTAGTTTTGTTCTTACGTTAGGAACCAGCATCTGAATCAAATCTTGGGAGCGCAGGCCATATAGACTTTCTCTAAACTAATTAGTTTTGACTGTGTAAAGTGTCTTTGAGTTTCAGGAAAAGCGCTCTATAAATAAAATGCATTATTATTTATTCTGGGAGATGGTTGCCTCTAACCTTTCGGCGATATTTGAGACTAACGTGCCTCATTCACCTGTTACACTTATCCTAAACGACCTGTCCAACCTGGGTTTAACCCTGACCAAAAGGCGAGCACTATTAGCCGGGCTTACAGCAGCAAAACAATTGGTTGCTCGCTGGAAGCCTCCCCACTCCCTCTCACGTAAGGTCTGGGTTCTAACATATCTAGAAGTATCGACAGCCCGGGTACATGGGGCGAAGGAGTCAACACCAGAGATGTGGACTTCGCTCATTGTGAACCTCAAAAGCATATTAGGATAACTATCTAATGGGGATGTGGTGATCTGGATGGCAATACAAATACTGTATTGCATTTGATGTTATTGATTGTACCATTTGTTTAATACATACAAAATGTGATCACAAAAAAAAAGAATAGTAATTATATAGGCCTTTAACAATAATATATGTCCCAATAAATCTTTGCTATGTACCTTTTATTATTGATTTTTTTAATCATATATAAACCTACTTAACCTTCACTTGCTTCAATATAATATTTACCAATAATATTGATAATAAACATTTCAGAAATATGAGTTTAAATTATTAATATGAACAAAATGAGGAATTTTGAATATTCTTTTACATAAGAAATACGATTTGTATGAACTATTATTTCAATATTTTAAGTTCTTGCAATTACTGTATTATTAATTGTTCAAAATCATGTGAAATTCATGTCATAATCCAAACAGGAGGATAACCTACCAGTATTTGTTATTTGTTGGTGAAAATAAATATTTGAGAAAAACAACCGGAAATCATCTCTCACCCTATTGATCTGCTGATATATTAACACATCAATAATTAAAAGGGTAGTTTAAGGTGGATCACCGTAATTAAAATATAGTTTTAATCTAATTTTACGTATTGTTAATTAACCGTTTTTGTGACAAACCGGTATATGGTTTCCTGAAGTGAAGCTAGCTAAACTTAGCAAGGATTCAAGTGAAATGCTAGCAGAATAACGGGACAGATAGTGGACGAAAGAGGCTTAAATAGCTCAGAACATACCTGTACTGACAGGGCAGGTAAGGGGAATAAAGTCCATTATTTATCCTGTTTGTCCTGAGACAACAGAACCGGGTCAACGAGGAGCTCAGCAGCGCCATGTTGGATCACCGTAGTGACGGGCAGAGAGGGGCAGGGACCAATGGCGTTCCTTTGCCGTAGTGACGTGTAAAAAGGGCAAGGACCAATGACGTTCCTTTACCGTAGTGACGTGTGAAAAGGGCAAGGACCAATCACGTTCATTTACCGTAGTGTAGGGAATAAAGGGCAGGGACAAACTACGTCCAGTTACCGTAATGACGCTCAAAATCCATTCAAAAGCCATTAAGCTACCGTAATGATACTCAGTAAAGGGCAGGGGGGAAATACGTTACTGTATAACGCACAAAAGCCCTTAAGTTACCGTAAATCTGGTTACATCTTGCAATTTATTCATATCATATTCCATGTACGTGTATATAGACTCTTATTGCACTATTTACATTGTATTTGTAATTACTTGCACATCTTGCAACACTTTCTTGCACTATTTATATTCTGTTTTTTCTTTCACTATTGTCATTGGTTTTATCTGTGTTATAGCCTGGGACTTAAGTTGTTCATTGCCATATCTACACTGTAACTACTGTGCACGTGACAATAAAGCCATGAATCTTGTAATGACTCTCATATCCTTTATCCTCACATAACAATCCAATTCAATTGCGTTTAACATCTGTTTGATGTATGCATGTAAAAAGAATGTGTTTATTAGGGATCCAGGTGTATGATTGGTATACCAGGCGGGGTACATAGATAACATGTGCTTCAACTTACAACCCTTAAAAAAATCTGTATAAGTCTGTCAAAATGTTGTCCAATTAGTTTGTATTGCCTTCTTATTCTGAGGGCTTCCCTCTATGGTGCCATATTGATCCAATTCTTGTAAGAAATGTCCAAAACTTGATACAAAAATTCAAAGATTTGTCATATACACAGTGTAGTTGTCACCCACTGTCTGAAACCAGATCCCAGTCTGCTGATTGGTTAGCTGCCTGACCGGCTCTGTTGTGATTGGTCAACACACCTTTCACTTAGTGGCTCTTATTCTAACTTATAATATAAATTGTTTACATTGTTTTTATGTGCAATGCTTGTCTTCGTGCTGCTGTTACAACACAATTTCCCAGACTGGGACCATTACATATATATCTTATATTTTACCTGGGTGACGTAATCGGTGTAATACGACACCAGCCCCGGTATTTATTCACTTCCGGTATTTGATCGGCGCTCCTCGGAACATCTCTCAACAAAAAAAGGTCCGTAAATGTTTATTTCTTACTTGGCAACTCTTAATTTTTAAACAGACTGTATTCAAAACACATTTGAACTGATATTGAGTTGATGTCGCAGTTTAAAACTTTTAATTATCTGCTTCATTTCAAAGTTTCGAGTTTTGACTAGCAGGCGGAGCTAATAGCTAACAATAACGCATGCGCAATTTAGCAGGAAAGTTTGATTATTGCTTTTTTATTCATGTTTATTTTTAAGAAATGTGCCTTTTGCTACGATTAAACTGTCTGAAAATATAGCCACCAGATGAATACTCTTAACATGTATGTGAAGTTAGCTGCTAGCTTCAAAACCCCTAGTATCGGGTTTTACCCATAGACCGTATATATAAAGGTTTTACCGTGATTTTTTTAGTCAATACGATATCAAGTATGTTACTTAACTTAGTCAGAATCTATCATTAAACCTGTGGGTTAGGGGTCGAAAAGTAAAAATTCTACTCTCATGCCAAACAGTACAAAAACGACTCTCAGTTACTCAATTTCTACACACAAGTGCATCCAATAAATTACACAGAAACCTCAGAAAAGATGTATAAATCATAGGTATTTTGAAAAGGAAGGGAATCGTATTAGCCTAAACATATGATGGTGTTTAACTGAAGTAACAGTGGCTCTAGATCAAGCTAAATAACCAATATAAACACCATACCTGCTAATAAATAGACACAATGATCCTCCTGTGTGATTTAGCATTGAAGTCTTGCTATCAAGTGTGTGTGTTTTGTGGGTGTAGTAATCAAGTACACCACCACCTGCAGGCAATCAGGTGATGGATGATTAGGAACACCTGTGGAGCAGAGCCCTGATCTGATTGGTTGTCATGTGTCCTACATCTTTTAAAAGCTACATGTGCATCTAGAAACCTGTCAGTGCACCTTATAGCTGTTTGCCAGCTGCCGTTAAAGAAGAAGAAGCAGCCTGAAGCAGCAAGAAGCAGCAAGCTGTCAGTTGTTTGACAACTGCCATAAAACAATTGGAAGAAGAAGAAACCTGTCCGTGCTTTCTTCTCAGAGTGTTTTCTTTCGATCCCGTTTGACCAGCTGCTGTCCGGTGAATCTCAGCTGAAGATGGCGACCTCCTTCAGATTCGGATCCACGATCGACCCGTGCAGGACGGCTGCTGCTGAGAGGGCAGTGCTGGAGGAGGACGAGGAAATGAGTAAAACTAAACCTATTTTTTTACACATTTCATCATCCTAATTTATGGAATCAGGTTTAAGACAAAGCAACACTTTCAATGGCTTTTTACCGCCACACATACATGTAAATATATCTAATATGTATATACGACCCAAATATGTATACATGTTCATTTAATTAATTTCTTATTTAAAAAGTTACTTGCTACTAATCTGTGTGAATCGTCCTGTTTTTCACCCTCACCCTGTTGCTTTTAAACTGTTGAATTTCCCCACAGGGATTAACAAAGGTCCATTTTATCTAATCTAATCTTATTTTAAAGTTGGCAAAGAAGCACACCTGGATCCGGACTTCCTCCTGCAGTGTCCCTTCGATAAGAACCACCTGATCCGGGTCTGCCGCTTCCCGTACCACCTGATAAAGTGCAGGAAGGTGAGTGACAGCAGCACGCTATATATTTACATTAAAGTGGACGTGTAGGAACTCTTTATCTAAAGTAAAGACGGGTGATATGGTAAAAAATCCTTTATTTTCATATGAGATAAATCAACATAAAGCACCTTTTCTGGTATTTTGATGTATAACGGGTGTTGCTGTTTTTTTTAGAAAATCTGCATTTAGCTCTGATCTAAACTTAAGCTGCTTTTTAAAACCTAATCAAAACATTTGATAACATGTATGTGAAGGTAGCTGCACGCCCCAAAAACTAGGAACATGGAACTATAGATTGGTTTTTACCGTAACATTTCTTGTTCGATATACAAGTTATTTCATATCTCTAAACAATCTAGATCCCCATAAAGCATCGTTCTGTTCGATCACCTCTATACTTCTGTGGGAATGACATGCATGACATGAGAGGGAAGTAAAGTAAAAACCATATTTCTTCACGTACAGAAAGAACCGGAGAGCCGCAGCACGCGCTCCCTTCTGTTTAACATGTGTACAATGTGCAGACGTGGAAAGATATAATGGGAAGAAACCAGTCAGAGGTTTACCACGGGATGGGTACCGCGCCCCGGTATCAACGGGCCCCGGGGCTGAATTATCAAAGACCGTGGTACCGTTAAGCTCCCACGTTATCGGTCTATTTATCGCTACTGGAGACATGTAAAAAATACGTCATGTGTATTATTGCGACACAAACATTATATTGCAGTTTTAGTGTCGCCAACTCCGTTTCTAATACGCAAACAGACTGCTAAATGCGTCTATGATTATTTTCGATCTTTCCAATCCAGGTGAGAGATATCTCTCCCCCGTCTGTGTGCGAGGGGGCGGGGCAGTTTACACACACGCAGCTGCTACATGCAACACACACACACGGAGGAGATGGCGGAGAGACCTCTGAGGTGTGGTTAAACTTTACCCGTCTCGCTCGTTGCCTAAAGTGCAATAAGAGTTTAGCACAGGGGTCGCCAACACGTCGATCGCGAGCTACCAGTAGCTCGCGGAGGTTTTCCGAGTAGCTCACCAGAGGGCGCTAAAGTGCAGTTGACATGTTGAGACATATTTATTTATGTAGTATATTTTGAGAGTAAGAAAAATAGAGAAAAAGAGATGTAAGATGCAGTCATGACAACTGAGGAAGGTCCGTCAAAGAAGAAATCTAAAATATACTACTTTCATGACGAGTGGGAACATGAATTTTTATTTACGAGCATCAAAGACAAGTGTGTGTGTTTAATTTGTGGCTCGAGTGTTGCGGTGGGGAAGAAGGGAAATGTGGAGCGGCACTTCACAAAACTTCACGAAAACTTTTCAAAGGAGTATCCCGCCGGCAGTTGCCTTCGCGTTGAGAAGGTACAACAATTAAAAGCTACGCTACAAAGGCAGCAGTCATTGTTCACGAAGCCTGCCAAGAAAGCTAGCCTAGCTACAGAAGCATCGTTCCGAGTCGCTCAGTATTTGGCAAAGAACAAACAAGCTTTCACTGATGGCGGTGTTCTTAAGGGAGCGATGTCTGTTATGGCAGAGACTTTGTTCAGAGACCACAAGAGCAAGTCGGAGATAATGTCTGCCATTGATGATGTGCAACTGGGACCCAACACTGTGGCGAGGAGAGTGTCGGCGCTGTCAGTGGATGCCATGGAACAGTTGGAGCGGGACATGGTCAGGTGCAAGTGGTTCTCCATACAGTGCGACGAGTCGGTGGATGCGAGCGACACAGCTCAGCTGTCTGTGTTTATCCGGATGGTGTTTGAGGATTTTACGGCGAAAGAGGAATTTCTGACACTGCTTCCACTCAAAACCACAACAAGAGGTGTGGACGTGTATAATTCTATTAAGAATTATTTCATAAACAAAGGCGTGCAAATGGAGAAGCTTGTATCCATAACAACTGATGGAGCCCCGGCTATGAGAGGTCGCCACAACGGTTTTATCGCAAATTGTAAGTCAGATCCATATTTCCCACGTTTCCTGAGTTACCATTGCATCATTCACCAAGAAGCACTTTGTGCCAAAGTTATGGACTTCAATCATGTCATGAAACCTGTGATAAAAATAATAAACTCTATACGAGCGAAGGCAAAACAACACAGGAGCTTCAAAGTTTTTCTTGAGGAAATGTCAGCTGAATATGGAGATCTCCTTCTCCATGCTGAGGTGAGGTGGTTGAGTAGAGGGAAAATCCTACAGCGCTTCCTCTCCTTGCTGAATGAGGTAAAGCTCTTCATGGAAGAGAGAGGGGAGGACACTTCCATCTTATCTGATGCTGGTTGGGTACTTGACCTGGCCTTTTTGACTGATCTGACAGGAAAATTAAACCAGCTTAACCTCCAGCTACAAGGCAATGGCAAAACAGTATGTGACATGATTAGTGCTGTAAAGGCCTTTAAAGCAAATCTGTGTCTATATCTCCAGCAAGTAAAGGGAAAGAAATTGCATCATTTCCCCTCTGTTCAAAAAGTACTGCAGGAGAATGAAGCTGCTGCTGGCTTTCTTGACTTGTCAAAGTACTGTGACTGCTTAACTAAGCTTGGGCAGGAATTTGAGGACAGGTTTCTTGACTTTAAGCAGCTTGAGCCCTGTGCAAGTTTCCTTGCTAACCCATTCAACATCGTGGATGTTACTGACATGTCTGAGCAACTGGCCAGCCTTTTCAGTCTCAGTGCTTCAGAGTTGGAGCTGGAGATAATCAATCTCCAGAATGACATTCGGCTGAAAGCACATCAGATGGACGAAGATTTCTGGAAGCTATTGGACCCAGAGAAATTCAAAAACATTCAAACTGCTGCACTGAAACTGTCCTGCTTATTTGGGTCAACATATCGCTGTGAATCAGCATTCTCTGATATGAACTTTATCAAATCCAAATTCAGGACAAGACTTACTGATGAACACCTCAATGACTCAATCAGAGTGAATTTGTCAGGATACACTCCCCAGTACAGTGCTCTGGTGGATGCTATGCAGTGCCAGGTGTCACATTAGCTGAGTCAGGAGAAAGACAACAATGCAGTGACAGACTGAATGTTTGAAGACATATGTTTGCTTGATGCAAGTTGAGAAAAGCACAAGCCATATTCCCCTTTTACATGTGAAACTAATTTGTGAAATGCTTGAAATAATTTAAATTATAGAGCTAGAAATGTTATTACAATTAGGAACGTTGCACTCTTATCTGTAAAACTGTGTACTGTAGTTATTGATGTTAAAGCAGAACTCAGTATTGCATGGTGATTATTTGTCTTTTTTTCTCTTCATGAGAAAGTCAAGTTTATTCATGTTAATGTTAATGTTAATGTTTCTGCTCTTGAGTCACGAATGTGATATGTGCACTGAAATCTATATAAAATAACATGAGTAGCTCTTGGCCACTTTCTTTTTTCAAAAGTAGCTCCCGGTTAGAAAAAGGTTGGAGACCCCTGGTTTAGCATGTAAGGGTGGTAACACGAGCAATTTGTCTAAACATTTAGCAAAAGTGCACCACATCCAGACGGAGGAATGCACCGACTGTCTCTCTAGTAGCTCTGTAGCCCCATCCACGAGTAATGTTTCCACGTCAGGTATTATGTATGCTAGCAGCAACACACGGAGCTAACTCAATGATACAAACATGGGCTAATGATTAGAGGGAACTGAGTTATTTATTTTGTTAAAGTTTCAGCTATTCTGTTTACAGTTCTGTCATCAGATTATTTAATATGATTTGTTTAAACATTGTTGTTTCTTTTGATGTGAAATATTATGTATTTAATTTAAATAAAAAGCAAGGTTAGTTTACCTTATTTGTTTCTCCAAAAGAACCGATAAGAGTACCGAAGCACGACCCCAACATTGAGCTCTTTGGTTCTAAGATATAACGACATTTTAAAGCTTTGTATGTAAATTGTAAACACCTCCATTACAGCAGCATCTCCTTTTGTCTCTGGCTGATGTAGAACCACCCGAAGCTGGCGAGCGAGTTGAAGACGTGTCCGTACAACGCTCGTCACCTGGTGCCTCAGAACCAGCTGATGTCCCACACGGAGACCTGCGAGGACCGCATCTCTGTGGACACTGAAGACCGTGAGACATCTCCTTTATACCGGCTCTGTTAGAGAAACTGGTCCCCGGCTTGAGCTTCAGTCTCAGGATCCATGTGTTTGTGATCCTCTCCAGAATGGAAGTAGTCAAAATCTAAAAAATCTAAAAAAATCTGACTTTTTCTCAAAATCTCAAAAATCTGACTTTTACACACAAATCTAAAAAATGCTGACTTTTCTCAAAAAATGACTTTTTCAAAAAAATCTCAAAAAATTTGACTTTTTGCAAAAATCTCAAAACATTTGACTTTTTCACAAAAATCTCAAAAGATTTGACTTTTTTGCAAAATTCGGACTTTTTCTCTCAAATCGCAAAATTCGGACTTTTTCTCAAAATTCGGACTTTTTCTCAAAATTCTGACTTTTTCTGAATACTTCAAAATGTTAATAATCACTGGTCCCCGGCTTGAGCTTCAATCTCAGGATCCATGTATCTGTGATCCTCTCCAGAATGGAAGTAGTCATCACATACAGAGCATCAGCTAGTTCCTGAACAGTGTCCTTCACATGCTGATATCCAAGAGAGGGAGTTACACAGTCACAAGATGGAGGAATAGAAAGCAGTATTCAATGTTTACTTCAGATTAGCTCCACGTCAGAAATGATCATGCTTGTCATATGTCTATCTCCATAGAGGCTGAATCATCATGTTAATCACATAGCTATCATATGCCTCAAACAGTCCTGATGCTCTTCTAGGTAATCAGACATCCTGTCATGTTCACAGCTACAGTTGGGATACCTTTGTTATCATGTTACTCTCATGTTGGAAGAGGACGTTCAGTACATTGTGCTCTGTTTGCAGGCGGCAGCACCAACGGACCGATCCCCCTGCAGGTCCCCGTCAGCATCTGGGTCAACCCCGACATGTCCGAGGACTGGGACGATGGTAACAAACCGTTATATAAGAATGCTTTAAATGCTTGTTATTCTCCCAGATTTAATATCATGAGCTTCAGATCCAACTTTATTTATACAGCACATTTAAAAACAACAGAGTTGACCAAAGTGCTGTACATACCGATAGGACAAAAAAAACATACTTATACATGGGAGTAACACATGCGTCACTTCCGGGCAAAAAGTGCGGCCCCGCCCACTTTTTGGGGGAAAGCAAAGCTGTCATTTGAACGGCGGTCGAGCCTGAAACCACAGAGCTCTTCTGTTACTGTCCTTTCTTCTTAGAGGAAGTTCAGAAACACTGAACTCTGGATTTGTTTTAAAGTTTGAGGTGCAATAAATGACACAGCTGCTTGTTGGCATGATAACACAATTATTTCCCGCCTCGCTCATGAGAGTAACAGCTGGAGAGATTACAGCCTCGCCTACTGATTTGAATTTTAACCATATATCGAGCCCGATCGTCGATTTCCAATGAGTTAATGTAATAGTTTGCCTGACTGGCCGTCGTGACCGGGCTCTCTGAAGATCAGAGAATCCACGGTTTTCAAACATTTCTGATCAGATTGACAAAGACTTCAGATTTTGTATTGACCGCCATTCAAATGACAGCGTTGTTTTCCACCAAAAGTGGGCGGGGCCGTCATTTTCGCCCCGAAGTGACGTAGGTGTTCCTCTCATGTACAGCCACAGACTGAAAAACTCCTAAGTCCTAATTACGTGAGACAATTAAGCGTTTAAATAGATTATGACTAAGATATCTATTGATAGAAAGCACAATATGAAATAAGTTGGAATACACCAAACACAACAAATAGATCAGATGTACTTTATTGATCCCAATTGGGGAAATGTTTGCGTTGCAGCAGCTTAAAAAGACAAGGCATTGCACACGAGAGACTTTAAGACATTTAAACATCTCAAAATAGAAATAAAACGGCAATAAAAAAAAGTTGAAATAGCAATTTACAGTAAACAAAATATATAAAGCAGGATATTATATATACATATATATATATATATATATATATATATATATATATATATATATATATATATATATATATATATATATATATATACATTAAGTGTGTGAGGAATGGAATGTGAAATGAAATGTCAGTGTAAAATGTACATTGTGAGTTTAAGTCTAGTAATCCAGAGAGTTTTGTACTTTATTAATTAGACTAATCTGCAAAATAGTAGATTTTCTTTTTTGTATAAATGTTGCAGGCGCCCAGAGGAAGGTGTTTTGAGTGGGGGTGCTGAGGTGCTGTCAGATGTGCTAATTACCCACGGGGGGGGGGGTTTGACGTTGACATACACCGAGCAAAACCACACACACACACACACACAGTGGCAAAACAACGGACTCCAGTGCACGCTATTACGGGCACTAAGGCGCGAGCTCACACACTACAAAGATGTAAAATATGATTTGACCAACAATGTGTAATTTCCAGTCATTGAAGTGGGCGATCAAGGCTTTGCTAATACCTGGCTACATATTACACACTCTGCACGGCGGCAGCAGCAATACTTGTTGGTAGTACTTGTCCGTGCTGCTGCTGGGAGGCTGGTGCTCGTTGGGGGGGGTGGTAGACAAATGGCCTGCATCTTCTATTTCAATCTTTTTAGCGTTTTTAGTGAGAAAGAATCCCGAGATACGCGTTTGCGCCGTGTCGGTTACTCGTCACTTGTGTTGTGCGTCACGTTAAAAGTAGCCGACTAACAAAACACTTTCTTCCCTGAAGCTAAATAATTGATTATATAGTTTAAAATTATCATTTGAATAATAATATATAATTATTATAGCCCCCTTCCCGTGCCCCTGCAGGCGTCTGCTTCTTATGAAACATGCGTGTGTGTTTTTAAAGTGACACTCAGGGCTTGAGATGCAGTATGTAACCTGATCTCTCTCCCCGTGCACACTCTGAACATTTGTCTGTGAAGGTAACACGGTTTTATTTTCTTTGTTTCTTGCAGAGGCTGATGACGCAGCGCCTCCATTTGTGTGGGGGGTGAACACGGTGATGGATCATCAGTAAGTGCTCTGATTCAACTTCAATGCTGCACAGTGTCTTCTGTCTCTCATTGGTTACTTTGTCAGGGTTTGGAAAGTCAACATTTACTGAGAAAAGAGACACGTCATCATTTCCCAAAGGACAGATGTTCCTGCCTGGAGACGGTCTTTTTCTCCTAATTCACCTTTATTTTTTAGTAACGTTAACATGTGTTAATTCCTAAAACATGGCAAGTAGATTTGAATGAGTTTGTGTTCTGACATTGCGTTGTAACATCTTTAAAAATGCACTAACGTAGGTCCTGATTGGACGACATTATTTAATCTAACTTGCCCTAAAATGTAGGAAACCCTGATTTTACAGAGCCATAAATTACCAGAAAATACCAACGAGTGTTTGAGCTTCAACGGGATGATAGTACAACTTTAAAAAAAATCACATTATGCATCGTTTTGAGCAACAATTTTAAGGAACTTGCAAACAAAAGCGGTCAAGCGTAGAAGAAATCGTCGCTTTCGAAGCAAAATCCCCAAGAATTCAGGACTTTTTGATTTTAATAAAAGAACATTTATTTTCCTCACGGACGGCAAAAAAAGTCCGACATTATACAATTTAAAATAAAAACAATAATCGTGGCTTGATATTGAGTAAGAACATGTTTTTATGAAGCGCACACAGCTTCTGGTCTTCCAAGACCCGACCGGACAAAAAGACGTGTTGCCGGCACGAAACATACTACCAATAGAAATACATTGCTTTTAAAATCGTTCTGTGTGGCACGGAAAAAGTGTCGTGACTATATAAAGGTCCTGACACACAGCGTCCTGTCGCCCTACTCGGATTGGTGTGTCCCACCCCGTCGTGTCTTTTCGGCCGTGCAGACACCTGTCGGCTGTCAGCAAAAGAAATCACTCTGATTGGCTGTTCAGCTAACAAATCAGAGCATGAGAAGCGAAACGGAAGTGAAGAAGGCGCACACAGACGGCTATTATTTTTCATTTTCCAGTACCGCACTAAACACGTTTTCGATTATAAGTCGTTATGTGAAACAGTCTGTGATGGACGAGAGTGAAAATGGAACGCACGCTATTTGTCGTTTGTTTATATCTCGCAGTCTGTTCTTCTTCTCTCGGTGTATCACGCAGTCTATCTTCCGGTTGCCTCTTTTGAATGACGAATACACACTACCGCCGCCTGCTGGTAAGGAGAGTTATTGCCACTCACGCATGCGCAGTTCGTACGTGCTACTTGGCCGTCGGCTGAAGTCTTTGCGGTGTGTTCCAGTGCGACACATGGCCAAGACGCAGAGACGCGAGGCGACACAACAGTCGTGTCCGTCGGGTTCTTTGGTGTCAGCTTGGTGTGTCCGGGCCTTAACTCGAAATGCTGTGAGACTGGGTTGTTCTATCTTATACACTTTCGTTATCATGTGCACCTCCTTGAAAGAGTGCTTCAGTATTTCCCAAACAGCATGTATTTATGTTTTCGTACGTTCTTTGTGTGTCTCTGCAGATTTGAGATGAAGCCGACCAACAACCTGGGTCCGAGCTTCAGGACCCCCAACACGCTGCCCTGGGCCGAGTTGTAAATCGTGTGAACAAAACAAAACAACACTCATGCATTAATATTTCTTTTAGAATGTGTTCTTGGCATGTCCTTAACCTTAACCCCATTTAAAGTTTTAAATCGGCACTCGCTGAGGAAACTGATGGCCTTTAATCTTGTTTTTGAGTTACGGGTGTTGGTGTGTTGTATTCTGTGTGCTTGTTTTTATTAAAAGGTGCTTTAGTTATGAACGTCTTCATTAATGAATTGCATGTTTTTCTGCACGACGGAATTGTTTTACTAAAACATATAATCAAAACATGAAATATATGCTTTAAAATGAAGAAAATAATTAAAACAAGACCCAAATGTTTATCCTGAGTAGAAAGAATAAAGTAGTACGTTAAACACATTTGGAAACACACATTTTGCACGCTGTGTGCACGGCAGGACTGGTTAACAGAACATTTAATGTAATATAGTAAAGCATGTAGGCGCCACACGTATACATGCATATGTTCCTAATTCACAATTTATAATTAATTTGCTGTTTTTAAAGTCAGAATTTACAATATAGAGCATTTTTCAACATGAAGTGTCACCGAGCGGCCACTGGGGGGCAGCACTCATCAACTCAAACACTGAAGACATCTCTGTTGCTTTGAAAGAACAAGAGGGCCGTTTCAGTAGAATAATATGCTTTAAAAATAAAATAACCTAACAAGTGCATTGAACATGTTACTTCAATATAGTCAGGAAAATATAGACAACTAAAGCAAGTATTGGAAAATAACATTAAAATACCTTAAAAGTTTGACCTAGAAACAAATATGGAGTTGATGAAAAATACAATAAAATATGGACAAATATATAGAATTAAAGAAAACATTTGAAAAATGAAACTATAAGGAATATGTAAACAATCAAATATTGTACATTTGATGAACTCTGCAAAAGTAAATGTCAGATAAGGCAGGAAATTAAAGAGTACACAGAACTAAAAATAAAAAATTACAGAATAGAAGAAAATGTAATACAATTTGAAAAACAATAAGTATTGTATTCAAGGAAATTTTTTTTGAAAAATTATGTAAAAAATGCTTTACAAATATGCCAAAAAAAGAAATATATATTAAAGGGGACCTATCATGCAAAATGCACTTGTCTTTTATACATAAACATGTGTGTCGGGGAACTCACGCAGCGTCAGAAAATGAAACCCTCTCTCTTTTCCTCCGTACCCAAATCTCTAAAAACGGGGCTACAAAGGAGCTGATCCAGATTTGCGTCCGATATGACGCAATATCTGAAATGTGGACCCACGGCCCTATCAGAAACAATGCCCGACTGTTTTGGACGTAATATGGTCGGTGTTTACATTAGCATCGCTAACACTCAGAGCTAACCTGTACTGGAGAGCATGTGTGTGAAGAAGCAGGAAATAAAAAGGAACTCACCTTGTGGTATAACCGGCAAGAGAGAAAGCCTTTGAGCTCCATACTGTTTCAGAAACAATCCTTGATAATCCATGATATGGCGTTTCATCACGGCAGTATTTCGTTTAGACAGTAGCTGCCGGGTCCCGCATGAGCTCAGACCCCTGCTTTTTATTTTGTATCAATTTTTTTTAAAGCTTTATACCCCAAATCATCACTTTTGAAACAGGAAGTGAAATAGAGGGATATGAGGCATGGCTAGAATGTTTGGTATTTTGAGCAAAACACTTCATAGACATGTTTTTAATATTTTTGTATATATCTGAGACCTATGCTATTGCCTAAACATAGCATGATAGGTGACCTTTAACTTTCAACTAGAAAAAATATAGAAATTAGAGGACCTTAAAAAGAACATTATTTCTCTCTGAAATGAAGTAAAAAGTGGCATAAAAAGAAAATACTGAATACTTTCCATTCTTCATGGAGTAATTGTAGTGTGTGTGTGTGTGTGTTGATTTGGGGAGTAATGGATTACATTACATGAAAAGGGATTATCAGTAGGCCTATACAGAAAAAGTTAACTATTTCCTTACATCAAACAAGTGTGTGTGTGTGTGTGAGGGGGGACAGAGCTCTGTCATTTCTAAGTGGCATTATTGATTTCATGTGATGACGGTCTATTATTAGAAGTGTTGAGCTGTGTGCTGCGAGCTGCTATCTCCTTTCTCCTCGGAGTACGTGCACCGTGTGTGTGGAGGAAACTCTGTTCCTACCTGTCCTCCGAGCTCGAGTTAGTCCTGACCTCTTAAACCTCGTGTCTGCCTGGGATTAGATGTCTCGTTGAGCCTTTGAACACGACTCAGGGGTAGTAATTGATGCTCACTGCAGAGATATACTGCCTGCAGGAACCTGAGGCTGCAAATTAAAGATCAGTTTCTTATTAAAAAGCCAGCACGGAGCCAGGATTAGAAATAGCTCTGTGCATGTTGTCCAGAATAAGGAATACTGTACATCCTGTGAGGAGCTATTCTGGAAGATGCTTTCTAGATATACAGCAAAGAGTCTGTATGAAAACATAGAAAAACAAGAGTACGGAGGTCGTCGGGTGCAAACACACTCCAATGACCCAACACTCTTCCATCAGGAGAAACGCTGCGGCTTCAGAAACGATGCAGATATCAAACCCAAAGGTTCCACATGAAGAAACATCTTCAGCACACAGCTGGAGACCAGGGGACACTAAAGAGTGACGCACACAGCTGGAGACCAGGGGACACTAAAGAGTGACGCACACAGCTGAGAGACCAGGGGACACTAAAGAGTGATGCACACAGCTGAGAGACCAGGGGACACTAAAGAGTGATGCACACAGCTGGGAGACCAGGGGACACTAAAGAGTGACGCACACAGCTGGAGACCAGGGGACACTAAAGAGTGACGCACACAGCTGGGAGACCAGGGGACACTAAAGAGTGATGCACACAGCTGGGAGACCAGGGGACACTAAAGAGTGACGCACACAGCTGGAGACCAGGGGACACTAAAGAGTGACGCACACAACTGGGAGACCAGGGGACACTAAAGAGTGACGCACACAGCTGGGAGACCAGGGGACACTAAAGAGTGACGCACACAACTGGGAGACCAGGGGACACTAAAGAGTGATGCACACAGCTGGGAGACCAGGGGACACTAAAGAGTGACGCACACAGCTGGAGACCAGGGGACACTAAAGAGTGACGCACACAGCTGGGAGACCAGGGGACACTAAAGAGTGACGCACACAGCTGGGAGACCAGGGGACACAAAAGAGTGACGCACACAGCTGGGAGACCAGGGGACACTAAAGAGTGACGCACACAGCTGGGAGACCAGGGGACACTAAAGAGTGACGCACACAACTGGGAGACCAGGGGACACTAAAGAGTGACGCACACAGCTGGGAGACCAGGGGACACTAAAGAGTGATGCACACAGCTGGGAGACCAGGGGACACTAAACAGTGACACACACAGTCCAGGGGACACTAAAAAGTGACGCACACTTTAGTGTCCCCTGGTCTCTTTTTCTTTTTGGCAACGCACACAGCTGAGAGACACTAAACAGTGACGCACACAGCTGAGAGACCAGGGGACACTAAAGAGTGATGCACACAGCTGGCTTCTCCTTGGTTAATGATACACGCCTCCACCAAGTGTCATTTCTGTAGTCTTGTTGATAAGTAAACAAAAACATAAAGCACTGGTTCCCATTCATGATGAACCCCCTGCACTGCTTAATTAGAGGCAGTGCTATTAGTAGGTGCTCCTAACCTGTCCCCCCTGGGTTGTGGCAACATGTATTCGAGCTGTAAAAGGTGTACATTCATGTCTTCTCACACACACACAACCTCACACACACACACACACACCCTCACACACACCCGCTGAGCCTGTGGCACTTTACAATGATAAAGTAGTCCTGAGTCACTTGAGACTGGACTGCGAATTTCTAAAATGAGAGCAGTGAAGAACATGTGAACATGTGGGCTTGAGGAGGGGGGGCATTTTTTAAGCTGCGTGTTCTGGTGCGTTGCCAAAAAGAAAAAGTCACACTTGAAGTTACTGTCTGTCAGCTGTCCGCGGTGTTCAGACGTTATCATGACCTCTCTGGAGACATGCAAACTCCCAGCTGTGGCTTTAATACCCCAACCCTGAAAAGAACAAGCACGAAAGGACTGAGCAGAACTCAGATTTGTCCCGACTTAAAGGGGACCTATCATGCTATCTTAAGGCTTATATTATGGGTCTCAGATATATAAAAATATATTAAACAATGTCTATGAAGTGTTTGCTCATAATACCAAACAGATCATGCATTGTAGACATCCCTCATATCCCTCTATTTCAGCTGTTAGAGAAACGCTGAGGTGGAGCTAATGCCTGCTCAGAATTCTCCCAGCAGAAACTCAGCTAAATGCTGCCGTGATTAAACGCCATCATGTTCCAAAGCACATCAAGGATTCTCTCTGAAACAGCATGGAGCTCAAACTCTTTCTCTCTCTCAGGTTTACCACAAGGTGAGTTCCTTTTGATTTCCTGCTTCTTCACACATGCTCTCTCCAGTACAGGTTAGCTCTGAGTGTTAGCATGCTAATGTAAACACAGACCATATTACTTCCAGAACACGTCTCATTGTTTCTGACAGCAACGTTTCTGATTGGCCCGTGGGTGTAAAGCCCGCCCACATTTTAGTAATGTCGTCATGACGCAGCAAATCTGGATCAGCTCCGTTGTTCCCACGTTTTTAGTGATGCGGCTACGGAGGAAAAGAGAGAGGGTTTTATTTTCCGACACTTTGTGAGTCTCCTGACACACCAGGACACATGTTGTGCATTTTGCTTGACAGGAGACCTTTAAAACTTAAAACCCTTATCGACCCACTCCTAAACCCTGGGGTTCCTCAGGGCTCCATCCTGGGACCTCTTTCTTTCTTTCTGTCTGTTTATAACCGGTGTCGACTAGGTGTTGTGTTTTTTGAAGGTTTGAGACCCGAGTCAGCATACCGTTGGAGTTTATCTCCTTTTATTCTGACTGGCAACAGATAACAAATAATCAGTCGTTAATATATTTAGTTATACCTCACACTTCGACTCCTCTCCCATGGAACATATTGACAAAAAGGGAAGAAGTAAACGTGACGGACACAATATAAAAGAGGGAAGTCTCCACAAAAATAATCGTCTGGGTACAGCGACTGAATTTCAGATGTTCCGCCCACTGATTTGAGACCTAGTCAGGTATTTAACGTTTGGTAAATAAAGAACAAAGAATTGTTAAAGGTCCCATGTCATGGCCATTTCTACTGATCATAATTCCATTGTTGAGGTATACTAAAATAAATGTATATTGTGCAATTTTCCAAACTCACATTGGTTTCTCATACAGCATCTCTGTATAGTATGTGTATTCACTCTCTGTCCTAAACGGCTTGTTGGCGCTCCTGTCATCACACCCAACATTAGCCACCTTTAGCTTAGCGGTGGTGACGTGAAGTCATGTGACCGAGCTGTAGTTCCTTTATAGCCCAACATTAGCCACCTTTAGCTTAGCGGTGGTGACGTGAAGTCATGTGACCGTGCTGTAGTTCCTTTATAGCCCAACATTAGCAACCTTTAGCTTAGCGGTGGTGACGTGAAGTCATGTGACCGTGCTAGTTCCTTTATAGCCCAACATTAGCCTCCTTTAGCTTAGCGGTGGTGACGTGAAGTCATGTGACCGTGCTGCAGTTCCTTTATTGCCCAACATTAGCCACCTTTAGCTTAGCGGTGGTGACGTGAAGTCATGTGACCGTGCTAGTTCCTTTATAGCCCAACATTAGCCACCTTTAGCTTAGCGGTGGTGACGTGAAGTCATGTGACCGTGCTGTAGTTCCTTTATAGCCCAACATTAGCCGCTTTTAGCTTAGCGGTGGTGACGTGAAGTCATGTGACCGTGCTGTAGTTCCTTTATAGCCCAACATTAGCCACCTTTAGCTTAGCGGTGGTGACGTGAAGTCATGTGACCGTGCTAGTTCCTTTATAGCCCAACATTAGCCGCCTTTAGCTTAGCGGTGGTGACGTGAAGTCATGTGACCGTGCTGTAGTTCCTTTATAGCCCAACATTAGCCGCCTTTAGCTTAGCGGTGGTGACGTGAAGTCATGTGACCGTGCTAGTTCCTTTATAGCCCAACATTAGTGGAAGTCTTTAAATATTCTACGTAAAAATTACAAAACCATTTGAAATATACAGTTTTTTATTTCATGTTTTTCTGCAGTAAAATAAAACTTTTCAGCATGTAAAAATAATCCAAAACAAACATACGTACATTTTCCTCAAACTGCAGGATACAGTTCATGTGTCGAACAGATTTTAAAATAATCTACATAAGGTGTGTGTGTGTGTTTGAGACTGGACACACACACACACACACACACAGCTGCTCAGTGTTATTCATGATACACGAACGATACCACTGAAGGATACTGTAGGTTAACCTACTTTACTATAACCACAAACATACAGTGGTTATATTATACAGAGAGAACTGGAGCTCTGAGGGGCTGGGAGGAGGGTTTTGTGGTGAAATCATTGAGAATATACCAGAGCGATTGAAGTATTTGATCTGACATTTGTAATACTTCTGCTGTGAATAAAATAGAAATGCTTTATCGTAGGGCTGAACAATTAATGGGAATTTTAACGCAATTATCAAATATAGTTTCCCCACAGCAGACGCACATTAATAACATCACCATAATACGTCGATAGTTTAAGTGCAGTCGGATTCTCTTGAAGCCCGGTCGCCTTCCCCTAAGTCCTTTTGAATTCTCCTAAACACTAATCCTTGACCCCGTGACTTTTCACACAGAGGTCAAGGAATAGTGGTTAGGAGAAGACGATAGGAGCTGATTTTTGGACAATTCGACCGCAACCATAGTCTTGTCAAACCTTGTCGGTTAGTCGTTGATCCCATGATTGTTCCAGTCCATTTTTCCTATGATCCTTCCCCCATGTTCCCCGGTTTGTACCTGTTTAGTTGTTCTTTGTTATCAGCTTGTTTGTCAATCAAAGTAAATTATTTATCTTGTTTTGACTGCTCTTGGGTCCGCCTTCCTGTCGAATCGTGACAACACCAGGTCAAATAATCGCATTTATAATATGTTTCCCCAAATGTTTCAGCCCTACTTTGATATTTAAGGTGCAATTTAAAGTCAAAAGACTGTTAGAAAAGACATGTAAGCTATTTTTCAAAATGCTTAACTTGTGCTCGTTACAGTTAGTAATTGCATTAAATGTGTAACTTTGCAACTTTGGCAGTATAATCCTCGTCCCTCCATCAGAAAGGCCTCCAGCTTGTTGCATGTGAACAGTCAGCTTCAGCTCCATAAGCTGCGGTGCAGTTTTATAAAATCAGTCTGTTGTCTTATACAATCTCCAGATTTTCCCTCACAGATTTCCTCCTCAGAACGGGAGCGTATCCATGAAGATTTTGTCCACGATGGGCGGCGGGGGCACGAGGTCCTCCAGCTTCAGGTAGAAGATGCGCTGATGTCCCTGAGTGCAGAGAGTCCGGAGCTCAGGAAGCTTCCCCAGCAGCCGGGACAGGTAATGAGGCCGGAGGGAGTCTGACCCGCAGGCGGAGAGGTGGTCCTTCAGGGAGGTGATCAGCTGGTTCTGAAGATCCTCCACTCGCTTCGGCTCTTTGAGACCGTGTCTGTCTGCAGAGGAGACAAGGAGACACGTTAAAAGAGCTTATAGTTTTATGTTGAAGAAGTAGAAAGTACAGGTATTTGGGTTCAACATGTAAGAAGTAGAAAGTACAGGTATTTGGGTTCAACAAGTAAGAAGTAGAAAGTACAGGTATTTGTGTTCAACATGTAAGAAGTAGAAAGTACAGGTATTTGTGTTCAACATGTAAGAAGTAGAAAGTACAGGTATTTGTGTTCAACATGTAAGAAGTAGAAAGTACAGGTATTTGTGTTCAACATGTAAGAAGTAGAAAGTACAGGTATTTGTGTTCAAAATGTAAGAAGTCAAAGTAAAAAGTGGTCAGAGAAATAAGTAGTGGAGTAAAGTACTGATACCAGAAACATGTACTTAAGTACAGTAACAAAGTATTTATACTCCACTACTTCCCCCCTCGGTCACATGACTTCACGTCACCACCGCTAAGCTAAAGGCGGCTAATGTTTTTACTTACTGTTAGCATTACATAACGCCTCATAAGCACATTTAAACATATACCAGAAAACTTGCAATATAAAAAATGATAGTTAATGTCAGTCATGGAGTGGAGTCGTCTCAGGGTGATCTCTGTTAGTTATTTCTTTACCCTGTTCACCTGCAGTCCCTCCCTTTGAATAGATTTGTAAAGCTGAACGCTCTGTGCTGACAGAAGTGTTAAAGCCTCTGCGGTGCAACAACTCCCGGCTGTAAATGTATACGGCATGCTGTGATAATATATATAACTTGTGCACCATGCATGAGGTCGTGTCTCACACCTGTCCTGTCAGTCCTGTGTTGGGTAACTCTTATTGTCCTCGAGCAAACCCTGTCCTCGCTGAGTAAAAATAAGTCTGATTTAACTCCGATACAAAGTTTGATATGTCCACTAATGAAGGTTTGCATTTGGAGACTTAGGGTTAAATAATGTCTTAATTATAAATCAGAATCAGAAACAGGTTTATTACCAAGTGGGTTTAGACGTACGAGGAATACACCCTATTTTGCAAATGTTAATTTGATAGTAGCTTCGCGTGAATACTGTTGACAGAGGAAGGGTGAGGTGGTATGACAGTGACTGGGAGAGGGATGAATTTGTCTTGATTTGATTAATAAACTAAATAGTTAGAAACAGCTCTTACCAGCGATGATGACGAGCGCAGTGAGGCAGGAGAAGGAGGAAACGTCGAGCTTCATGCGATGAAGGCTCTGAGAGAACTCTAAAATGGAGTCGATCCAGTCCCCGAAGCCCCGGACGCACTGAGCTCTGTGAAGCACCGCTCCGCTGCAGAACACCAGCTTCTGCAGGTCAGGGTCCGAGCTTTAGGAAAGAGATCAAATATTCTGTTATCCAGGGGCTGAAGGGATGTCAGCAGAGAGAGGGAACAACCAGGCGGCTCATTTACGAGAAACACAATTATACAGGACAGAAAAACTGTTTCCAAAATCAAATGGTACTTTTACCTGAAAGAAATATGAATTTAATCTGAGTTTATTTTTGGATTTTTCTGGTGATTGTAGGACTTTGTCATCTAAGGAAAAATATTGAGGGTTTTCTCCTTTAATATTATTTTCTCTATTGTAATTTTAGGAGTTTATAAACTCGTAAAATATCTTCTAAGTTAAAATACTTCTAACTTTATTTCTGGTGTTTCCGGACTGGAGAGTATTTGATTTGATCTGAAATGTGTAATACTTCTGCTGGGAATATAATAATAATGCTTTATCGTATGGCTGAACAATTAATTAGAATTTGAACGCAATTATCAAATATACAAATCGCAGAAAGTGCAACTTAAATCTTGGAAATTCGAAGTAAAATCTTTTATTTTTCAAGTTTCTTTGTGGTTAAGTTCTTTATTGCAAATATTCGCATTTATCCAGGGCATCAGGATAGAGGGAATGACTAGCAAAGCACTTTTACAATTTACAAGGATCAAAATCACAAATATACAAAAGGAAAATCGTGTAAAGGAAAACTGTTGCCAAAATAAAATGGTACTTTTACTAGAAAAATAAATTTGAATTTAATCTGAGTTTATTTTTTGATGTTTCTGGTGAATGTAGGACTTTGTCATCTCAGAACAATATTTAGGGTTTTCTACTTTCATGTTATTTTCTCTAATGCAACTCCAAAACTCAACAAATATACTTCTGTTTTTGTAAAAGTACTAACTTTGAACTTTATTTTTGGTGTTTTCAAGTTTCTTTCTGGTTAATTTCTGACTTCTTTATTATTGATCATATCTATCCAGAGCATCAGGAATATGAACATGCGAGCTGTATGATGAACATGCTCCTCACCGATAGGCCAGCCTCAGGATGAAGAGTTCGACGAAGGCCGACTCGAGCAGCAGCTCCCGGTCCTCGAGGCAGAACTCTGAGAAACCCGGGATGTTCTGAGCCCAAATCCTCACCACCTCCGTGCAGGAAGTGAGCAGATCGTAGAACTGCTGCACGTCAGAGGAGTCCACCTTCTGGGTCGGACTCACCGGCGTCTCCTCGTACTGAGACAGGAAGGGAGGCAGCAGGGAAATTAAAGACATCATCTCTAACAGCTCATCTTTAGGACGTAGACATTTTAATATTCTCTCATTATAACGTCATACATTTGTGAAAAAGACCTTGAAATGTGGGATAGGAAGAAATGTAACTATACTCTGAGATTAACACTTAATCTCACACTTTTTAAAATGGGGGAGGGACGTCACTTTATGGCGAAGACATTTTAATATTCTCTCAGATTATGACGTCATAAATTGGCAAAAAGACCCTTAAAATTGGGGGTATAAAACATTTAGAATATTCTCTGAGATTAAAGTGAAGAATGAGCCAGACTTTCCAACTCAATTACAACATTTGTGAGAAGAAAATATCGGGAGTTTGCCCCCAAAACCCCTCAGATAAATGATTTGAACATGTTGGATGGTTCAATGGCCGTAATAAGTAGCCAAATATCTCACACGATCTAATTTGTCAGGTTTGTTGTTGTTGTTGTTGTTGTTGTTTACCTTGGAGTAATCCAGCTTCCCCACCCCGGGGTTGGAGTCGATGTGCGCTCGGACCAGAGCAGCGATCAGACTGACCGGAGACACGGAGGACGCAGCCGTCGCCTCGGCAACGACCTTCGGCTTTGACGGCAGACGACCTCTGCGACCTTTCAGACCGTCCGTCCTCACGACTGGAGGAAAGGGAGACGGGTCAGCTGTTAATGTGGGGTTCATACTCATATTATGCACTGTGTGTGTGTGACGTGTGTGTGCGTCCATGTATCCATGTATGCATGTGTGTCCATGTGTGTGTGTGACGTGTGTGTGCGTGTGTGTCCATGTATCCATGTATGCATGTGTGTCCATGTGTGTGTGTGTGCATGTGTTTGTCTCTGTGTGTGTGTGTGTCAGTGCTCACGTGGGTGTGTGTGTGAGTGTGTGCGTCTCTGTCTGTGTGTACGTGCCTGTGTGTGTGTGTGTGTCTCTGTCTGTCTGTCTGCGTATGTATGTATGTCAGTGTCTGTCTGTGTGTGTGTGTGTGTGTGCATGCGTGTTCGTGTGTGTGTGTGTGTGTGTGTGTGTGTGCGTGTCTCTCTGTGTGTGCGTGTCTCTGTGTGTGTGTGTGTGTGTGTGTGTGTGTGTGTGCGTGTCTCTCTGTGTGTGTGTGTGTATGCGTGTGTGTGTGTGTGTGTGTGTGTGTGTGTGTGACTCACCTTCCCTCACCATCCCCACGTTCAGACACTTCTGGAAGCGGCAGAACTGGCAGCGGTTCCTCCTCCTCTTGTCCACCGGACACTCTTTGGAGGCGAGGCAAACGTACCGGGAGTTCTTCTGAACTGTTCGCTGTGGAAACAACAAGGAATAATTCATCTCAACCTGCATCACAATAGTCTATCTTAGTCTCTAAATGAGAGGGGAAGAAAACACTCAATATCCAATTTCCATCATCAGGAAAATCCTCAAATGAAGGCCAACACAATTCACAACATATCGTGATATCTATAAGAAATGTAAAACATAATAAAAGCAAGTACGCATAAGCATCAGTTTGCCTTATAGTGACCGTATGCACTTCATTATTACAATCCAAGTGGGTGTAGTGCAAGCAAGTTGTTTACACGTTTTTTAATGGACTCACAGTCTGACAATAAAGCTGATGATGGAGATATGAATGGGACGGTGTCTGTGTGGGCCTGTGGGAGATGGAGGTTACAACATCAAAGAGGCCCTCTTGTGCTTGCTGTAGTGTTCCCTCTCCTATAAGTGTTAGTGCATGTAAATATGCAGTTATATTTTTTAACTGTGTTTATGTATGCACCATCTGTTGGGAAAATCATGAATGTCCTCTTCCAACATCAGAGTAACATGCTAACAAAGGTATCCCAACTGTAGCTGTGTTCATGACAGGATGTAATGGCGCGTTTCCACTACAGCGCGGAGCACGGTTTAAGAGGGCTGTGACGTCAGCGGCCCGTCTTTGGTTGCGTTTCCACTTGGCCTAGTACCGGCCGGCGGGTCCTAATTCACAGTTTTTCTGGCCTCATAAAATCGTGGGTCTAGGGCCAGAGACAACGAGGCTGAGTCGGGCTGAGTATGCTAAACTAGAGAGAGCGTCGCTGGCAAGGGGGCTACAACTACAACAAGATGGACATATTTGACCGTGATTTAATTGTAATACACGTTTCAAAATGATGCCGAAGTAACAACATACTGATACCGGTTAGTAAAAACCATGAATTAATGCTTTGACAAGTCTGCAGACAGACGGCAGGCGAAAAACCTTTTAAAATGCGTGTTTTCTGAATGGAGATTGGCTAAGCTAACGCAGTATATGCTCCGACCGTCCACACTCACAACAACGGCCTATACAGACATAAATAAAGCAGCGACTGTATTCGCCATGACACAGGCAGTCTGTGGTTTGTACTTGTTTAACTTTTGTCTAGTTTCTGAACAGATATGAGGAGCTGTGAGCTCTGAGTGCTAACAGCTAACGGCTGCTGTTGTTTTTCTGGGGTTCTCATTGAAGATGATGTCACGGCTCCGCCTACACTGCGTTACTATAGATACTACCCCAGTTCCTAAACTGTAATGGAAATGCGCCATAAAGTGAGTCAGTCCTAACGAGGCCTAGCCATACCGAGCGAGGCCGAGCGAGGCCGTGTAGTGGAAATGCGCCATATGATTACCTAGAAGAGCATCAGGACTGTTTGAGGCATATGATAGCTATGTGATTAACATGATGATTCAGCCTCTATGGAGATAGACATATGACAAGCATGCTCATTTCTGACGTGGAGCTAATCTGAAGTAAACATTGAATACTGCTTTCTATTCCTCCATCTTGTGACTGTGTAACTCCCTCTCTTGGATATCAGCATGTGAAGGACACTGTTCAGGAACTAGTTGATGCTCTGTATGTGATGACTACTTCCATTCTGGAGAGGATCACAGATACATGGATCCTGAGATTGAAGCTCAAGCCGGGGACCAGGGAGATGTTTCTAACAACCATGTACAGCAAGGAAGATTCCTCGTATGTGTGAAGCTACTTGGCGATAAACCTGTGTCTGAATCTGATTGATATATGTGTCCAATGCTTCATATAGAATCAGAGCTCTGGTTACCTTGAAGAAGCCCTTGCAGCCCTCACAGGTCCGGACCCCGTAGTGCTGACAGGAGGCGTTGTCTCCGCACACCGCGCAGCACCCCTCGTTTCCTGAGAGGCTTTTCAACTTCGGCGATAAGCTGCCGTCCAGCTGCTCGGACCCCGCCTCCAAAGAGAAGCAGCTCATTGGGGGAGGGGGAGGGGAGAAAGGATCCTGAAGATGAGACAGATCCTCCACGGAGCTGAAGGTGAAGAACGACGCCTCCTGGGGGTTAGAGGGGTCGTCTGGAGCCCAGAACGAGGCGCCGTAAGAGGGGTCCCAGCCGGAGGAAGGCTGGAAGCGAGGGGTGGAGGGGGAGGAGGTGAAATCTGACCCCCCAGGAGAGGAAGATTCATCGGGGAAGCTCAGTGAGAAAGCCCCGCCCGGGTAGCATCCGTACACCTGGAGGTCGTCCAGTTTAAAGGGGGTCTCCATGCCCGGGGCCGCCGTAAACTGACAGGAATAAGAGTTGAAGTCGTGGTGGGGGTCGACCAGGGAGTTGATGCTGGGCAGGGCGGGGGTGGGGACATGGGGGACGTTCGAGGTGAGTCTGGCGATAAAGTCCGTGCTCTGGAAGTCGGAGAGGCCCAGGTTGAGATCGTAGAGCTGGGGGGACCCGAGGGGGGGGGGCGTGCTGAGGGTGGATGCAAGTCATGGCTGCAGAAACACAAACACAAAGACAGGGGTTTAAAAGTGTCTTCAGAACTAGAGTCAAGGTTCAAGGTTCAAGGTTCAAGGTTCAAGGCTTTCATTGTGAAGTGTCCATAGCTGCAGTGTAGTACTCTCTCTCTCTCTGTCTGTCTGTGTGCTGTGGACGGTGCTCATGTGCTCGGATCATGGGTGGATTATAGAACACGGGTCTGGGGGTCCAAAGTGGCCCCTGATGTTATTTATCTATCTATCCATCTTCACATATTTGTAACTCAAAGGCACGAGCACCGGCTAAGAGACTCAAAATGACTATAAGTGTGTGTGTGTGTGTGTGTGTGTGTGTGTGTGTGTGTGTGTGTGTGTAGGGGTGACTTTGAGTCGGGAGCTCAGTGCCAACACACACACACACGATACACACACACACGTGTTCATACCACACTATTAATACTGTGCATACTGTACATATCTACTGCGTAATGTTTATATACTGTATCACATGTTACTCTGAAGTTGACGGCTTTTTGTATTTCTGATTAGATGCTACATTAAAATGTGTAAATTGCAATCAAGTTTATTGCCATTAAATACAAAGAATTGAACTTAAGGTGAGGATAATAAATAGAGTACTGCAAAAAAGAATACAGTAAAATGATGTTCAGTATATCTGTTTCAAATCACACGACCCGTCAGACTACTACCATAAAGCTTATTTTCCATAAAGGATATCAGTTATGTATATTTGTAGTGTATTATATGTGTATAAGTGGAGCAGCAGTATAGCTCTGTGTACTGTAACATGTGTGTATTTGTACTGTAACGTGTGTGTACTTGTACTGTAACGTGTGTGTACTTGTACTGTAACTTGTGTGTACTTGTACTGTAACGAACGTGTGTGTATTTGTACTGTAACGTGTGTACTTTTACTGTAACATGTGTGTATTCACCCCTAGGGCAACATGAAATGTTAATCCTGGACGTGTGTTTTCTACAGTTGCACGCTGTCATTTATCCACGTGCATGTTACGTTTAGCCCAATCTCTGCTACTGCAATACAAACATACTATATTTGTTCATTTGAGAAGCTTTTATCCTATTGCATGAAACACTTTGCATATCCACTAAGCCATGTGGCGCTGTGGAAACACCTGCACAGTACACACACAGGCTAACAATTAACTCTGTATGTGCACAGTGCACAGTAACACTTTAAAAAAAACAGACGTGCAGAAGCTGTGGAAACAATGACTAGCTGAACATATAAAACCTCTGCTCAGTAACTATGAAGGGTAGCTGCTGTCTTTTAAATACATTCATATAAAAAGCAGAGGTAAAGAATCACGAATATGGAACTTGAAAAATGTAGAATTAAGAATATAAAAAGCACTATAAATGTGTATTTGGAAAGTTGTGCATATAAAGTAGTTCTTCATTCATTTAAAAAAACCTACTTTGATGACATGTCACTCCACAATCAACACGTTTACTTTCAGTAGTATAATACATGTTATTGTACAATCAATATGTATTTACTTTAAGTACTTTTACTACATGTATCTATGGTAGGCTGCTGATAGTGTACAGTACAGCTAAAGATGATTCATTAGTTGATTAACAGAGAAATAAATCCCAAACTGAGATCAATGAAGTAGATCTGGCTGTTTCCTGCTAATGCACATGGAGTTAAAAGCTGCTTCCTCTTTGATTCAAACCCCTTTTCTTTTATACAGTGTATGAACATAAAAGCATGAGTAGATCTCTTACCTGTGTGTGTCTCTACAGGTGTGTTTCTCTCTGTTATCCTCACTGCACCTCAGTCATCCTCAGAGTTTCCCGCTGAGCCGCTTCTCTCCTGCTTTTATACCCCTCCGCGCTGCCCGTGCCATGACGTCACAGAGGCCGCGCAGGTGGGCGGGGAGATTTCCACCCGGCAGCCAATCAGAGAGCGCGCTGCAGAGAGAATAGTCGCTCGATGACGCACTACGGGATTCCGTTGACGCGCGAGCAGCGAATAACCGCAGCATTGTCCTCCACACACACACGCACGCGCACACACGCACACACACACACACACACACACACACACACACACACACACACACACACACACACACACACACACACACACACACACACACACACACACACACACACACACAGTAAAGTGGCCTTCTAACTGTAACTTCTGCTGATTAACAATGTATTTATATTTCTGAACACAGGGAGACACGGACTCTTTAAAAGGAGGAAACATTATTTTGAATGCTGGTTGTTTAAAAATGTAAAATGTATAAGAAACTTGGCTAAACATTGCATTTAAACTGAATAAATGATATGTGCAACACAGAAACATACTTGCACAAAGATCTACAAGGTCCCAACGCTTATACTTTAATATATCTCTCTTAAATATCCTATAACATACTGAAATATATTATAATATTAAAAAAAATGTAATTAAATATATTTAAATCATTCATACAAATATTGAAATACTATATAGATTTTTAAATATATATAAAAAATTGAATAAATTCAGTTTTAACGTTTTTTCTAATATTATTTGGAAAATGTCTGAAAAAATATCCCCATAAAAACCAAACAATACAAAAAGAGCAACTCAAATGTTGTAGATAGAACATTGCATGAAATAGCAACAGCGTGCATCTCCTATGATATGGGAGGCTGTGGCTCAGTGGGTAGTGTGCTGGACTTCGAATCAGGGGATAGCAGCCAGTTTGAGTCCCACTGCAGTCAGCATGTCGTTGTGTCCCTGGGACACTTCACCCCAAATTGCTCCTGTGGGGATTGCCCACAGTACTGAGTATGTTAGTTGCTTTGGATAAAAGCGTCTAACAAGTGTAAGTGTAATTGCTTTTTATTCTAATATTAAAACATGTTTTATCCACTGAGAGCAGGAGCTTTATGGAAACACCTGGCTGTAAATATATATAACTTCAAACACGTCAAGAACATATCTCTAACATGTTACAGGTGTTCTGCACTACCTTTTCCCTTAAGGAGCCCCCTCTCTATTACTGAGGGAACTGTTGACAGAAGTGAGAGATTGTATGGAGGATTTCTCTATCTGAGTTATTTGATGGTTCACGGTTGAGGCTGGAAAGGAACCACTCTGCTCTGAAATGAAGTTTATCTGTGGGGTGAAGACGGCCTGCAGCGTTTATCTGATCTGTGACTTCAACAACATCCTGCAGACGCTCAACCGCTGAACGCTGGAAAATGCATCGTCACAGAAAAAAGGCTGTTTTTCTGAAGAAGAACTTGTAAAGTTGACTTTTTAGAGATAAGTTGTTCTCACGGGAAAATCTACAAACATAACGTGATGAATACGATGCACTCTGCAGATTGCCAACATCAAGGAGGTCAAAGGAGATCAATCTTAGACGGCAGAAAAATGCTTTTGAAGTCTGGAAACATTTCTGAAAAGATATCTCAAAATGTATGAAAATAAATAAAATATAAACAGTGAAATATATCTGAAAAATGTCTGAAAAAATATCCCTAAAATATATTTTAAAATCCCAAAATTATTAGAAAAATGGCAGAAAGAATAATCCAAAAAATATCAAATATGTCCCAAATAATATGTTAAAAAAATGTATCTGATTTATGACTTCATAGTATTGTATTTTATTTTATTTATTGTAATGGTTTATTTGGTAGGGACATTACACTTTAATGAACACTTAAAACAATAAATGTGCCAAGCGTAAATATGCCGGATTTAGCTTTGAGCTACTTTCCATCCGCAGTCCCTCACATCAAACATTAAGAACATGACATTTACAAACATAGCAGATACAAATACATGAAATACAAGAAAAGAGGAAAAGAGCAAGAGCAGAATACACAAGTATTTATGACATGGCAAAACAACAGCATGGATACACAAAGTGCAAGAGAGGATACCCCTGTGTTAAAGTGCATCTAGTGGTGACCGCACGTCTGTTTGTTTCTCATCCATTCTTTGAGTTGACCTTTGAAACTATTGAGAGTGGGACAATCTCATATTTCAGTAGGGAGGCTATTCCACAAAGAGCTGCCTTTAATGGAGAGGACATTTTGTCCAAAAGTGGTCCGTCTGTGGTGGACTTCAGTCTCCTCTGGTGTCTGACCTAGTGCAGCGTCCAGTGTGTTTTCTGTGGATGAATTGAAAATGAAGGTCTGATTTGTTTGAAATGCTGCAAGTTGTATTGAAGTGTTCAACACAATATCTCTGTGTGTAAGAGCTGCAGGCCTTTCTGTGCAACACACACACACACACACACACACACACACACACACACACACACACACACACACACACACACACACACACACACACACACACACACACACACACACACACACACACGGGTCCTCGCACCACCTGTTGCTCCTCCACAGAGCTATTTCTGACCGGAGGAGATGTTTGTCATTGTGGAGAAATCCTCCTCTCCGACCCGAGGCCTTCAGGATCCTTTAAGTCGATAATCCCGTCTGGAAATAAATCATTTGAATGCTTTACAGATATGATGCCAGGTCTCTGGAGAAAGGCACATTTACGTGGTCAAATAGCCGACATCGATGCGAAACATGAAATTCTATTTATATTTGTAAGGGTTTTATGTGCAGACTATTGCATAACAGGCTAGGCTATAATGTAATGTTAGCACGATAAAGTCATATTAGCGGAGGGTGCGAGAGGGGGAGTAGCCTACTCCTGAAAAGTGGTTTTCAATTGAACAAAAGCTTGACAAAAACACCTGTTTGAATTCTGTGTTTTTATTAGATTTACCCGGCTAGGAGCACTGTGGGGATTCACAGGGAAACGGCTCTGATGATGAAGAGCTTCATCAGATACAGCTCGTGGGTGGTTTGCATGCTGATGTAAATGAGACGATGCTATCAGCGCAGCGTCTTTTTCCAAACAGGTGAGGGTTCCACTGCTTATTTATAGACCATACTGGTTCTTCCATTATCTTTAATATTAGGATTGCAAATAAA